TGATAAATGAAGAAATTTTTTTTCTTTTTCATTCATTCATTCATCATTACTATATCATCATAATAGTGTAATTAGCAAAATACAAACACACACACACACACGCAGAGATGGACAAAAAATCCATTTATATATATATAACAAGATTTATAGCAAGAATAAAAAAAGGAAAAATTTTTATTAAATAAATCATCATCTATTTATGATGCTCCTCGCTTACATATATAGTCAAAATTTTTTTGCAACCATGTGATAAATAAACAAATGATTTTTCATTTAGATTATCATTTTAGTTACGAATTTGAAAATGAAAAAGAACCAGAAACAAAACAAAACAAAACAAAAAAACAAAATGACAGAATAAAACAATGATACAAAAGAATTTTTCATCATTCGCATGTTTGGTTGAATTAAGATTTGCGTTTACGCTTTGATGAATCGCAACGCAGCACACACACACATTCAAAGCTTATTTTTCATCAGCAAAAAAAAAATGAAATCCAAACAAACAAACAAATGGGGAAAAAAAATTCATCCATAATGGGTTTAGTTTTTATTTTTTTTTTTGCATTGTAAAATTTTTTTTTGTTGTTGTTGTCTTCTCAGAATTGAATTGAATTCCAACCAACAAACATAGAAAAAACAATCATTCGAGATCATTGACAAAATTCCAGACGCACACACACACACATCATCATCATCATCAGATAATGGATTAAAACATTTAAAAAAAAAAGGGTAGTGTAGTTATCGTTTGCAAGTCAAACAAACAAACAAAGGAAAAAAATCATTAATCGCAATCAAAGCCTATGATAATGGCAACAAATTTTTTTTTTTTGTTCGATGATAATGACGATGAATCTGACATGTAAAAAAAAACTTTGAAACAATGTCAAACAAAACAAAACAAAAACAAAAATTCAAAAAGATAACACCCAAACCCAAACGAATGATTCAATGAATTATTTTTTTTTTCATTTTACATTCGAAATGGATTAAAATTTAATTATATTTGAATCATGTCATCCACACACAAACACACACACACACACAAACAAATATATCAAACAAAGCCAGCCCGCAAGGAACATTGGAGAAAAAAAACCGTTAGATTCGGGCGTAATCATCGCAGTAGATAAAGTCAGTTATATTGAATGAATAGTAAAAAAAAAACAAAGTTTCAATGCAAAAAATAAAAAATAAAACATCACACACCATGCATGAACAAATATATATTTATTAATACCGATTTTGGGAGTGGTGGTGTGCCAGTGTGTATGGTACATTTTTGATTAAATAACGGACAAAAAAAAAAAAAATCAAAATCAAAACATTTTGAATTGAATCAAAACAAAAGTGAAGAAAAAAAAATAAAATCAGTGACAGCAGATGAAAAAAAAAAATTCTCCGATTCAAATCACCAGCGAACAGCAGAAAATCAATCAAAAAAAAATTTTTTGGAATTTGTTTTTTTGTTTGTTTGTTTGTTCTGTTTGGTTTTCAATATCTATCGTTTCAAATCATTTAGAAGAAAAAAAACATCAAAAAAAAAGTTTTTTTTTGTGTAAAAAAAATAAAAAATAGAATCTACCCTGTTATTCACTAAGCAGATCAAATCAATCGATCGATTCATCGATCGATTCATCGATGGCAATTCTATTGTTTGCCAAAATGAAAATAGTATATGATCACATGTTAACCGTTGACACACACACACACACATGTCTGGATAATGTCAATGTATCTTTTACATTCATTCACATTTGTTAGTGGAAAAAAATGGCCTGATTAGGGTCAAAAAGATTTTCAATCATATTTATGGAACGTTTAACAATAGTGCAAATAGTAAAAAGAAATAAAACACATGAAACGGAAACGAAAAATGAGAATCCTGTGTTATTCCAAATTGAATCAAATCAAACACTTATATTTATTTCATCACTTTTTTTTCAAAAAAAGAATCTCATAGGTTTTTTTTGAAAAGATTAATGTTGTTCTTCTTGTGTTCACTCACGTTTCCTCATCGATTCATTCATTAATTCAAATATATAGTAATAGTAATATGTTCTCAATGTCTCAATGTATGGAACATAAGGCGTGTTATGCTTGCTAGCTATAACTATAGTGACACGTGCATCTAGTTATCGTGCATAAACCGGTTGGTCAACAACAACAACAAAAAAGAAAAGAATGAAAAGAAAGAAAAAAAATTCCTGGATATGACAATAGAAAAGAATCCGGTCACGTGTTTATATATTCTTTTGTATATTGTTGTTGGTTTTTTCCGACTGTCGACAACATTTGTGTGATATATCAATAGCCATTGATCTTGTTTCAATGATGATGATGATAATGGTGATGATTGGTTAGTGTCATTTAGTTGGATCGATATCACAACGTTAAAACCAACGACATTGATGATTCGAATCGATTGTCAACGTTGCAGATCTACAAAATTTTACAAAATCTACAAATCATTATCCATTGTAGGTCAATGGGAATAAGAATAACTTTCATTCTTTGATCATATTTCACAGCAGTAGCAGTAAAGTTTTTTTTTTTTTTTTGGATTTACCACCCACCAACAACGTAAAATCAGGGAAAAAAATAAACAAACAAAAAACAAACACCCATAACAGTTATGGATAAAAATGAAGATGAAGAAGAAGAAAAAGTGTAGGAGGTGGAAGAGAATATTTGAAAAATTAATTGCCTGGAAACAAAGTTGTGATCATCATATGGCTTATATATCGTTAACATCATTTCACATAAGCATCATCATTGAAGAAAATAAACATTTTGATTTACTGAAAGATCTCTGAAATATTTACCAAAACGTTGGTTGGCTGTGGAAGAAGAAAAAGAAGAAAAATATTATGAGATTTTTTTTTTACCAAAACAAATTTCAAATTGAGGAAATGAGAAATCATGGCAAGAATCTCGATTTTTTTTCTCTAGGATGAATATAATCGTATCATAATAAAATTCTAGATTCTAACACACACATTCATTCATTTAGAGCAATCGACTACGAAAAACAATAACCATTTTATTTTTATTTTTTCTTTCATTCCAAATATAAAAAAAGGCTAAAAGACATTATAACCATCCTAAATTACCAAAGATTAAATTAGATGAAGAAGACGTGATTTTCATTTCAGGAATCTAAATAATAGTTAGTACAGAATACACAAACATCATATAAACGCATACATACCATAGAAAATCAGCTATTCGTTTATTTTCGTACTATTTTTTTGTTCCTCAAATCATCATATAATCATTATCAATGGAGGATATTAATTTAGATTAATCATCCTGAATCAAATTGTAATATTTTTAAATGATACGTAAAGAATTAGCTTACATTATTATTATTATTATTATGATTATGATTATAATGGACCATATTTTTAATGAGAATGCAGAATAACAGCAGCCGTCGTCATTGTCGTCTTGTAAGGCAATCATCCGAATTAATGTCATTATGATTATGATTATGATGAGATATAGAATGATTCTTAAGACATAATTTAACCATAACATTTCATAAAAAAAAATTTTCAATGATCAATTCTGAATGGAAAGAAAAACCAACGCATCATCATCATCATCAATTGTTTTATATTTGAAAATGAAAACTATCACAACAACAACAACAACTTGTACGCCATCTATTGACCGAACAAGACCGAATGAAAATTGATTATAATTCATTTATAAATTTTTCACATCAATCGTTTTATCGTTTTATTTATTTATTTATTTTCCAATGAAATTTCTTAATAATTACTATATTTAAATTGCAGAGTAACTCTTTTTTTTTGTCTGTTTGTTTGTTTGTCGGACAAGTAAAAAAAAAACAACAGATTTCAAACTGTGTATTTGTGTGTGTGTGTGTTTTGTTGAAAAACTTGAAATATCCAATCACCAACCACATTGAATTACAATGAAATTTATCTGTTTATGTTGTTGTTGTTGTTGTTGTTCTGTATCGGAGGGGTTACATTTATTGATTGATTGAATGTTAAATTTGTATTGATCAATAATAATAATAATAAGCGAAAAAAAAGAAATAGCCAGAATATAGCTAATTGATTGATTCTGAAAAAAAATCATAAATCTCAGGAAAAAACAATTGTTGCATCATTAAAAATCTAAAAGAGAGAGAGAGAGAGAGAAAGAGTTAAATTTCACTTTTGTTTAGTTTTTTTTGTAATATTTGAGAAAACCCGTATATATAATTAATGAAAATCAGCAGATAATTACTATTACTAATTAATTTTTCTTCTTGAGACACCTACACATCTTATCTGGTTATTTGAGTATATATCATATTATGAATGAATGAATGAATAAATGTTGTTGTTGTTGTTGTTTTGTTTTTTTAGTTTCATCATGTTTTGTTGATTATAGCCCAAAGATTTTCTACTCAAAAGTAGAATGGTCCAATTGGGCACCGCGATTAGACAAACAAAGAATGAGAGTGAAAAAAAAACGAAAATTAAAAGAAAAGAAAAAACAAAAGAAATTATACCTGAGATATATGTTGTACAATTTCATTTCTGCATCTTTGTATGTCATTTTGTTTCAGGAACAAATTCCTGAGTATGTGTGTGTGTGTGTATGTTGACCCGAATTAAATTAAGCTTAATATCCTCATCATTTAAAGAAAAGGATGAATATATATTATGTGTATCTTGGCTGTTTAATAATGATTTTTTATCTGTCAATGTTTGTATATAAATTGTTCTGAAAAAAAAACTTTTTTTTCTTGTTTGTTTGTTGTGAATCGCTTTTTTAAAAAGCTTGATTGATTGATTGATTTTAAATATATATACTGAAAAAATGAAAAACTTAATTTATAATCCATAATAATAATAATAATAATATTAACCGTTTGACCGTTTCGAAAATGTTATGGACTGTGTACTGTATGTGTGTGTGTGTGTGTTTATCGGTGTAAAATTAAATGAAATCAAAATTATCACTCGAAGAAATAAAATAATAAAAAGAGAGTAAAACTGGAGAGAGAAAAAAAGAAAATTGAAAAAAAAGAATTTGAAAAAATAAAACATCACAAAATATTCTGAATCAGAATATTGAAATGATCACTTTTTGTTGTTGTTGTTGTGGTTGTTGTCATAGAAAGAGAAATCGGGCAAAAACGAAATTTTAAAAAAAAAAGATTATAAACTATCAACTATTGGCCTAACATAATAACAGAATCTTTAGATATAACTATATTTTGATGAAAGAAAAAAAAACACTGAGCATTATAAACTATGAATAACTTTGGAAAAGAAAAAATTTCTAATTGATTGATAAAATTTGTCCGTGTGTGTGTATTTGTGTCAGAAAAAATTGAAGAATATATAAAGCAAATTTAAAAGAATTTGGAAACTTTGTTCGGAACAAAGTTTGTGAGGAGTTTTAAAAAAAGATGATCATCATTTTTAAAATAATGACTGTAAAATTTTGAGATTATGTAAAAGTGTATGTGATGATGATGATAATGATGATGATGATGATGAGAAAAATCATTAAATGAGCACTCAATCAATCAATTTTGTTAACCAAGATTGTTTTGAAAAATTTGTAATCGATTGTTACCAAAATCGATTATAGCTAGAATATTGTCTGCAATGGCAATACCGGATGGTCGATCAAATGCAATGCCATTAGCAGTGGATGATTCTCCATTGATATAATCGAAATTTTGATTCAAAGAATTATAAATGGCAATTCGATTGTTTCGTGAATCAGCGCACAATATCTGTACATATTTACTGACCATTGAATTCTTTTTGACTGAAGCGACCAGACCTTGTGGCCGAAGAAATTCACCCCATGCCGATCCTTCACCAAATCCAATATATTTAGATGTTATAAGATCATCTCGATGATTTATAATTGGATGAGAATTCGAATCATTACGATCAATGATCAATAATCGATGTTTATTGAAATCAGAGATGATATAACGATCAGGAGTGAGAAAGGCAACACCACGAGGAGAATCAAGAGGTTGACCACAATGCCACAGATATTGTCCATAATGTGTGAACAATTGAATACGTCGATTACGTGTATCGGAAACCAAAATCATCGATGTTTGTGGACAGATAGCAACATCCCATGGATAACAAAATTGTCCAGGCCTTGAGCCTTTTTCGCCAAATTTAAATAGAAATCCACCGGCTAAATCGAAAGCCTAGAATAAAAAAAAAATTATATTAAATAATTTGAAATTGATTACAATTTTTGAATAACAAATACTTGAATTCGGTGATTATCTTTGTCAGCCACAATCAATTGTCCAAGATTTGAATTGATAGCAATACCAGCTGGTCGATCAAACAAACCAGGTCTGGTTCCAGGACCATTTCCAAACACATGCAATACTGATATTTCTACTTTATTCATCATCATTGATGATGAATTTGACATCATAAATTGACCAGTAGAATTAGTATTATTGTTAATATTATCGAAGACACTTAGTTTCAGTACTTGAATTCGATTATTACTACGATCAGCGACAGTCAAGAGGTAATCTTTCCGATAATTAGGGCATTGCCATTGATAGAATGATTTTGATTGTATTGGAATGTTTGGTGCATTGACGTCGCCAACCAATTTATGATTCGAATCTTTTTGCAATGGTAATCGTGTGATTGCAATGCCCCATGGTCGACAGAATTTACCCGGTTCAGTTCCTTCTTCACCATACACCGTAAGTAGTTTCCAATTCTCTCGTAATCGTTCCGTTTTGACAGTAATTAAATATGGCGAATTACTTGTCAACAGACCATTGATACTGATAAAAATTTTTGCCGAACGTATTCCACTGCCACGTGGAATTGTATATGTAACATTATATTTGCCATTATTATTATCAAGAATATTTTTCTGTATCTGGAACGACGAATTCGGAATGAAAGAATTGTTTTGAGCTGTCGTTTCATTCGATTGAATTTCAATATCAATATTTTCGCCACCTGAAATTCATTTAGCAAAAAAACAAATTAGTTAAGAAAAATTAAATAGTCACAAAGGCTTACCTATCAAAATTTCTTCATTGAAACAATTTTTAGTGATGATGGAGAAACATGTTGGTTCACCTTCGATGGCCATTGAAAGACCTTCTCCACTAATCTGACAATAAGGACCAAATGCAGGTGTATTGATGAAACCGAATGAAGTGATTGATTTGAATAGATTTTGATCAGGCCGAGTGAATGTTATCTTCGGTAATTGAGTTATTGGTGGTTTGCTTTTATTATTATCATTATTATTGTTGGCAGTTAATTGTTGATCAATCGACAATGAATATGCATTACGAACATGATCCAATTGTTTCAACAATTGTTCTTTACGCATCTGAATACTATTGATATAAAGTTGTACGGTAGAATTGATTTCATTGGCCAACGATTGTATTTGATGATCGAAACGTGCCAACATTGAAATATTCGAACCAGTAACAACCAAGTTATTCAAATTATTATTATTTTTATTGTTGTTGTTCAACAAACGCTGATGCAATGTTGTCGATTGTTGTTGTTCCAGAAGATCATTGAGAATGGCAAGTTGATTAGTAGTAAATAAGGATTGATTACAATTACTATTATTATTATTGTTGTTGTTGTTCGAAATGATCGGAGGAGAAACATTGCTATTGCTATTCGACGATAAATTCTTTCCCATACAATTCGTATTGTTTTTACTAAATGACGATGGTGATATCTTGCTGCGTGATTGATTGTTGCTACTGTTGCCTAGTATTAGATCGCCACCACTATTATCGGCCGATAAAACGCCACTATTCAACAACAATGATTCTTGATGAACATTACATACGGTAACATTGTTGTTTATAGCCATCGTTGGTTGATGTTCGCCACCAACTAAATCTATGGCGGATGATCCCAATGGAATGCCATCATTTGCTCTTGAAAATAGTGATGATATATCTTGCTGTCCTGTTGTCGTTGCATCGGTATTATTGGTTGACGAATTTTTATTCAACAATGAATTCGACACCATCAATGAGAATGCATTATCCAATGGATTTACAGTCGAAAGAAACAAGTTTTCATTTTTCCTAGAAACTTGATTATTGAATGGATTGTTAATTACTTTTGACAAAAGTGGCGACGATGTATTGTTGTTGTTGTTCGTTGTCGATGAAGATACCAATGAAGAAGACAGATTTTGGGAATCAAGAAAATTTAAACGGTTAGCATTACCGGATTTATTGTTGTTATTACTGCTATGGTTGAAGGCAATATTTGCACTTGCTACTGCAGTTTCGGATGACGCTGATGATGGACCTGATGTCTGTGACAATGGCGGTGATGAAGAATTCGATGATGATGGAAAAGCATATGAATGCTGCTGTGGCTGATTATTATTATTATGATTTGCCATAAGAAAAGCCGACGATTGTAAGATATTATCCCTGAATTGTTGCGGTGGTTGTTTTTGTTGCTGTTGATGATTTGCATGATGTAATGGTTGTTGATGATTATGGTTATGATGATGATGATGTGATGATTGTTGTTGATCATTGCTATTGTTGTTGTTATGATTCAAAGAATTACCCACAGCGGCAGTAATAAAACCATTAAGATTGAGCAATAATGAATCCTGATTTGTGTTGGTCAAATCAGGATATTCATTCGATTCTGAACAAAAGCCATTTAAACTTTTATCCGTAGATGAGCTAGTTGTCGATGATGATAATAACACTGAATCGGCAATATTTTTCGGTCGAACAGCCAATATATCATCATTGAATAATGATTGTAAATTTTTATTCAATGTTTGTAGATTCACATCGTCATTACGGTCATTAAATCGATGTTTGATCGAATTCGATGATGATGATGGTGGTGTTGATGGCGATGATGATGATGGTGACGATGATGATAAGAATGGTGAGAATCCATTGATATTATTACATTGATTATCTTTCGATAATGAACCAATTAGATTTAGATTATTTCCAGATGACATAAACAACTTATTATCCTGATCTAATTGCATTTGTGATTGAAAATAGTTGCAAAAATTGAATAAAGAATCTGATCCATTTAATGGATCCATGATTGATCAATAGTGTTTTCTTTTTTGTTTCAATGTTACAAATAAAATTTCAATGATAATTATGCGGTTTTTCGTTTCGATTGTTTATAGTGTTCACCGTGATCACTTTCTATTTTTATATATTATTAGTTTGTTTGATAGCATTCATTTATATTTATTATTATAATAATTATGAATGAATTGTAGAATAGAATGAAAAGAAAAGTTTCAATTAAATCGGAATATTATTGTTTTTTTTCCTGATTGTTTGATGATTGCAGAAAACAATAACAATGACAAAATGAAAAATAGTAAAGTAGCATATATAATATATTTGTACCGTGTTTTATTTTTGGCAATATCTTCTATTCTCATCAATTGTTTGTCAACGTTAGTTGGACTGTTTGTTTGTACCGTAATGCCAAATAAATCAAATGAAATAATTTCGTTTGATTTAGCAAATAATAATAATGATGAGAATAATGAGAATAATAATATGAATTTGAAAAGAATTTCGTTTTTCACGATAATAGTATTGGTTTTTTTTGTTTGGATTAGACAGAAAGATTCGATTAGAATGGATGACCCGTAGTAGTTATGTTTTTTTTGTTGTTGTTGTTGTTGTTGATATTTTTGTTGACCCGTAGTAAAGTTGCAAGTTTTTTTTTTGTTTTGTTTTGCAAATTAATCAAAGTTTGGCATATGATTTTTTAAATGTTTCATTCATTTTTCATTTCCCGTTTTGTAACAGTAATCTTCAAATAATAATGATGATGATAATGATGATAATGAATGAGGATTTTGGTTAGAAGAATGTAATCTTTGTTATGTATATAGTTTCAATTAGTTTAATGTCATCATTGGTCAATAAAGTTTGATGATGACAATACCCGTAGTTGTTTCGAATGTTTGAATGTGATGTGGCTTTTAAAGATACATTCGATGATGATTATGAAGTGTGTTGAATATTGATTGTTGTTGTAATCAAATTTTGATGATGATGAAAATTTTCAATGTATTTGTTTCATGATGATGAAATTTTTTTCAATGCAAAAATGATAATAACAATTAATGAATTCCTGATAATTGGTAAATAAGAGGATGAGGTAATTATGATGATGATGATGATGATGATGATACGTTTCAAGTTTATGGTTGAATTTTTTTTCATAGAAAAGGAGAAAAATGTGTGTCTCTGTATTGTTTGTGAATGAATATAATCCGATGTCCGAATAATTTTGTTTTCGTTTCGGCACGAAATCAGAGAAAGAATGATGTTTTTTTTTGGAATCTCTTTTTCCAATGAAAAAATGCTACATTATCTTCACAAAACAATAACAACAACAACAACAACTATCAATGTTGATGCTTGACTGTTGTATTTTATTATTTGGTTCTTATTCTTATTGTTGTTGTTGTTATTGTCGTCGTTGTCGTTTTCAATTCCAAGGAAATCTGATTTTTACCATTTTGTTTTCTATCTATTTTCAAAGTTTGATGCAAACATGAATTCCAGTGAAATAGATCTATTTTGTTCTTGTTTTTTTCCAATTTCTATATATAAAAATTTTGCTAGTTGTATAGTGAAGTTGATGTTATTGATGATGATGTATAATGATGATGGTTGAAAATTGTCGATTGAATCGAATAAAATGAATTTGTATTGAATTTTAATGTACCCGTAGAATTGTTATAGGAAATAGAAAACAAAAACGAAAAAAAATCGACAATAATAATAATGATGATGAGGTTGAGGTTGAACAAACAAACAAAAAAAAAAATTTGATGATGAAAATCGATTGCAATTATGGAATTAAAAATCAGTGCGAATGAGTGAGAGAAATATTTTTTTTGCGTTTTGTTAATGATTATGATAATGAAAATAATAAGTTTCTTTGGTTGCTGACTTTATCTTGATCTTGGAGAAATGATAAAAAAATAGGAATAAGAACAAAAACAAATCTAAGAATCATTGAATTACTTACCACGGCCAAAAAATGAGAGAAATAATAATAATAATGATGATGATGATGATTAGATTCTTATTTTTAAAATTCCTGAGTTTAGTTTTCATTGTTTATCTCTTTCTCTCTCTTTATCATCATTGTTTTGTTGTTGTTATTTCGTGAATCTCGATTTTCCGGTAATACAAATCGTTTATGATATGAATGAATTATCTTGATATTCAATTGGACGATAGCGACGTTTTTTTCGTTTCATTTTCACCACAATAATGACCATCCAAATGATCCATAATAATTCGAATTGAATTCGTATGATCTTGTGTTATTGCTCTTGATATTGGAATTGCGAATGATGATGATGATTATAATTTTGATGATGATCACGAATATTATCAATAACAACAAAAATTTCGATTAATCGATGAAACCATAGTTTTTTTCCGTAAAAATTCTATGATTGAAACGATTAATAATAATAAATAAATATAAAGAACAAATATTGTTAACAAACAACAAACAGATTTAGGCAATGTCGAACATGGTTGAGCTAAAAAAAGAAAGAAAGAAAAACAATGCTTTTTTGATGAATGTTGAACAACAAAATGGACACAATTTTACAACATGTAAAATCTTTGTAACAACAATTTGTCAACAAACTTGAATCAATTCGAATCTAATATTATCGATCATATGCACATACACTTTCACACACACACACACAATCAAATAGATCAAATAGAAAAAAAAAAAAAAAAAAAAATCACAAGAATAACATCATATCAACAGCAACAGCAGATAAAATCATCAAAAGAATTTTCAATTGTCGTGTCATTATAAAATAAATTAATGATTGAACACGGCGCACTACTGGACACTTTGAGATGCGTCCTTTTTTTCTTCATTCAATGTATTCATTTTTTTCATCATCCATTTTGATGTTGTTGTTGTTGTTGTTGTTGTTGGATTTTTTTCCTTCTGACTTGTTAGTTTTTTTTACATATATTGAAATACACATCAGAAACCAGGCAAGGGCACCATCATCGTCACATAGAACAAGTGGAAAAAAAAGAGACAGAAGCCATCCATCAATCCATCCATACCATCAATCAGCAGCAATACTACCAAAACACACACACACGAGACGCTATATCATATACAAATTGTGGATCCAATCCTATATGCAGAAACAATTGGAGTTTATTTTTTCTTTTTGTTGTTTTTCCGTTTTCATTTATTCAATGTTGTTTTGACTTTGGATTTCTTCTCTTTTTTTCTTCTTCTTGTTGTTGTTGTTGTTGTTATTGTATTGTATTGTATTGAATGGATTATATATATGCACACACTGCAGTAATTTCAATTGTCAATGTCTCGAAACAACAAAAATACAAATAAGCACACAAACACACGGACGTATATGTTGATAGTTGATTTTTTTTCAAAGATAAATTGTAGTGGTGATGGTCGTTGATAGTGATGGTGGTGGTGGTGGTGGTGGTGGTATTTAGTTATTGTCGTAACATTCGTTTTAGATCTTCAAATCACAAACATATAGCAATATGGCACTACCACGCTGAGCAAAAAAACAAAACAAAATGAGTAAATTGTTTTCGAGAATCCAGAAAAATCGTTTGTGTGTGTGTGTTTGTATCGTTATCATATTGCAGACGATGATGATGGATATATAAGAAAAAAAATATGGTTGATTTCCTTGAATTCAAATTGATTTGTTCTTTTCCAAAATTGGAACGTTTACGATCTGCTCTACTTTGGCATATTTTTTTTTTTTTTTTTTTTTTGGTAAAAACTTTGAGCAAATGCCGAATATGTGATATGAGCTGAATATAAATGAAAAATTCTTAAGAAAAATTCATCTACGTTCGAAAAAAAACGAAGTTAATTATGCCAATTGGTTGATGATGTCAATCGAGGGAGTGGTGATCGTTGTTGTTGTTGGTGGTGGTGGTGGTCTGTAAAAGTTGAGTGTGTTTTTTTTGTCGATCGTCTATATTCATTTACCATTTGATGAACATGTATGAATGTTGAACATTGAATAGGAGAATCAGGTAATAGAAAAAAAAATTTTTTTCCTTGGAATTTGGGCTGGCCCGTGTTCTTATATATACAATTATTATAATGACTGATTTAAATGGAATGAAATTGGAACCCGTCTTCGTCTTAGTTTGATCAATGTAGACAATATAACTGCTGGTAATGGTCTGAATGAAATTTATCGATGAAATGACGAAAAAAAAAAAAAATCGATAATAATGAATGTCAAGAAATAATGATGAAAACAGGCTATAGATTGTATCATATGGGTTCAAAGTTTAATTCAAAAAAAAAAAAAAAATTCGAAACTTTCACATTTTCGAATCGAAATGAAAGGATTTTTTTTTAATTCGTCTATAGATGCCTTGCCATTGTAAGTATCATTTGATGATGGTAACGACGAAGACGACGGCGACGACGACGACGAATGAATTATGAGGAAAAAAAATCAATGTTATATACAATGTATTTATATATAAATACATATTCAACCATGAGAATGATGGCTGTAATTCTTTGTCTTGTTTTTGTTAATTTCTCTATATTTGTAGTCCACCAAATAGGCGCCCAAAAAACATCGAAAAAAAACCTGCTTTCAAAAATGATCATAATTCAATGAAAAGAAATTCTACTTTATCTTCTACTACTACTACTACTACTACCACCATCATCACCACTTTGTTTCGAACATTCAACTCGTGTGGATGATGATAATATTTTTCAATCCATCAAACCTTGTTTCTTTATTATTATCCTTTATATAATTGGAAAAAAAAAAAAAAACACTTTGTCATAAAGAAATCAAAAAGTTATAACTTTGAAGAATTTAATGAAGAAGAAAAAGAATTAAACTTGTTCCCAAGGTTTAATTCATAAAAATATGATCATTATCGATGTTTGTGTGTATGTGTGTGTGTTTGTGAGTTTTATTATGTCCATGTGTATTAATGATCATAATCAGTTGAATTATACATTGTATACAGTGAAAGGATAATGGTGAAAAACAAAATCTGGTTGGGACTAAACCAATATCTCTCATCGATGATTGAAAATCAATAATAATGATGTTTTGAATATGATTATAAAAAAAATGAAACATTTACCAAAGAGAAAATCCAACCAAACAATAACTACTTGTTGCCTAAACGATGACATTATTGCCTTATACGCGTTTGTCATCAGAATGAGATTGTCTTGTCTTATTTTACAAAAAAAACTTTGTTATAATTGTAGTAGATTGAATGACCCATTTGGCCTGGCATTGTTTCCATTAACCATACATAATAAATAAATAATATATGTTGATAATGTTCTTAGGTCAATGCCATTTAAATCCGGATATTAATGAATAAATTGAGGATAAAATAAATTGGAAAAAAAGGTGGTGAACAAAGAAAGGAAGTTCAAGTGTTTTGTTGTTGTTGTTGTTGAAAGAAAGAGAATAAAGGTCATGAGATCACCAGTTTTAACCGGTGGTCACGTGTTTTCTTTTTTTTTTTTTCTTACAAAATCAAATCTTATGATTATAAAACAAGTTTACTCTCTTTTTGAAATCATCATTGTATTGGAGTGGAACATTTTTTTTATAAGAAAAAAAAGGTATTTTCCGAATCCAGTTTTATATCATCATCATCATCATCATCATCAACATTCAAATCATGTGTCATCTTTTCACTTTTCGATTAGAAATTTTTTTTTTGAAAAAAAATAACCATACCATAGTCGTTTTTTTTCAATCTTACACATTTAAATCAGGTTATCACCGGTATTAATCGGTTGACTAGAAGGAAAAAAATTTTGATCAATAAAAAAAAACAAAAATTTATTATCGATTATCCACCGACATCTGATGATGGTTATTTATTATATATTCGCGCCTCAGTACCTTAAACCCGTTGTTGTTGGTCCATTCAATATAAATAGAGAATGCGGATGAGATAGTTGATGATGCCTTTTTTTTATCCGACTACCATTTATGTAATTTTCCATTTTGGTTATTATCATTATGATTGTTCAGTTGTTTGATCGGTCGATTTGGTTGTTTGGTTGGGGCCCCTTTTTTTCATATCTTGTATCCATTTACTATTACTATCATCATTGAAGCTTGGAAAAGAGAGAGAGAGAGAGAAAAAATGAGGCCCTTGAATAAAATATATCCCAAAAATGATGAACTCAATAAAAAGAAGAAGAAAAAAAATGTTTAGTTGATGTGTGATTATCAACAGTTGGGAAGAAGAAGAAGAAAAAAAAAATAGAAAATCTTTCATCATCATCATCATATGGAAATAAACACAAAGTGATGAAGTGTTATCAATGTTGTTGTTGTTGTTGTTGTTTTTTCCTTGACTAAGCAAAAGAAAAACAATATAATAATATTGTTACGGATACAGATTCCAATTTCTTGTTGTTGTTTTCATTATGATTTTTTTTTCTTAGAATCCAATCCAATGTATAAATAAATAACATTAGTTACTACTTTTACACGTATTATCATTTATTTTTTGTTGAATAAAAAAAAAGAGATCATTCTCTTTAAGCGTGTGTGTGTGTGTGTGTGTGTGTGTGTGTTATATGATGTGTGAATGAGGTTGAATAAACCTTTTAACGAATATATGTTTTTTGCGTTCATTATCGTTATCATTTTTTTTTCTCTGCCTTCGTCAATCGTTGTTATTCATGGGGCCCCATAGTAACACATACACCAAAATGGCCAATATTATGGCTAATATAATGGTAAAATTCATTTTGTCATTTTAATTTATTCATTTGGAACGAGAAAAATATCGTGTATTTTTTTCTGAAAAGAAAAAGGAAGTAAAATTTTATCCAATTTCTGGGATTTAACGATTATTATTTGACCATTTGAACAAATGGTCTATAAATATAAATTTCAGTGTATAATTTTTCATTTTTAAAATAATAAAATTTTAACAATCAATTCTGTGAAAAACAATAGTCGGATCATATTCAGAGATTTGTGTATTATTCACACCCATCCACCCACCCACACACACAAAATAAGAACAAAAAGTATCTGTTTATCGATGTAATTCAATACTGGAAATTCAAAATGATTGATGGATTGATTGCAAAGGAAAAAAATAGTGTTTAAGATGAAAAAAACATTAATTGCGGTGTGCATTTCATTTAGATGTGTACATGTGTGTGATCGCAGTTATATAGAAAACACAACGGGAATAGGAATAATTTGATGGGAAATAAAAATCATAAAGGTATGGTTGTTGTTGCATTAGGTTCAAGTGGTATTGGCTATCATTATGAGATAAGTAATATGGATAATTCTTGCACAAGGGAAATATCAGCCATTTATGGAATTATTGTCCATTGTTCGAGACTCATTAATTAATTTTTGAAAGAAGTCGGATTGCTACATCGGCTACTACCTGAACCAATACTTGCATCGCTATTTGTTTTGGAAGCGGCATACAATTCTCGTCGTTTAGATGGATGCATCATATGATATGACATTGCTGATTTTGATATTGGTCGATGACGAGGAGGACCATTCCATTCCGATAATTTACATCGCGATGTTAATGGTAATGATGATGGTGATATCGGATTTGGTTTGTTTGAATAAATTGTCTGAGCATTCGATTGCGTTAATTGTTGCAATGCAGGATTGGAATGTGATTCTTGACTATTTCTAGACGATATTGGTGGTTCCCATTCCACTTCATCCAGTGAATATTGTCGTCTAGGATTTTTGCTAAACATTCTTGATGAAATGTTTTGATTATGAACATTTCGCAAATGTGAATGCGAGAATGATCGCGATTTATTGGATAACATGGCGAATGAATAGGACATAGGATCACTGTAACAAGGATATTGATCCGAATATGAATGTTTGATTGGTTGAACATATTTCGGATGAAATTTCATGGGCAACTCTTTGAAACAAATCTCTTGTGATGATTGTTTTGAATCATTTTCTTTCATTGGCAGCTTTGTTTTTCGTTGATTACGACGTAAATTTTTACGATTAATATTTGGATATGAATGTACACTTATGTCAAATTCGCTTTCTTCTTCTTCCTCTTCGATTATGCTGTTGATTGCATGAAGTTTTGCCTTAAATTTCGATACTTGATTCTGTTCTAAATCATTGAATTCAAATGAATCATTATCGTATTTTTCTTGATTAAATTCAAAAATATTTTGGAAAAATTTATCAGATGAGGATGACTTTGATTGTTTCTTGTTATGAAGATGATTACAATTGTTAACGTTTGTTTGTCTGTTTGAAGATTTTTTGCAATTTTCATTCTTTGCCTTTACCACAAAGCTCGAATTATTATCGTAATTTTGTCGTTCAGAATTATTATCCGGAATTTTTTTCGATCCATTATCGTTATCGTTGATTAAACTTTGACTTTAGAGATTCAGAAAAAAATCAGTGACAAATTGCAAAAAAAATTCCAGATAAACTTACTTGAAAACATTCCAGATAAAATAGTAGACTAGAATGAATCCACAGAACATTATGAATCCAACAATTGTAAATAAAATTATCGGCACTTTATGAGACTTTTAAATCGAAAAGAAATTAAATGAATCTGGTTTGTAAATGAATGAATAAAACTTACTATTGTGCCATCATCAGTAAAAAGATCATCATGATAATGTTCACAGGTGAGGTAGGAACAAAGCGAATCGCTTAGCTCTTTACGTAACGATTTTAGTGTTTGGCTTGTTGTGATATTCGTATCGATACTAATCATACATTGTTGGATTACATTGAGGCACATCTCTTGTAGTATAACCATATTGGCCGAATCACATTGGCCAATTCGAATGTCTGAGCTTTTGCCAAATGATAAATAATTAAGAAATCGTTTTCTTCTTTGTAACATTTTCTTTATAATGATATCACATCGAAATATGTCACAATAATCGGCTAGACATACGAAATCTTCTCTCTATTGGCAAAAAAAAAAATTGATAAAATGTGTCAAAAAAAAGAAAAACATTCATTCTATAAAATAAATGATTGATTACATATGGCCGAGAATAGCGATGTTCAGTATCCCAATGAAAAATTAATCGCTCTGAACAATGAAAATCTACACCACAAATTGGACAAGTCCAATATGAATGATGATCATGTACGCCATCATCATCATCATCATCATCATCATCAACATTGTCATCATAGTGGTAAGACATTGGCCACCAAAGAAATTCTCTATCCGGATGGAATGGACATTCATGAGATAAATTTGTTTTATGTCGTATGAATATTGGAATGAATTTCTGCGAGAGAATAAAAAAAAACGAATGATAATAATATTTTAAATTCACTTTGCTGCTCTTACCTTATAGATAACATCTCGTACAATTTTTGAACGATCTCTTGAACACTTGAACAATTCGATAGAATCTTGTCGCCAAGTGATAACAATGAGCATTATAATAAAAATAGCCTAAAAGATTTATTATATCAAAATGATTGAATTTGTTAAAAATGATGCAAGACAGACAATACATACCTCCAAAGTTACTAATGAATGGAGATTCATTTACAAAAAAATTTTCTTCATCCAATCAATCAATTTTTAAGTTAATCTTAACAAAGGTGATGAAAAAAATTTATCAACAAAGTATAGATGAGATCGATGAACAGTGACAATAACAACAACAACAACAACAACACAGTAAAAGAATAACAAATAATATCATCATTTGTATATGACTAGATGATCTGATGTACGTCGCCGGTAATTTCAATCTTTTTTTAGCTCAACAATATCAATAAATTGACAACAAAAACCATATTCACTTTTGGTTGCTGTTGCTGATATGCAATGAAAATCGTATATATATTATTATGGTGTGCATTCGGTGATTTCGGTCGGGTCAGTTTGATTCAAAAAATTTTTCTTTGTTTTGACAGCGGTTGATTGAAACGCAGAGAGATGAGATGAAAAAAAACCACCTAGCATAAAAAAAAAGAATGGGCAACGATAACAAAACAAAACAAAAAAAACAAAATAAAAACTTGGACCATTTTTTCGAGTCATGTGAAATAAATACCTCAATAGATAGAAGTCATTAATTATGGTTGCAAATAATGGCAGACATGGTAAAGAAAGAGATCCAAAATGTAACCATAATAATAGACTATACTATAGAAGAATAAATATAGAGCAGATTTGGGAGCCACCTATTTATTCTTTATTTATTTATTTTCGTTTTGTTTTGTTTTTTTTTTTCAGTTAGTTAGATTAATAACAATTTGACAGCCACCAATATATATTAGCTGAATGGTGATGATGCCCGGTCGCAATCGTGGTAAAACCATTTCGTATTTATCGTTTTTTTCGTCTTATAATAATGAGAAATAAAATCCAAACCAAAAAAAAAAAAAACAAATTCTAAATGAGTTTTACACAATTTATTTGCTGTGTTGTTGTTGTTGATTGTTGATTGTTCAAGATTATTTTTATTATTATTCAATTCGAGCGCATATTCAATGCATCGAATACATTGGCTGAGAATCTGGGAAAATTCTACCGTATAACACACATCAGAATAGGGTCCGATTCCTGTTAACTCTGAATTCATTCTAATTGAACCATTTTTTTTTGTCTCATCGTATCGTACCTATCTCTGCATTAGTATACCTGCAATATATACTTTACTACACATGCTACTAAAAAAAAAATACTCAACAAATACAGTTACATATATGTATGTCGATCCTGGAACAACATTCGACTTATATAATACGCTGAAAACGAATCAATATTTAAGTATATTATTAACATCACCAGATGGCTTACCAAATAGTAATACTTTCTCGGTATGAAATTAATATATTCCACAAAATAACCACGTGAATATTTTTTTTTCTTTGGAATTATCATCAAATCAAATCAAATAAAATCAAAATAATCATCATCATGATATTTAAATTTCAATCATTATTTGAATTGGACAAATGTCAATTCATTATTAATACGAATCAAAGTCCATTGATATCACCATTTGCATTTGATTTATTGCTGCAACAATCGATTAAAGATAAACAATCTATTCTTATTGTTTTGTTGGCCCAAAATCTTCAACATTACAGTGCTGTTTCGATGAAATGTGGCATAAATCTAAAAAATTACATTGATAATGGCTTAGTAAAAGTTATCGATACATTCGATTATGATATTGTCATTGATCCTGATCGATTCGTTGAAGATATTCAAACAAAATTGTCCATAATGCCGGAAAAATCTTTCATATTAATCGATGATATTCAGGTGTTCAATTCGTTGGGGATATCGGCCAGAAAAACTTTTCTCATAATCAAACAAATTCAATCAATGTTATACAGAAAACAAGGTAAAATTTTCATTGGAATGTCAATGATTTCAAATGATCGATCCAAATGGAATCAATTGGTAAATAATCTAATCTTCGAATGTGATTATTGGCTTGATTGTGATTGTCCAAAAACCGGCTATTCACAACATATAAACGGAATCGTCAGATGTTTTAATCGACATGACCAATCAACAATGGAGCTGAATTATAGAATATCGAATAGAAATATAATTTTTACAAAATTGTAACATTTATTTTTGTCAATCTTTATTTTTATTATTTTTATTGAGATTAAATATTTGTGCTTTTCGAGTATGATGTATATTTACATTTTATAATCAAAACCCAAATTTGTAGTAAAAAAAAAGTTTCTTGGTTTGTAAAATGAGAAAAAATGGTTCAACCATTTTTTTCTGTTTCAAATAATGTAAGTGTGTGTTTGTGTGTGTATTTCAAGTGATGATTAAACATAATTATATTGGCGACGTTGACCAGACAAAAGACAGGAGAAAATCAAGCCAATAATTTGGACGACAATTACGGTGATCACCAACGATCCAAGATAGCTAACCGAATTACGTAATTCGTCGGAAATGATTTCGACACATCCTCGTGTATAATGTGGACCAGACATGGAACATTGTTCACCAACATCTTTACAGCAGCTTTTCGGCAATAAACCATTTTCATGATAATTAGTATTATTTTTCCAATCACCTGGACCATCGGCACCACAACAGGCGAAACGTGTTTGAATATCATCAATCATTTTACTGATGGCTGAATCATCATCATCATGATATTTTCGAATCGCTTCATCCAGGCCACTTTCCATCGATTGTCGGATCTATTTCGACAAAAAGAACAATGAAAATTATGTCTTGATTATATAAAGATAATAATTTATTACCGTCTTCTTGAATGTGAATACAAACGCAACAGCGATGATTTCACTCAACAATAATAAAGTGAGAATGAATGAAAATGTACGGAGCATAAAATCGTTGCCTGTTATGGCACCACAACATCCCAGAAAAGAGATGAGAAAGATGACGAAACCAAGTACCAAAAGAACGATTGTTGCTCCATCCGGACGATTATGTACGACAAGACTGTATTGATTCAAACTTATGAAAGTTGAGAATCCAGTATACAATAACAGAATACCGAATATAACAAATACAAGTGTAAAAGCACACAGAATGTATCGCATACAGGAAATAGACCCTTGTCCCATGTTGATTTTTAGATATTTTTTTTTTTTGGTCAAAATTAAAAAAGATGATTTTTTTGGTGAAAATAGATCAAATGACAGAAGAACAAGAAACTTTGGTATTTAACACTGCGTATGTAATAGATATTTTTTACATTTGATATAATCAAAAACAACAACAAAGACTGAAACCACAAAAGCAATCAAAAAAAAAAAAAATGGCAATATTATTATTCTTGATAAGCGGATGAGAAATGGGCTCAACTGTAATAAATAAAATAAATGTTGATAATTTTTGATCAAATCAACAAATTGCAATGGGATTTTGTTTAGGAGAGAAATCAGAAAAATATATCACTCAACAGTGTCAGTTAATGTGTGTGTGTGTATCTGTTGGTTGTGTGAAGAAAAATGGAAATTCGAATAAAAATACGCAGCAATTTGAATGAGTGAGTCATGACAATCACACACACACACAACTTTATTCAAACGTTCATCAGCGGCGGCCATTCATGCTACTCAAAAAAAAAAAGTTCGATATGCATGCATGCAGATAAACACATTCACTGTATGAAATTTTCCAGTAGCAGATTTTAAGGATTATCGATTTAATGTTTATAAATAATGTGATGTGATGGCTAAAACAAAAGATGATAAATCAATTTTATTTACAAAGCAATTGATTAGGTTAAAGAGATTAGATTAACGTTTAATTTTTTTCTGATAAAAAAAAATCATAAAAAAATTAGCAACTTTATTTGTATTGGTGAACGATAGATGTCGTCAGAATCGGACAGTATTTTTTTTTGTTTTTATTCTTGAATACTAGATGTCAGGGTAATCATTCGATTCATTTATCGGTTTTTTTTTGTTCAAATTCTTTATCCGGCAACGGTATATATCTGAACATCATTTGACCTTGACAGTTTGGACCAAGTATTTTTTTTTCAATTTCATTGTTATTTGTTGGAAAGTAATTTTGTTTCCTATCGTATCGATAAATGGATATCAATTTGGAAATTCCAATAATGAATTCAATATAATTAATAATTTATTTAAATGACTTATACGGCAAAAACATTCGATCAGAAAAACACAATCAATAAAGTTACACCCACTAAATACACACATTAAGATGTGAGCTATTACCGCATAGTCAATTTGACCGATTTGACTTATATATCATCGATTTATTAAGGGAGGGGTCAGAACAAAAAGAAAGACATTCTTAAAACCAAAATTTATCCGTTCCAGAATTTTTTTTTATTCGTCCAACCAACCAACCACCCACCCACCCACAGTGTGTGTGTGTGTGTGTGTGGAGTACATCTCAAATCAAAAGCAAAAAAAAAATGAATTCTTTACTCAATGTCAAATAACTATAGTAGTTGTGGTGGTAATAATAGTAGCGGTATTGTTGATTGTATTACATTAGCCTTTTTTTTATTTTTCGTTACCAAATTCAATATTTGGTTGCATCGAAATTCCGTACTTGCGGGTATACGCGGAAGAGATGATGATTTAATTCAATGCATACATGCAAGTTATATATTTTCGTCATCATATTTGTCGTATAGTAAATAAGAATTGACGTATTTGGCCAACTTTTCTCCTTCGAACAAACAAATGCAAACAAACAAAAAAAATTGATGATAGAGATCTACAAAAGAGAGGTATTGTGTGTGTGTGAATGTATGTGTGATGAAAAAATTTCAATTCACAAATGTCAAATTGATGTTAAATTCTGTGAATGAATAATTATCATCTTCGACAAATCATTGACAAAAAAAAGAGCAAGAAAAATGTCCTTGACATTCATCAACATTTTGTCTCCTCCATTGGCCAGATATCATCATCATCATCATTTTTAAATCAATTATCGTCACTGTGATGGAATGTGTGTTATTCGATATTCTTCACGAATTTTTTTTTCTCTTTTATGATTTGTTTACCAAAACCGAATGAGAAAAACAATTTCTGAAATTTTTGTAACAACTTTTATCCAAATGTCCATATCAAAAATGAAACATTCAATTAAACAATCACAAACACACACACACTCACGCTGATGATATATTGGAAATCTCATCAAAAACCATTATTGAAACGTATCCATCCATTCATCGAAATGATCGTCAAAAAATGATACTTGCGCACAAAATTAAACGAATTTTTTTCCTTTTGGATTCTCTATCTCTATATCGAAACAAACGAAGAATGAAAAGAAAACCGCCAAATCACATTACACACACACACACACACACACACACACAGATACAAAACAAGAGATTCATCCCATCCATCCCAATTGTCCAAATCCAGATATATAAGTAACCATCATCATTATTTACGACAATTGTAACTCTGATTGTCACATTATTTTATTCATTGAAATGTCCGTTAATCCGCACATTCCATACCATTATCAATAAAATGTCTTCTATTTGTTCTTGTATGTTTTTTTTTCTGTTTATAATTGGGTAAAACAAACAAAACAAAACAAAACAATGGTGGCATTGAATAAATCAAATTTAATAATCATCAATTGAAACGAAAATGTAAGTCAATTAAAATGAATTTTTCTTTAATTTGAATTAATGTCCCATTTAATTATCATCAATTTGTGCATTTAATTATTATGAACAATTATAATTTGGTTAGAAAAAGAAAAATTCTTTGTTAGAATTGTTCTGTGTTTAATTTTTCATTATTTAATTTTTCCACATTTAATGTCAGGAATAATCTTATTGTCAAGGTCAAGAAAAAAAAAAGAAAAGATGAAAATTCAATTTTTACAATGGTGATTGCCGTTTTGGATTAAATTATTATTTTGGCGGGAAAAAAAATACAATACAAGGTGTAGATGTGAAATTAGCCATATAGCATTTGAGTGTGTGTGTGTGTGTGTGTGTGTGCAGTTGTAATCATCATCCTTATTGATTGCTATAAATTGACGATGATAATTTGTTTTTTTTTCTAATCATTCAAAATATTGCAAGAATTTGAAATGAAATAAAAAAAAAATATTTCTTGTCATTGACAAGTAATAATAATAGGAATTGATGAACAACAACAACAACAACAAAAAAAAATTGTTTATTATTGATGTATCATCCTGTTGTTGTTGTTGCTATTGTGGTTTTTTTTCATTTTAAAAGAACCAAACAATCAACCAAACATATACATTGTGTTTTACAATGAAAACAAAAATAATTGACATTTTGACATTGGCCAATCCACATCATCACCATAATCAACATTTCCTGGCAAACAAATTTCAATTTTACAATTTTAGTCAATAATAAACACAGGATATAATTCATTTGAATTGTTAGATATTACAAAAAAAGTGCAATGATCCTATGATGTCGACAGAAAAAAAAACATTTTCAACCAATCAACAACAACAACAACAACGACAACAACAACAGAAACAAAAAAAAACGTGATCACATTTCATTCAATTCATATATATAGAAAAAAAACCAATCAGATTATGGTGGTCATTATACATGAATATTTTATTATTTTTGACGTTTAAATGTTTCAACGGAAACAAAACAAAATTATTCTGTATTAGCAAACATTTTTGTTTTTTTTTGTATGAAAAAATCATCATTGGATTTGTTCATCAAATGTTTTTTTGTTTTTTCGTTTGTCAATTGCAATTATCTTAAACATAATCATCATCATCATCATTATGATTTTTTTTTATTCATAATTTAAACATTATGTAGGCGTCAGTAGTAAACATTTGTCGCCAATATTCTATATATGTTTTCCATTGCACATATACAGTGTAGGGCAGTCAAGCTATAATTCCATCAGCTAAATGTGAGGTTTTTTTTGCATAATAACGACGATGATGATGATGATGATTATAGTTGGTTAATTGATAATCTCTTCTTCTCGAACAAATTATTATTGTTGTTACATGTACCACTGTACTTAGTGTTATCTCTTTTTTTTTTTTTTTTTTTACTGATCATTTTAGGATTAACCAACCAAATGAAATGATGTTTTTTTTTCTCGCAATTTTCTCTCAAAAAATAATATAGAGAATATAGTGGATATATAAAATTTCAAAAGAAATCAGTCACATTCTTCAGTTGTACAATTTAGATTGTCGCCATCATCATCATCATCATCATCATCATCATCGTTTATGATGATGACGCCATCCATGTCATTTAGCCATATAAAAGTACACACACACACACACACACATTCATTTTTTTTCCTGGTATATAAAATGTATTTTGATATTATTATTGTAAAATGGCTATAATAATTTAAGTAATATAAAACCATGGCCTTCATCATCATGATGACTTGGTGATGTAAGCAAAGCGACAAAGCTAACTAGTAAGCTACTTCTAATGATAATACTTTGCAAATTTTTTTTTTCGTTGAAGCAATCATTCAATTCCAAAAAAAAAAAAAAAAAAATAAAAACATTCAATAACATTGCAATTTTTGTGAAATAATCATTCAATTCGTGTACATTTTAACCGATTGATTTTTTTTTTCGTTTCTTTCTGAAATTTTAATTTTAAGTTCGTTTAATTTTCATTGTTTGTTTGTTTGCCAGAACAAAAAGGTGATTAGTTTGTTTCAACTTTTTCTCTTTTTTTTCATTTACGAATATAAAACAAGATCAAACCTATGTTAACATGAAAATAATTTATAGCTGAATTTGTTTTTAATTACTTTTTCGATCGATTCGTCTCGATACAAATGATTAAAATTAAACCCAAACGATTCGAATATTATTCAATAACATGTTTTTTTTGTCATGATAATAATGAGATGAGATGGTAGTTGTGGTGTTGATGTTGAACAACGACAATCAAATCGATTGACATGTTTTTTCTCTTATTTTTTTTCATGACAAAAAAAAACCAAATAGAGGTGCTGATTCATGTCATCGATTTCATGTTTCATTTCATTTGAACAATCCATCCAATGTCGATATCGGTATATATATTATCTCTGATGATTATAAGATCTTGTCTATTTTTTTCAATGTTATTTTTATATATATCAATTGATTGATGCTGATTCTATTCGATCATTCAACATTTGTCATTCAAAACGTTCTAATCGGTTATTGTTTTTTTTTTGCTTTGTTTAGATTTTTATTTTTTTTAAATTTTCACCATTAATCTTCTAATAACAAGTTGATGAACAATGTCTGCCGCAGTCCAACCACAACAACAACAACAACGTGAATTGCCTGAAGGTTAGTCAGATTTAAAAAATTTCTGAAAAATCATCAAACTCCATGCTACCTTGTGTTATGATTTGTAACCATTTTTTATTTATTTATTTTTTATATAATTTTTCGTTTTAGTACCAGTTACCGGCAAACGACAATCACCGATCGATATTAGTACGAATAATGTTGTAAATGAACGAACAAAACGTTCCGTTCTGCAAGATGGTTCCAAACCATTATATATTGATTACAATCCATTGAATGGTGTTCAAATGACCTTACAGAATACTGGTCATGGATGGCAATTAAGCATTCCAGATGAACATGCAAAAAATTGTGGTAATTAAATTGATTAATTAATTTCTCCATTAAATTTTTTCATTTAACAAAAACTTTTATTTTTTAGAAATTACCGGTGGTACTTTGGGCAGCGATCGTTATCGTTTACTCCAAATTCATGCTCATTGGGGCCGTGATTCAAAAACCGGCTCTGAACATACGGTGAATGGTCGAACATTTCCTTGTGAATTACATTTGGTCCATTGGAATTCAACAAAATATTCGGATCCAAAACAAGCACAAACACAAAGTAAAGATGGTCTTGCTGTTATTGGTGTTTTCGTTGATATTGGATCGGAACCACATCCAGTTTTTACCATCATCGACAGTAAGTTTCATCTGTAAATTCTATCATAATTAGACATTGTAGATTATCGATTTTTCTTTCACAGACTTGGTTCCAACAATCCCATACAAAGGTGATAAAACTTCCGTGCAAGATGAACATTTGGACCTTAATCAATTGGTGCCCGATCGTCATTCACCCAATTATTGGTTCTATTTAGGATCATTGACCACTCCACCATACAATGAATCCGTACTTTGGCATTTGATGAAAACGCCAATTACTGCCTGTGAAAATCAAATTGCTGAATTTCGAAAACTTTATGAAAAAGAATCATCCAATGATAGTAATCATCTTGTTCATGAAAATTATCGCGATATTCAAGATTTACATGGACGACCAATATTGGATATTGAATCAAATTGACAATCTAATTTAATCAACATTTTATTTGATCGTCGATGATGAAGTTGATCATCATCATCATCATCAAATAATAATTCTTCCATATATAAACGAAAAAAAAAATTCAAAAAAGACAAATTTATTTAGCTTGTTTCATAGAGCCAGAATTTATATATTTTTATTATTATAATATAAAAACAAAGAAGAGAATAATATATTTTGTTACTGTTTTTTTTTCGTTTGTTCGTCGTATAAACGTAATAATAATTAATAATAATTGTTGCCTTAATCTTTAAAAATGTTACTACAACAAGTGAGATTTCATCATACATTTATTATTCAAACACAAAAGATTTATTTATATTTTTGTCAACTTATATATCGTGCTCATCATATATAGTATATTTTTATGATTAACTGAAATAATAAACAAAAAAATGATGCATTTAACCATGACATTTGACCGTCAGTCATTGCTAGTATAATAATAATAACTTATTTATTTTCTTTATGATGATGTGTGCTTATGATATACATTGTTATTTTGAAATCATTGCATTTTCAAATCATTTTTACGACTTATTGTTCTCTTTTTTTTCTGTTTGAATACTATAATCAGAAAAAGAAAATTTCAATCAAAAACTAGAAATATTCTTAAACAAATGTTCACAATGATAATGGCACAAACTAATGATCGAATCGTGAAACCACCATATGGATTTAGATTGAAAAAATGGCTAACAATCATATTGAATTTGATCAATTTAATTATTCTTTTATATTTGGTGATCAATTTGATTATGACATCAAATTATTTTGGCAGCAAATATCAACATCGAATGGCATTGACAAATTCAACAAAATCAATTCGTCAATATAATTATTTTGCCATATTTCCTTATTATATTGATTACTATGATCAATATCAAAAGCAACAGCCCGATGATGAAGATTTCAATCAGGTCGGTTCACAAAATAAAAAAATTATTTTCTTAAATTTTGGCATGATTTATTGATTATTTATTAGTCAATAACAGAGCTTTATACAAACATTACCGAAATAATTATCGATTTGATTGGACTAGTTGCTGTTATCAAAGAACATTATTGGCTTAGTTTGATTTATATCGTATTGGGTATGATCAATTTAATTGGTACAATTGTCATGTATACAGAGATGCGTACCTATGTAACCTTAGCACAAATGATTCTGGCAATAATATTCTATTCAGTTCTATTGTTCTATGTGAATGATTTGATGAATATTAGAAAACAACAAAAAATACAGGATGAAGAAGAAGAAGAAGAGCAGCAACAAAATATTTAAAATTTGTTATCATTTGTTATGGCATTGATGATGATGAAGATGGCAAAATTAACTTATCTTTTGATTTATATCGATTTCAAGTTTGTGGTACTTTACTTTTTTAATTTTTTTTGATCATGATAATAAAACCGATTATATGACTCAATAAAAAAAATAATAAATTATAATTGATAAGTGGAATGTCTCGTGTTTTCTCGATAATTTTTTCAATGTAAATCTCAAAAATTATAAAATGAGTTTGTTTGTTGCTCGTTTAGCTGATCATTTGTTGCTGTTGTTGTAACATTAAAAATGACTTCAAAATCGATTGACGAGGCCGAAAAAAAACTTGAAAAGGAATTGTTTAAACAATTCAAAGACATAAATCCAGATGATCTAATTCGTGGAAAAACACCCGATGATATAAGTAATCGATGTTTTAAACTTGTTCAGATTTATATGGCAAATAATGATCAATGGAAACGATTATGTAAAACAACGAATGATTTGAATGTCCGTCGAATAAGCGGTGGTTTGACTAATCAACTTTATTATGTTGGTTTAAACAATAGCATCAATGAAACCGATAATGCAATAACGATTAAATTCTATCAAAGTAAACATTTTAAAAAAGATGTTATCGATGATGATTCAGATGATGAACGATTGAGTGATACAATCATTTCAATCATCATCAGTGAACGTGGAATAGGACCAAAAGTGTTTGGTATATTACCGGATGGTATAATTCAATCGTATCATGAGGTAATTATCCAAAGTCTAAATTATAAATTTTGAATTTATGACATTTTTTTTCTTTCCAAAAATATAGCATGAACAATTTCGTCCGAAACATCAACACAATGATCGATTGCTAAAAAAACTAGCATATCTTCTAGCACAACTGAATAATTTGGATATTCCAATTGCCAAGGATAAATTCTATTTGCTTGATATTATAACGAGTTATAGTCATGAAGGATATCGACGCCATAACGTTTCATCACTAGCTAAAGAATTAAATCTTAGATATCTACTTGAAAATGATTTCCTTGCCGAAATGGATTGGTTCGATTCGTTCATTCGACACTATCTGGATCAATGTCCTATGGTTTTCAATCATAATGATTTTCGTGGCAGCAACATAATGGTGTTGAAAGACAGTGAGGAAATGCTTCTTTGTGATTTCGAATATAGTTCATATGGATTTCGTGGAAACGATATAGCAACATTTCTTATGGAATGGGATCGAAACTTTCTTGATTTCGATGATACCGGTCTTCCATCTGATGATGTTATTGAAAAATTTATCCAACTTTATCTTGAAGGTTGGGAACAAATTGATCCTGGTTATTCGACAAGAGCAGAAAATTCATGTCAGAAGATAATGAACGAAACAAAAATCGGTTGCTTATTTGTTCTCATTAATATTATGGCAGTAACTTTGCATCAAAAGGAATCAATTTTTGCAGATATTCCATTTGAACCTAAAAAAATTATTACAGGAGTGAATTTCATGTTCAAACGGTATTTGAACTTTAAAAATTTATTGATTGAAGAAAAAATTATTGATTATTAATACTGAAATGATGAAAAGAAATTTCTGTTTAATTTTTATTTATTCGGGATTTGTTTAAAATTTTTGCTATCAATAAATTTTATTGCTGATAAACACGAACATAATCAATCTCCAACGTATGTTTAGGCCATTGGCGAGCTTGATCCGGCGTAACATATGGGCCGGGTCCGAAAAAATTTCCCCCAACAGCCACGTTAAGCATCCAATGAAATGGTTGATCAAATGGTTGACCATTTTTGGTGTACGGATTCACACCCTTACCTGACCATAACATTCGATCAATGTCCAATGTAAAATATTGTTGATTATCCATGTACCATCGTAATTGTTTATGATCCCATTCCAATGCAAATGTATGAAAATCCTGACTGAAATTTACACTAAACGATCGTGGTCCACTACCCGAATAAATATGGTTTGGCCATGTGCCGCCATAATGTGCAGTACCTTCAATACGATCGGGATTATCACCACGATATTCGACAATATCGATTTCACCACTAGCAGCCCATATTCCATAGATACTATCCTGTGGCATCATCCAAATCGCTGGCCAAAGATTATGTCCATATGGCATACGTGCGCGCGCTTCAAATCGACCATATGTCCATGCTTGTCTTGTATGCAATCGAGCCGATGTGAATTGACGTTCACGATAATTTTCTACACGAACATCGATCACCAAATTTCCATTCTCGATACGAGCATTTTCCGTTCGATTATACGTATAGAATTCCAATTCATTATTACCCCAACCATTACCACCGACTTCATAACTCCATTGATTCAAATCCAATTGATTACCATTGAATTCATCTTGCCAGACAAGACGCCATTCGGCTTGTGATAATCCAGCTAGTAGAACAAAAACAAAAAAATATTTCAACATCATTTGTATCGGCAAAATCTTAATGTAAATCATTTATCGATTGTGTTTTCTCATTATATAAGCTCTTCATTATTATCATCACCATCATCATAGTCATCGATCAAAATAATTGGATCAACAAGTGGCCCCAATCTCTTAGTTTCAAGTATTTGTCAATAATACGGTATCTTGTTTGACTTTATTTTAATCTCAATAGTTTTTTATTCAAAAAATTTTTTTTTTACTTATTGCAAAATGAATGAAAGAAAATTTATCGCCATTGATAAACACGAACATAATCAACTTCCATTGTATGTTTTGGCCAATGACGGGCTTGATCTGGTGTAACATATGGTCCTGGACCAAAGAAATTTCCACCAACAGCAACATTTAAAATCCAATGAAATGGTTGATCAAATGGTTGTCCATTTTTCGTGTAAGGATTGTGTCCTTTGCCCGACCACATCATTCGATCAATGTTAACATTGAAATATTTTTGTCCATCCATGTACCAACGGATTTCTCGCTGATCCCATTCGACGGCAAAATTATGAAAGTTTTGGCTAAAGTCAACATTGAAATGATGTGGTCCACTACCGGTGTAGATGTTATTCGGCCATGCCCCACCATAATGTATGGTTCCTTCGATTTTATCATGGATATCACCACGATATTCCATGATATCGATCTCACCACTGGCAGCCCAACCACCATATTTATTGTTCTGTGGCATCATCCAAATCGCCGGCCAAAGATGATGGCCACTTGGTAGTCGAGCACGAGCTTCGAATTTTCCGTAAGTCCAAGCTTGTTTTGTATGAATTCGACCTGATGTAAAATCACGGCCACCATATGATCCAACACGTACATCGATCACCAGATGGCCATTCTTAACGCGTACATTTTCCGAACGATTAGCCGTATAGAATTCTAATTCATTATTTCCCCAACCACTGCCACCGGTTTCAAATGCCCAATGATTTTGATCCAAATGTCCGCCATTAAATTCATCTTGCCAAACCAATTGCCATTTGGCCATCGAAGTGCCAATGGTGAAGACAAATAATATCAAAATGTATTGAACGATCATGTTGATTACTGATGCACAATTGTAGCTTCAAATTCAAATTGTACGAACTAATATCTTTTAAAAAAAATTAAATCGTCGTCGAGATGATCATCAATTACAAACACACGAGTGGAACAAATCAGGTGATTTTCAAGTGTTTATTATTAATTAAAAACAATAATAACATTCTTTCAGATTAGTTTTTAGTCAAATAGAAGTAAAAGTTAAAGTAATCAATATCATAAATTTTCAATTTTTTAAAATTATTATTGTTATCATTGATAAACAAGTAGATAATCAATTTCCATCGTAGACTTTGGCCAATATTTTGCTTGTTCTGGTGTGACATAAGGTCCAGGGCCAAAATATGTACCACCGATTGCAACATTCAAAATCCAATGAAACGGTTGATCAAATGGTTGACCTTTTCGGGTATAAGGATTTGGACCTTTGCCCGACCACATCATTCGATCGATGTTAGCAGTGAAAAAGTGATTATTATCCAAAAAGAAACGGATTTCTTTCGGATCCCATTCAATAGCATATAAATGAAAGTCTTTGCTAAGATCATTGTGAAAATTACGAGGTCCACTTGCCGTATGTGTATTATAAGGTCTTTTACCACCATAATGAATAGTCGATTCAAAAATGGCAGGATGATCGCCTTTATTTTCCATAATATCAATCTCACCACTTGCCGCCCAGCCACCATATTTACTGTGATGAGGCATCATCCAAATTGCGGGCCAAAGTTGATGTCCACTAGGCAAACAAGCTCGAGCTTCAAATCGTCCGTATGTCCAAGCTTGTTTACCATGAATTCGACCGGATGTGAAATTATATGAATCATATTTTTCAATCTGAACATCAATCACCAAATGGCCATTTTCGATACGAATGTTTTTTGTTCGATTCGTATAGTACTCTATTTCATGACTACCAAAATTAATACCACCGAGTTGATAGTTCCAATAATTTAAATTCAATTCCTCACCATCGAATTCATCTTGCCAGACTAGATGCCAATCAGCATAGGAAGAATCAACGATAACAGCAGCAAAAATAAACCAAAAGAAATAGATCATTTTACAATGTTACGATTTTAAAAAATCCTACTAACCTCATTCATATTACGATATTAATATAGGCACAAGGGATTGATGTCTTATCATTTAGAAAAGTATCATCATTTATCTAACCACTTGACAATTATTCCAATTCCAACATTAATTATTAGCAAAAAATTTGTCATTTGTCTGCACGAATGGTTCAAAAAGAGAATAAACGTCCTTTATGTTTAGCCCATACATGCTTTGTTTAGAATTTTGAGTTTGACAATATTTTTGAAACAGAATTTCATATTCATTTCAATTCAAATTCATTTAAATTCACCTAACAAATCATGTCTAATGTTTATGGTGGAGGTTTGTTGATGATAATCAATTTTTTGATTCAAAAAAATTCTTATACTTTATATATGATTTGATAGACGAAGTTGGCGCCATTGTTTTCGATGTTGGTAGTTTTTCCACAAAAGTTGGCTATGCTGGTGAAGATGCACCAAAATCTGAAATATCTTCCATTGTTGCCATACATGATGCCCCGAGTAAATTGGCCACCGAAATGGATCGTGTAGATAGCGGCTCAACACCTACTGGTAGTAAAGAGCGAAGATTTTACATTGATACTACACAAGTGAATGTTGCCCGTTCTGGTCAAGAAATTAAAACATTTCTTCGAGATGGAATGATTGACGATTGGGATTTATTTGAAAAGATGCTTGATTATATTTATGCTCGACACATTATGTCTGAATCATCACAACATCCAGTGATGTTTTCGGAAGTTTCGGTAATAAAATATATTGTCATTGTTTTTACGTATGAAAACTTTTCTATTATAATTTACAGTGGAATTCGAAAAAATGTCGTGAAAAAATAACGGAAATAATGTTCGAGAAATATAATGTACCAGCATTCTATTTGGCCAAAAATGCCATGCTAGTAGCATTCAGTGTTGGGCGACCATCTGGAATTGTATTCGATTCTGGTGCCGATCATACGGCTGCCATTCCTGTCTACGAAGGTTATGTTATCGAAAAAGCGATTAAACGTAACCATTTGGCCGGAGAATTTATCACAAGTCTATGTTATAAACATTTAAATGAAATGAAAGTCGAAGTTAATCCATATTATATGATCAAATCAAAACAGACAGTTGAACCGGGACAAACGGCCATTTGGACTAAACGGCAGATTACTGATGGTAATTTTTATAAATTTTTTTCCATACACTATTTTTATTCTCTTTGAAATGTTAAACACAGGATTGACAAATTCATGGCAAAATTATATGTTATTATCCGAAATACGTAATTATAAAGCATCAGTATTGAAAGTTTATGACACCAAATATGATCGTAACGAAGCGGAAAAGTATTATGATCCAATTAATTATCATTTTCCTGATGGCTACAATATGGACGTTTCATTGAACGATCAATTTTTAATACCCGAAATATTTTTCAACAAATCATTTAACATATCTGAATTCATACAACAACAACAGCAACAATCACCGACATCTTGTTCATATTCATATCTATCAAATCTACCGAAAGATTGGCTTACCTATCCCGATCTATTGTTGTCAAGCGTTAGTGAATGTGATATCGATATAAGACCATTATTACTATCGACAATCATATTGGCTGGTGGAAACACATTGGTCGAAGGATTCACCGATCGTATGACAAATGAAATAATGGCTACGGCCCCAAAAAATGTACGCCATAAAGTTGTTGCCAATAATTCTCCAACGGAACGTAAATATGCATCATGGATTGGTGGATCTATTCTGGCATCTTTGGGTACATTTCAACAATTATGGATTTCTAAACTTGAATATGATGAATCCGGAAAATCCTGTATTCATAAAGATAATTTGACTACATAATTTATATTAATTATTAATTAATATTATTGCTAAATGATGACCACTAGATGATGCCACCTGTTGCTTTGATTAAAAACCGGCAAAATCAAATCAAATTTTCCTAATATAATGTCGATGACCATTTGCTATTTTTTTTTATTTTGAAATAAAAATATTGCGAATGAGATTGTGATAATGATGGTCGATTGAATGTCATCATCAAATTTTTTTTAACCAGAAAAAAATTCGATTTCATTTCATTTTTGTTGATTATCAATGTCATACGTTTTGTTTTTGTGTGTGTGTGTGTGAATACCTTGACTTGTCTTTGAATTATCTCCATTTATAATTATCAGTGTTTGTAAAAGTTCGTAAGAAATTCACCTTGAAAAACATATTTTGCTGTTGCTGCTGCTGCTGATGTCATATTAGCCATAAGTTTCAATCAACTGGCCACCACAATTTTTTCTGATGGCTTTATTGCACAAGGTTAAACAACAATGTGGCGACTTTATGCCTGTGTCTATTTGTGTGTATGTTTGTGCATGTGTGTATCTACAAGAAACACAATCCTTCAACATGGATCTATGGATCTGGATGCAGGTAATGTGATTGCCAGATCGAATCGCTTTTAATCGAGATTTAAATATGCGTTGGTTGGAGTCAATTAACTTTAAAAAAAAATTTAATACATTCGAATTACAAGATATTTGTTCTGGTAATTTTTTTTTCGAAAGATTTCCTATATCGTAAAATTCTTCGTAATATCCGAGGAACTTGTGATCGGTTTTTTGTTGAATGAATAATTATGAAATTATAATTCTTTGTAATGAATTGAAGGTTAAATAAATAAATATATTCAGTTGTTGTTGTTGTTATGATTGTGTCAGAATAATAATCATCAACAATCATAACAAAGCGATGCAAGTTGTTTTTTTTTCGTATATATCGTTTCATGAATTATGACGATCATCAACACAAGGCTACATTTAAACAAATTGGCGCGCGCCTTTATTGTAATGAATGAATTCAACAAAATTATGACAATGGTGGTGGCGCTGGTTCATGGTTAATATTCATGTCCTCGATCATTTGATTTGTATTTGAGTCAAATACGTAAAAAAAACTAAAAAAAAAAAAAAATACTAATGAGGCGCCATGTACGCTAGCTAGATTCAGCGCTGATCTCGAGCGCCAGCTTTTTTTGTTTCACTATAACCACCCAAAATCAACAATTGAAAGTGAATTGTGAGTATTTTTTTTTTATTTTCCCCTTTTTTTTATCTCATTTTTCGGCCTTCAACATTTGTTGTTGTTATTGAAGTAGTTGGTAGTAGCAGCAGCAGCATCGACAGCAGCGGTTGATTCATCATCATGAATCGGCATTCATTTTTGTTTGTTTGTTGATTGATTGACGCCCAAAGTTTTTAGTCAAAAAAAAAGTCAAAGTAAAAAAAAAATGGTATCCATTGTTATTCATGGTGCCCAATAATATAAAGCGCATGTGTGTTTAGCACAGATCATTTTAGGCAGCAGCAGCACACACATTATAATAATGTTCGGAATGTGTGTATATGTAATGTTTGTTTGTAAACGCCCGAATAAATTGGAGCGATTAATGATTGGTCAAAGAATTGTCTAGATGTCGCTACAATCATTGTCAGAGAAAATAATGATTACATGATTTCCAATTTTTTTTCTGGTTTTTTGTGGAAAAATTTTTAGATTCCATCCATTTTTCATATTTCAAATATAATCATGAAAAGAAGGGAGGAGACAAGCGACAAACACCTTGTGTGTGTATGTGTGTGTGTGGTGTATACATAGAAAAAACACATACACGAGGACATGCAAAAAAAAGTTAGTTAGGCAAGCAAAAAAATAAAAAATGATTTGCAACAAGACCAAATAACATATCAACCACTTTGAATGACATTGCTTGCTTGCTTGCTTGCTTGCTCTCATATGATGATGTTGATCTGGAGAACGGACGAATATAAAATGCTGAAGAACCAAGGTTAATCATCATCATCATCATCATGTTTGGTGTTTTTTTTTTATCGCGAATTGTTGCAGCAGCTAAGAACAACAACAACAACAACTACATTGACTTAAATTGATGGATTAGATGATTAATAGATTTCACATTCAAGTAAAGATATTCATCTTGGAATTTGTATGTAACTGGTCGGTTAGTTTTCATAATCATCATCATCATTTTGTTGACTAAATGGATAATAATGATGATGATGATGAAACAAAACTATTTCGAATAATGTTCTTATCATCATCAACATTAATTTATATTTTTTATATTTCGTTATTGAAGGATAAATAATACACGGAAGTTTATAGTTTTGATAACGGAAATGGTTTTGGTAGAAAAAAAACACACACACATCCTGTAGTAAGTTTGTGGCTTGACGCCAAGAATCTCAATTGTATCATTTTATTCCAGAATTTATAAATCTACCAACAACAACAACAATTGACATGTTCTGGTTATTTATTGAAATGTCATCTTTGTTTTTACTCTGTTTCATGGACCATATGGACCGACAAGGTCATTGATGTCATTTTAAGTAAAAAACAACGAAGACGAAGAAGACGACGACGACATTCAAGAAAAAAATCTATAATGTTCATGAACATCGAATACATCATTGAATACTGATGGTATGCTTTCAGTCAGTATTAGTGTGTGTGTGACTTTTTTTTTACGTGACTTGAGCACACACAATACACACACACGCGTGTGTATAAGATAGCCATGTTGTTATTGTCGTCCTTCGTCCGTGTTTATTGTTTGTAAAATTAAAAAAAAAAAAAAAACATAAAATGAGAAATAAATGGCATTGATTTTGTTGATCCGAAGACAAACAGCAGGCAAATGAAATTCATTGATTTTTTTTTCGATAATTCAATCAATCATTTACTATTTTCATCCATAAACATGAATCAATAGAACAACAACCCTATATTCACTTTTTATCAATTCCCGGTGACTTTTTTTTATTAGTGGCAATTTCTTTTACGAATTATTTTTTTCTTTCTGAATTTACGATTCCAATTTATCATCACATCTTTTTTTTATATATATTGGTGGTCATCATTTATTATTTTTTCAGCCCAATTCACAATCAATTCATCAACAATTTGCAATCATCATCTTCAACAATGACAATAAAGTTTGGCTCAAACATGAAACATTTTTTCTTTTGGTTCTGTTTTGTGATTTTGCATTTTACATTTTATTATTATCACGTTCTACATTGATTGGTGAATGATTATGAAAACTATGGTAAACTATCCATTATCATTATAAACCATCATACTTTTGGGTTGATGATCATGATGATTATTTGTTAGTGTTTTTTTTTGTATTTTGATCATAAGATGTTGCCCCTTCAACAACAACAACAACGACAACAGCAGCATCACGATGAAATGTTTGCATTTATTCAACAGAATCGAATATCTTAATAATTTTTCATCATGTACCACCGATTTTTATTAAAGTAACTCCACATATCAACATCGATTATAACAAGTACAAATATTGATGAAACATTATCGAAAGTTCAAATTTGAAAAATTCAAAGTTCCTATTTTGATTTTGTTTTTTCATTCGGTGGAAAAACAAACCCCATTTTGCAATAATAGAAATTATTCTCAATTAAACTTGGTGCCATCCTTTTCGATTGATTTTCAATCGGGGATTAATTTTATTCAAATTCCATTGTTTTATGTGTGATATATCAATTCCAAGTGCAAATTGTAATGAGCCAATAAAAAAAATTAATTTTGAATAAAACTTGAAATTCAGAGTACAAAAATTAAAAAAAAAACCAAACGTTCCGACGACCTTTTCGATGATTTTTTTTTTGCTTGTTTGTATGTGCCTAAATTCAAACATCAATCAATCGACATTTTATTTTTGTTAACAATTTAGGTTTGTTGTTGTTCTTTTTTTTTGTTGTCAATTGTCTATTGAATGGTAAAAATTGACAGTTTTTTTTCATTAATTTAGTTGAATAAATTTGAAAAATCTGATAATCGATTCGAGCTCTCAACTCTATAGGAAAGCTATGACAACCGAATTGTCTAAAACAACATTGATGACATCATCGATATCGTGTTCATCATCATCATCATCATCTTCGTCGTCGTCGTCGTCGTCTTCATTGTCCTCTTCGTCTGCGTCTTCATCTCCAATTTCATCATCGTGTTCATCACCATTGCAAAAACTTCCAAGTATCAAAATATCATTAAAAGAATTGTCGAATGTTTGTACAACAAAGAATAATAATCGTTCATTGGTTAAGGATATATCATATAATTTAACTGATAATAAAACAAGTGATATCAATAACGAAAATCTCAATAATAACCAAAGATTTCCATACAATTCAAACGGTGATGATTTTAAATCCGGCCATATCAACATGGCCGGTTCATCAACTGACCATAATCATTCGACAATGAATAAAAGTCAAAACTTGAAAAGTACAAATTATTCTTCAAATTTTCATCAATCGAATCAAATGGGAGATAAAAAGATGGCCAAAAATAGTAACCAAAATACTAACATTGAAATGATGAATGCCATTGAAGAGCTTCGTCGTGAAAATGATCGAATTACAAATGAATTGGGAGCTACACAAGATTTACTGGATCTTTTCGACCAATATCGTGATCTTGTACAAGAACATATGAGCATTTGTGTTTGTCATGGCAAAGATAGACTTTGGGCTCGTTGGAATCAATTTGAACAAGATTATAAACGTTTGTTACCGATTAAACAAAGTCAAACACAAATGATGAAAAATGATGATCAACATGATGATGATGATGATAATGATGATGATCGAAATGTTCAACAAAAAAAATTAGTGTCACTCAAATGTCATTCGAATTTGATGAATGGTAATGTTAGATTTGCTGGCAAATATACATCTCCATCTTCACATTTGAATATAAATTTTCAATCATCATCAAAAAATAAATTATCAAATGATTTAGATATTAGATTGGTCAACTATAACAACGATAATGGTCGTCCAGATAAAAGTTTGGTTCGAACATTTTTGGACAAAATTCGGCCAATCACTTGGAATGGCAGTGGTTCAAATGATAAGATAGTCAACGCTTATAATTCATCAACACAAAATCCAGTCACAATCATTCCAAATGATGGTTCAAAAGATGTTCTTATTCGTAAACGATCAGCCGCATTAAATGAAGTTGTTGCCTATGCAAAACACCATCAAATGATGAAAAGATTAAAAAACACAACAAATCTTCAACAACAACAAACATTGATACAAAATAATCAGAAAACAAATCGCTTAGCCGATCAAGATGTGGAACGTTTAGATAAATTGAATAATGCATTGGATCAAATTCTTATGGGAAAATTCGATGCATTAACACAGTTGGAAACCTATGTTGTTGACAAGAATAACAATAATAATAATCGTGTTGAAAAAAATCATGAAAACGATGACGATGATGATGATGAATTATCTTCATCATACAATAATGAAATCAATGATATTGATGACGATGATGATGATGATGATGAAGAAGATTCCAAAACAAATGTTGTATATTCAATGAACAATACTTCCAACAAAACGTCCACTATTCTAAATGGTCAATCGAATAGAAACAATTACGATAGAGAATCGGATCAAATGTCGAGAGATTCTGGAGATGATTCCAATGATGATGACGATGTAATTCTATTGGAAGATGGTCATAATACAGATCATGGAACGAAAAATGGACCCAAAACATCACCAATATCGTCAACAATTTTATCAACGGTGCTAAAATCAGGCATGAAACCGTATAGCAATTATCAATCTTCAAATACATTGAGCATTTCCAATGTTCAGCCTACGATGGCTGACGATAAAGTTTTGTCGATGTAGGTGTTTTTCAAATGTTTTTTTTGAATGATTAATTTTTATTTCTCATTTTTTGTTATAGGTCAAAGATCAATAGTGCTACCATACAAATAAATCCACCAAATTTTATAATTCAATCGAAAGATTCAATGAATGTTCAACATTCAACGCCACCATCATTACCTAAACGTCCTCACCTAACAAGTGCCGAACGAATGGACATAATTAATCGTTTAAAACGTAATGAATCAGGTGCACGAATTGCACGTGATTATGGCATTACTAAACAAGCTGTTTCGGCAATCAAACGTCGAGCACAATTGATGGGTGATAATTTTCAAAACAAATATTTTCCAGGTAGCGGCGGTGGCAGTACTAATAGCCGACCAAGCTCACGAAATCAATCACCGACACCTTTGATTAATTCTTGTTCCAGCAAAATGTTGAATTATTCTGTGCAACAACAATTAATGACCAAAGGAAAATCCGCCATTACAATGACACCTGTATTGGCAGCATTCGATAATTCTCTTGTCTCAAGACAACTAAAACAACAAAAAGTTAATGCTACAATTATGAAACAAAGCACGCTTTTAGCTCAGCTTCCACGATCGACTTCTGATCTTGTTTTGCCCATTAATCCTGTTGCCATCATTAAAAGCCGAATGGCTGCTAAACAACAACAACAACAGCAGCAGCAGCAACAACAACATCATCAACAATCATCAATATCAAAATCTGAGAATAATAAACGTTTGATTCTATCACGGCTATTACAGGGCACAGAAAAGTATACTCCTAATTATGTTACATCTTGTAAACAACCGGAGAATCTTACTAATGTCACCAATGTTAAAGTTGAAAATGAAAAAAGTTTAAATATGACCATTTTAAAAACAGAAGATATTTCTGATGATCAGCAAAAGCAGCAGCTGCAACAACAAGAAATAATGCATTATGAAGATCAAGAATCAAAAAATCAATCATCTAATGTCGATACAAATTCTCAAGATTTCAATGGTATTGGTGATGAACAAGAAACAGATAGTAGAAATTTAGTTAATAATAATGAAGTTATCAGTGTTGATGATGACGATGATGATGATGATGATGATGATGATATGCAAGATGAAGATGATATTAATGCTGATGATGAAGACAGACTAGTCAACAATAATAATGATGATGAATCAATGGATGCTGAATCTATTCATCATCAATCAAGCGGAAAAGATGAACAAGAAACCGATGAATGTTCGACACCAGCAATGTTGAAACTTTCTTGAATTTTTTTTATAGATTCAATTGCAATTCATTTTTTTTTCGTTTCATGTGAACAATTAATTAATTTTTATTGTAAAAATTTTTCTTTTCCACTTTTTAATTTTAAATTTTTTGACAATTTTTGTTCTAAATATTCTTTATCAAAAGATTGAATGGGAATGAATTTTTTTTTTTGTTTTGGATGGCCTTTTTGCTTCCCATTTTAAAATATTTCGGTGAAACATACACACACACACACACACGCCATTCTTATACTCAAAGATTCATTTATATACAACACCTATGTACGAATTCTAATTACATTCGATTTGAAAAAACGAATTTTTTTTTATAAAAGAAAAATTCTCTTGTGCAATTTTGTCTGTAAAATGAAAAAATTGATTGGCGCTAAAATCTTGTTTATCTCATCTCATATATATTATTCAACTTAATTTCCAAACGATCATCATCATCATTTTTTTATTCATCATTGTTTGATCGATAAACATAATTTAAAAAATACGAAAATTATTCATTTTTTAAAAATTCTGTTTATTGATTATACAAACACAACATAAACTTGATTTTTATATTTGAAAAAATAAAAACACAAATTAACCGAATGATGATAAAGAAACTGGATAATTTTAAGTATGTCGGTGATCGTCAAAAATTTTCATCTATTCATATATGTCTCATCATCATTCATTTATTTTCATAACGAATCGAAGTTAAAACCACACCACCATTGATTTGTAATGAATCGATCGTTTTCGATTCATGTCGATGTTTATATTCGAATGATGGTTGTCCATTAATAGCTACGACTACTTTATCCTCACGATTACTGATCATTAAATCAAAATGTGTTCCAGGTATCAATTGAAACGGTCCAATTAAATAGAGTTCCTCTTCACCCCATACACCATTGGTCATTGTATTACGGACAATAGCTTGAATATCAGCTCGAATACTAATGTGAACAGGTATGTTCACAATTCCGGCTGTACTTTGTTCAGCTTCCACACTGTTTGCCAAATTGATTACGAAATTATCGCGTATATGTGCGGGTAACATTCCTGCAATGTAAATATCACATGGTCGAGATAGATTTGGATCGAATTCCATGTACGGAATTGCAGGAGATGTCACTAATTTCGAATGTCCACTAGGTGGTGATATATCACCACCGGTAGCAGCAGCAGCAGTTTGAGCCGTTGGTGTTGCAGCTTCTTCGGTTGAAGATGTTGAATCAACTGTCAATGATGATGATGTTGATTGTGTTCGAACTAGATAACGAATTTCTTTGCGAAATTCAACCAAATCCAATATTAGATTTCCTTCAATGTGAATTCGAGCTATTATCATCATACGATGAATGAGAATAGTGAATGAATCATTAAAATCATTTACAATCATATTATATCATACATACCAATATCACGAAAATCACATCGATGCTTAAACTCATATGAATGTCGACCGTCGACAGCAACTTTAAATCCATCCGATTCGACTAGAATCATCATTCGAAATGGTGTATCGGATTGAAATGGGAAAGCATCCTGATGACGTTCTTCGAGCCCCCATTGACCATCACAAAATGAATTAAGGACGACAACATCACGCCCATCGGTACCGCCACCAATTCGTGGATTGAAATGAAAAGCAATGTTATTTTCATTGTCGTTTGATTCGCATCTCACACCATCACCATATATATGTGGACATTTTCCTTGAAAAAAATCTATACGAAATCTACGACCACCAGATGTTATAGTAGCATAGATTGAAATCAAAGTACCAAGCTCCAAACTGCCATTCGGTATTGAAAAACAAACCGGTAGACTAGGGTTTCGTACCACCGATGTAAAGGAAGTTGGATCGATTATATTATGTGGTGAACGTGATGCCATTGTTGCCGGTATGGCTGATAGTACTTTGTTTCGCAAATCTTTGGCAAAAAATACAAAATCGTTGACAAATTTATCCATCGATGTAAAAATGTTCATAGGAAATATTTTTATCCGTAGCGCATGGCAATTAGAATTCAAAAGATGCTTTTTTCCACCTCTTTAACAAAAAGAACGATATATGATTTAACAATTACATCGAACAAAAAACAAAAATAAACGTTTTCACTGTTTTTTTTTTTTTGGCAAATGTTTTTGTTTGTTGTATTTTTTTTCAAGAAAAACATACACAGAGAGAATTTAATTACTTAATTACTGTGACAGCTATGAAGATTATTTGGATTGAAATATCAAAAACGGTTTGCTACCAACGAAAGCAATGTTATGATAATAATTTTTTATTAATGAGATGAAAAACAAAAATCATTGAAAAAGAGCACAATGAATCGAGGATCGAAAAAAAATTGCGATGCAAACACTTAATGTTTTTTGTTTACAGTTTTAGTAAGGCCATCTGTCGATTGAATCTAGAATTGATAGTAAAAAAATTCGAATTGAATTTCGAAAACATGCCGACAAATACGATTAGTCTGAAACATCGTGACGCTTGACTAAAAAAATTATGTTTTCATTGTTTTTTTTTTATTGAATTATCGAAAATAAACCATCATCATCCTTTTAAAATCATTACGTTGGCTGATTGTTATTTGCTGCAATTTTTTCCATGATAATTTCAACATGTGTCTTTTATTATTATTTTGTTAAATTGAAGAATATATTTTTTATAAATCGACATAATTTTATCCGATCACTATGACTACCAAGGAATCAAGGACTTTTTTGTTTTGTTGTATATTCATAAACTATAATATTAACCCGATTCTTATTAAAAAAATCAAATCAATTCCTTTGTTGATGATTTTTTCAAACCAATTGTAATTCTTTAAATGGAATGAATCAATTCAAAGAAGCTTGGAGTACATTTTTACATCACGCGACTACCTGAATGATTAAAAATGACCAAAATGGTCATTTGTATTGTTTTAAAATTACCAATAAATAGCATTTATTAGCAATACTCAATACAATAGTTTTTCCTGGCCTTGAAATGATAATTCCATCTCTCTCTCTCTATCTCTATCTTTTTCATTGTTCTAGTGACTAGAAACACCAAAAGTTATCATTTTGAAAACTCTTCAGACAGAATATAATAATAATAATGAACAGATGAACAGATATTTAATGTGAAAGCTATGTGTTGTTTGTGCTGTATATATACATTTTTCAATTAGCTTACAAATTCAAAGAAAAGAAAAATCAAATGTGTCTACAAAGCTGTTTCGCAAAGCTGAACATGCGTTTTTTTACATTCAAAATTGAATGACGCCCATCTCTTTGTGTGTGTGTGTGTATATATGGAATAAATATTATTGGCGCGTACTGAATTTGGATTGGTTTTTATTTGATCGTTTAAAATATATTCAAACGGTGAAGTTTCATCATTATCATCATCAACTGTCGCATTTTGTTGGAGTGGTTCGTGTTTTTTTTTTTGTTCATTATTATTTTGCACAAGGCTAAATTATATTTGGACAATGGTAATGGATGTAACTAAATGAAGCCGATGATGATGATGATGATAACAACATGGTGGAACATCACGGCTAGTTTGTGATGAATGACACAAGTAGGTAGCTTTATTTTTAATGCTGTATATACTGTAACCAGAAACTATTTTTTTTTTTTTTTGTTGAGACAACTCCCCGAAAACCAACAGAATATCTGTATGTTTTAGTGTATGCACACACACACACACATTCTATGCTTATATTTGAATTCTTCGAAGCGATTGCTAACATTCGAAACAACGATTATGAACACCATTCACATCAGAATTGAAATAGCGAACAACAAATAGAATTTAGATCATATTGATATGAACATAGTTTATTTTTGAATGATATAACACTTGTATTTTTTTTTTGTGTGTGTGTGTCTCTCTGTGTTTATATCTGTGTACTATATTATCATCACTTTACAATCAACGGAATTTTTTTGTTTAGTTCTGTCTGTTTGTGATCTAATTTTATTTTCCATTTCTCTAATCGGATTTTTTTTGTTGTTGTTGTTGTTGTCGCATAATTGCCATTCATTTAGTTGGTTTTGGTTGATTAATAGAATTGTGTCTGAGAACTGTTTTTCTTTTCATCATTCAAATTGGAATTTAAAATAATTGTTGACTGTGTGTTTTTTTGGCGCAAATTTTTTTTGTTTTTAAAATTTTTTTTCCATTGATCATCATAATCAAAATAATCAAAAAAAAAAAAAAAATAAAAAATAAAATAAAATAATCATGAATCGTCAAATAAACTATCCGTCCGGTTTTAAATGCCGTAAATGGACATTAGTCATATTGATTTCGATCGATCTATTGGTATTGATTTTGACCACCATTGCATTGGTACAACGAAATGGTTCCGGTGATGATATTAATCCAGATGATCGTAATACTACCAGTAAAATTCCAACATTAAGTCAAATAACCAATGCAGTGAATACAGTTGGTGAAAATTTGGCCAAATTAAATATAACACGAATCAATGTTGATCTTGGTTCAATTGATAATAATTCAACTAGACAATTTCTCGATGGTATACTGAATAAAGCAAGAGAAAATGAGGGACAAACTAAGGTATGGTTGAAATAAATAAATTAAATTTTGTCAAATTGATTAAATTAATCAAATGAAACATTTTACCATTACCATTTCAGTGGGTTGGTCAAATAGTTGCCATTGTTATTGGATTCATCATTTGTTTGATCGGTTTAATTGGTGTCTTCATGGAAAATTATTGTTTATCAATGACCTATGCTGTCATTACATTTGTTGGATTACTTTACACTACAGTGGTTGGTATCTATTCTGAAGAACCAATTCTTATCGGCAAAATCATCATGTACATATTATTCATTCTATTGGTTGCATGGTTCATAATCGATCTACGCGCCATTCGTCGACAGCAAAAATCACAAAATATTTGATTAGAAAAATGAAAAACAAAATGACGAAAAATCTTAGTTAAAATCAAAAATCAAAATCAAAAACAAAACAAAAACTCGTTTTAGTTCATCGATAGGATAGGATATATTTACACACACACATACGCACACAAACACAAACGCACCCAATGCAACAGATTACACGCACATCAAAATGAATAAGAAGTAAAAAAAAAAAAAATAACCAAACGGAAACAGCTACAATCTAATCAACCAAATCAATGAACTTTGATATTGATAAATCATCAGACCTTGTTTCATGAACAATTTTTAGATATTTTTCTTTTTCATTTTTTTTCTCTCTCTATTCATTTTACATGTTTCAACATACATATATTTCTATAAAACGGAAAACTTTCAGTAAAAAAGGTTTCACTATTCTATTAATAAATTCTCTGATGATTAATTCAATTCATCATTAAAAGTTATTCATAGTTCACAACAAACAACAACAGACATACAAAATGCACAAAGATTGCTTGCCTTTTATTTGATGATCATGATCTTTGTACTTGACACATCAGCAAATAATAATACTATAAAATGATCAGATTGATGGATTACAAATATATCAACTTGTTGTATTTACGATACAAGCATTTTTTCCAAGGAATTTTGATTGAATTTAATAAATAATTTCAAAATAAAATGATTTTAAAGGGTTTAAGGAAGATGGTTTATTCTAATGTATACTGATTGACCATATGGAATGGCGAAAACATCATTATCGATCGTTGACCGTTTGATTATTTCCGGTATCCTTTTCTACCCTTTGCCATTATTATTCAATCATTCATTCATTATAAATTCACTTCCTATTGTGTTGGTTGTAGGTTCTTGTTTTTTTTTTGTTTGTCAAACATGCCAAGTTAGGGTATCATATAAGAAATTGGCCTTGAAAAACTTGAAATTCTAAACCTTCCCAACATCATGTTGATTATGATGATGATGATTGCTACTGATAATAGTCACAATGACGTAGTTGCAAAAGACCAAAATAGTTGAAGATTTTTGTTCTTGATATTCTTCAAAACTTCACAATCACTGGTTCATGGTATTTTTTTTTTTTTTTAGTTCATAAATCTTGCTACTAGATTATCTATCAGCATTGGCATTTTATTTCATCTTTTTCAAATCATTGTCGAACCGGTCGACGAATGAATGATTCGCCTATTTGCTTTAAAAAAAAAAAAAAAAATTAAAGATTCAACCAATCAATCAACCAGACAAACGAAAAAACAACAACAACAACATCATTATCATATCAAATTGTAAATATGTGATATAGGGGCTCTTTTCATTTCTTTGTATCTTCTGTTTCTGGTATTAAATATGCTCGATGTTTGTAAATATTCAAGAGAAAGAGAGAGAGAGAGAGATAAAATGGTTGGAGGAGGTGATCATTTTCATTTGACGAAATATCGACAACAACAACATTTAAGAAAAAAAAATCTTTATTTATCTCCATTTTGAATCATCTTCGTTTTTTTCTCTCTCTCTCTCACTCATATATATTGGCCATGATATTTTCGATGAATTGCAATTAATTAAATTGTCTTCATTCACAGTCGATTTAAACTATCTTCCAGGCTCAAACGAATATAATCAAGTGGACAACAAACATAGTTTATGGGGTAAGATTGCACACTCATCACGATTGTTGAACATTATTCATTATCATCATCATCATTCGCTAACATAGTGTGTGTGTGTGTGTGTGTGTCGTTATTATTGAAAATTATTTTTTTTTTCTGGGACCAAAAATTGGCTTCTCACTCATTTTTTCATTCATTCATTCATTCATTTATCTATCGATCATACATACAACATAAAAGTCGTAGCAATACACATCTGCAGAAAGAAAAAAACCATTTTTCGTTTGTTTTAATATACCAATACAAACATGATTATACTGATATGGAACGCAGTCATTCTCATCATTTCCATTCTTATGATGGGAACATCTATTTCCGATGCGGGTATGTTTCATTTCAAAATAATTGACTTTTTCCTGTTTTCTCAATTGATCTAATGATATTATTATTCATTATGTCCATATTTGGATGTCATTATCAACGTCATCGATGAAACCAGTCCTAATTGATCGAGAAATCTATTTTACCAGATGGCGAGATGATCCTACCTATCCAAATAATTTAAAATATTGTGCCAATGAAGACAATATCAATCTATTATATGAACGTATACGAATCATACGTGATAATCCGGTACGATATCCACCAACTGAAGATCATGTGATCAATGGAACATTGGAAATGATACAGAAAAATATTGAACAATTAAATTTTAATAAAACAAAATTCATTCAATTGGAAGATAGTCAACCATGGTATGGAATATTGAAACGTTTCTTGTGGCATGATGTCATTATGACCTGTGATTATCAGCTACAATGCCATAATTATCTTGCATTAGATGTTTTGGGCTATGGTCATGGATTTATAAATCCAATCTCATGGGTGGATGTTTCATCTGAAACACGTTCAACGAAATCACATGCATCATATCAAATTGATCAATTTTATGAACAGATTAAATCAACCAATACACAACTTGAACGTTTTGTTCATTCGGATGGTAAAAATAGTGAATATTCACAATCGATGATTATACAAAGTTTAGATCAATTAATCAAAAATACAAATGATGTTATGAATGGCATTACAAAATCATATATTTATAATTTGGAAAGAAATTTCAAAAATTCCATAATACCACGTCCAGAATATGAACAATATTTTATGCTACATTCGAAAATTTTACGATGGATTATGGATTTGACCAGTGATATTAAAGAACAATTTATGAATCGTTATCTGGAATCAACAACCACTTCTACTAGTAGCCAAAGCCATTCACGAGGTTATCGTGATTGAGATTAACTCTTTTTTTTAATAATAATAATAATAATTCTCATAATAATATTCTTTCTATCTACGACTGATGACAAGCAATGTGGCTTTATCTATTTATTTAATATATTTTTTTTCTATTCCCATTGTTTTTTTAATCATTACTGACTATATATCATCATTAATATTTATGGAAGGAGAAAATTTCGTCCAAACCAATAAAAACTTGACAGATTCGGTTTATAAAGGATTTATAATAATATACTCGAACCAAAAACTTTTTGACAACTGAATTAAATAATATATACAACAAAATTCATCATTATAATCATGATGATGGTAATAAAAAAAAATCTTCATGTATTAAGTTTAGCCCACTCGTACACGACCATCAAATACGCTAATGATAATCTAACCAAAAATTACTTTAATTAGATATTGTTCAGGTGATGAATGATATGATATGTTTAGAGTGAATGTGTCAAGGCCGCTTCAATCATTAATGTTCCATGTTGATGATTGAGAATTGTCGCCACAACCAAAGCACATTATTGGTGGTAGTTTCATACTCATTTTTTTTTTTTTTTTGAATGCCATCATTGCTGATAACAATTAAACACAGTTATTATACATGTGAGTAGTGGTGGAATTTTTATACAGCCACCAGTCAAACCAGTAAGCATTTTTGTAAATCAAAATCGATGACAATGATGAATTCGTGGTTGTAATAAAAGATTTCAATGTCACTTTTTTTGGCTGCTTTTATTGAATAATTTGTATCTAGTATCCAGTAATTTGTAACCATCCTTAGTTAATAAATTATTATTAGCAAAATGACATCAAATAAATTCCTAATAATTATACGATTTGCAGCATTTATTGTATATGGATATTCGATATTTTATCGTCAAACCAATGAGATATTACCACCTGAAATACGAGGTCGACCATTTGGAAAATGGAAATATCTAACCTTTTGGGATTTGGTAAATTATCAAATTTTTTTTTTGTTTGTTTGAATAATTTATATAATTTTTCTTTCAAATTCAATTCAAATGTCAGTTATTACAATTTGGATTTTTTACATTGGCATTGATTAGTTCGTTTCGATGGACACCAAAATCATTTGGACGTTTAGTTGATTTTCTATTCAATTCATTGGCATTCCCTGTCGCCATGGTAAAGGAGCCAGCCATTTTTTTTTTGCCATTCAAAATGTTTTGATTGGTGAAAATGTATAAACAGTCACACAAACATATTTATTTTCAATTGAATTTGTCTATTTCTATTTCCAATTCCTACGCAATATACAGTTTGTGACCATTTCATTCTGGACAGTTTGGTCGATCGATCGTGAATTGATATTTCCAAAAGCAATAGAGCAATATTATCCATTTTGGCTTCATCAAACTTCGGTATGATTAGAATTTTTTGTTTTCAACAAAAAAACCAGAACAATTTTATTTCTGGAACAACTAAAAATATTGCTTATAATAATGATAATGATAGATTGTGTAAATGTTTATTTATTGTTTTTTTGTCTTGATAATATTAGCATACATTGGTCGCTTTGTTAATGTTGATCGAATTGATTTTCGCAAATCGTAACCCACCCTCAAAGCAAGCACATGGTCTAATCATAATCAATCTATTCTGCTATATCTATTCGTTCTGGGTACTATACATTGCTATCACCACCGACATCTGGGTGTATCCTCTTATAGGAAAACTTAATTGGCCTCTACGTATTGGTTTTGCTGTTACATACTGTTTGATTAATTCTTTACTTTACAAAATTGCCATTTGGTATCAACAGAATTTCGTCAAACATACACCCAACAGTAATCATCGTGATATTAATAAAATTAAATAAAAGAAAAATATTTCTTTCAATCATAATAGGGACTATAACACTTTAAAATAATTGATAACTTAATAGTTTTTACAACAACAACAAAAAAAATCCAATCAATTATAAAATAGATCATTAGAATAATAAATTGAATTTTATGAGAAACAAAAATTATCATGTTCCACCGTTCGAAATGTTTTTTGATTTGAATCTGAATGTGTTGTAGTTGCTGATTTGTTGAGCGATATGATTCGTGATCGATTTGATAGACGATTGATATTGCAATCAGGTTTTTTATCATCTTCTTGCCATTGTTGTTGGGTTAAATGTTGGGCCATCAATTGACCCAATAGTGGACTAAATTTTTTGCCAGCTGTACTGGCAACCAAATGTAATGTTAAATCGGTTTGTACCAATTGCATTGCTTTTACCGTCAAAAACATACGATCAAAAGCCCATTTTGCATCAGTATTTTCCGTATATTTTAAATTTAGATAATTTTTCAATAATTGAGTATATAGACTTTTTCTTTCCCTTTTTTTGAGCAAAAAATTAGAAATGAAATTTTTAAAAAAATTAATCTTAAAAATCAAAATTACCGTATCTTGGCCGAATCTCGTAAGCCCGGTCTTTCGGTAAACAAAATGATTGCCGTGAGCAGATGGAATATGGTATAATCAGTTTTCCATTCATGACTGAATATGTTATAAAAATTTTTAACACTTGTTTTATAATCATATTTAATACAACAAGGTGTTATACAATCTATATTCACTTTGATTGTCATTTTATGATGATCCTGGAAAAAAAGAATGATTAGAATCAACAAAAAAAAGATGGAATATAACAAAAATGTTTTACTTACATCAATAAATGACCATCCCTGAAATTCCGGATCAAAACATAGCATCGAATAGAGAGCAATTATTTCGATCATACCGAATGTCAACAGTTGAACTTGATCATCCAGATGTAATGATGTGAATGATGTCAATCGTTTTGACATCCTAATTATTCGATACAAATATGAATCGACCAATGTACAATCATGTGGTGAATCATCTAGATAATGTTGATTGCGTATGATCAACATTCGTTTATAAGGATTATGTAACCATGTACATGCGGTACATAATTCTTTCAAAAGTAGCCTATCATTTGCCGAAAATATCATTTTGAAATCGCACGTGAAAAAAATGTTCATAGCGATTCTCTCATGAAATTCATTCATAGCTTCTATCATGAATTCATCATCTGAATTATTCGGTTTTTGTAGATAATATCGTAGATAATCATCACAATTCTCTTCATTCATTTCTGGACGTTTCGGTTCGATAGAACGATTTTCCGTCCTTCTTGTATCATCTATTTTTTCAGCACCAAAATTCATCGTTGATTGTTGTTGATAGTTAACATCAAGATTTATAACATTTCCTGGACCGGTTTTATATGGTGTTTGCTGTATGTTTAATGATTGTAAATTTTTCATACTTTCATCTAAATCACGAGAATCAAAATGGATATTTCCATGGATTGTATCATGGTGATGATTGATATACATTGATGGTTCTTGTTCAGAAAAAATTGATGTTGAACTACAAGGACTCATCATATAGACATCACTGGTATGTTCACTATTGACGGGAGAAAATCGTTTTGCAGCCGATGTATAAAATGGATTGGCCGGTTCCCGATCTAATGTATTGTATGGATAAGGTTTCAATATTGATGATGTTACAGTAGCATTCATTACATTATTAGTATTATCATCATCATTATTGAATGGCGATAGGATTGGTATGGTGGATGATCCAAGTGAATGATGATGATAATTACTATTATTATTATCGGTAATTCCTTTCAATTGTTGTTCACGGCGATGACGATTCTGTATGATTTTCTCACGTACCAAACGTTTTTCTTCATCCGTCAAGATGTATTCTTTTTTCATTCCACTATTGAAACATTTTCGTAAACGACAACTTGAACAGAATTTTCTTGTAACTTTATCAATTTGGCAATGATTTTCGAATGAACATTTCAATTCTTTATTGGATAATGCGTTTCGTCGAAAAAAAGCTTTACATGATTGACAAGTTAAAGCGTTAAAATTCATTCCTATTCGAACATCATTATTAGTGGATAAACATTCATAAAGTCATTCATTCACAACAACCAGAAAACAAATCTCAAACCTTTTGCTTTGTCTCCACAAACCACACAGAATCGTATGATTCTTTCCGATTTTCTTCGCATTTTCAATGATGATATAATTATTATTGTCAAAAAGTTTTATCAAAAAAAAAACAAACAAACAAACAAACTAAAGACTAATTATTTGTTCTGTAAAAAAAATGACAAAATTTCCTCTTAGCTACAACCACCTTAAAAAAAACTAGCGGACAATGTTGACTAAATCGCCAATGATATATTGCTTGTATAATGTTGATGATGATCATTGACGCAGATGATGAAACAAAATATTCATCGAAAAAAAAACTTTTAGAAATGTTGTTTCTCTCCTTTCTTTTTGTTTATCTATCCTGTAGATAACACTAGTATGCTTTCCTCTATTTATTGATTGATTATTATCTAATCAATGATTGATAACTTTAATTTTAGTCTTTGTTTTTTATTTCATTTCTCGCCCATAAACAACATCAAATTGCAATCAATCAATCAATTGATCAATAAATCACTAAATTGGCATCATCATTGTCAATGCCATAGGGAATTATTACCAAAAAAAAAAAATAATAAATTAATTGAACGAGAACGTGTTTTCTGTGAAATGTTTTTCGAGATCTGATGACAAATTTTCTTAGATAAAGGATTTAAAAAAAACTAGTGTTATTTTTTGATGATGTGAGGATCTTTATCAGACAGGGATAACTTTTTTTGGCAAACAACCATATATTTTTAGGCCGTCTTGATTTTTTTCAAATTAATTCTCATCACAATCCTCATCAACTCATCGGCAACACCTACCCTCTTTTTATCACTTTTATAGGGAGAATTTTAATTCAAAATGGAAACTTACAGTCTCTATTAGAGGAGGTAAGAAAAGTACTGTCGTTTTTTGTGTATAACATTTTTGAACGACTGTCACAAAAATTTGGTAAAAGTGACCCCGACCAAAGAGGTAATGGTCATCGAAGAATAAATCGAGGTCATACACGATGTCGAAACCTTTAGCAAATTTTTGTGACAGTCATTCAAACATGTTATACACAAAAAAACGACAGTACTTTTCGAATAACCTAATATAAATTAATTAATTATATTTTATTGATAAAAATATTGAAAATATTTCAAACAACTTCAAAAATAATAAAATGTTGTTAATTTAGTTAATTTTTTGAATAAAATTTGTTTCATTTCTCTGATACAACATTGATAATAGCTTTGGCTGCTTCCATTTGGCTATCGATTTTTTGCATTTTTTCCGAAATTTTTCGACATCGATCATTCATGTTTTGATCATTTAAAATATGTTCAATCATATCCAGAAGCTCTTTAGGTTCACATTTATATGGATTAATACGATTGCCGAATCCTTTCTCAGTCACTCTTTGAGCATTATCATATTGATCATAAAACAATGGACAAATGACCATTGGTTTTCCATAGTATAATGATTCAATGACACTGTTGTTACCACCGTGTGTAATCACCAAATCAACCATAGGTATAATCTGTACTTGCGGTAACATAATATCGCCCCATATGTTGTCCGGTAAGTTGACCATTTCCTTGCAAGATCCCATGACCATCAGGAATCGATGTGATGATTGGCTCAAAATATCTATTAAGCGTTTAGTAAGTTTCAATTGTGAACAACCCATCGATCCCATCGATACAAATATTAATTTTCCATGACGATTTTTCAATTTATCTGGTAATTCAAATTGATTAACTGTTCCAACTTGAGGAGATCGAATAAAATTATCAAAACGTTTCCATTTGTCGGGTAATGGCCGAACATCCAGATAGTCTAAATCTTCAGGATATGCATAAATGTTTAGATAAGGTGATGGATGGAAAGCACTGCCTTCTGGCAAACTTGGCAGGCCATATTTTTGCATCAATACTTGATTAAATCTATTTATGATTGGTCCATCACGTTTCTCTGATATCTCATTAAATATTTGCCATTGTTTTCTGTCGCCATCGGTAGGATATCCTGATCCTGTTGGAGGTGTATCCGGGTGAATTATTGCAGTTAACGGTGTGGCACTTGTCATGTAGATCCATTTTCGACCACTTTGGTAAATAGCAGGAACAGTGAAATAGTGATCAAGCACAATAACATCCGGATTGACTTGTTCAATAATCGATTTCAATTCCTCATTGAAATTTAATGCATTAAAAACAAATTCTTCGAATTCTTTAGCATTTTGATGTTGAGCTTTGTAAAGTGAATCTTCTGGTAATGTTTCAGCAATCATATCAATTGATTTGGTCCAATGATCATTTGGACCTTGATTAGGATCACGTGATGGATCAACATAAGTAATTTCATTGAATCCCCATTTGGTTAATTTTCCTAACCAAGCTCTTTCCAAAACAAATGTTACTTGATGACCAAGTTGAATGATTTTTTCAGCTATACCGATACATGAATTAATATGACCATATGTATCTAATGGCACGAAAAGAACATGAAAAGAGTGCATCATTTTGATCAAATATATCTGAAGTTGATCATACAATGATCATAAATGGAATAAATTCATTCATGATGACACTTAATATTGAGTGATTTCTTTAGGAAAAAAAGTTATCATCAATTTTTCCTCGATGATCATCGTTTTCTTAGCAACTATCAAATTGATTGTAAAAATAATCAATAAATTATTCACTTGATGATTCTTCTGATAATATACAGTTATCATTGGTTTGAAGTGAAGAGGAAGTTTGATTTATTGATGATGCTGATGGACGTTTATTTCTCATTCTATCTATGGATTTATTTGATTTCGATCGCTTTTTGTTTCGATACGATCGTTGGCCTTGACGATTGTTTGATTGCTCACCGTTTTCGTTTTTTTGATCAATCGACAATTGAATATTTTTTCTAATAGCTTCATTCAAGCGTTTACTGCGTTTAATTTTTAATTTCTCCGTTATCACATTAGATCGATGATGAGCTGTTTTAAAGTAGAAATCAATTCTTTTTTGTGTCTAGTGATTTTGGGCAATAAAAAAAAGTTAATCAAACAATTGCGATGATTAAAGAAAAGAACTTACCTGTTTTGAATTAAGACTTTTCAATACTGGTAACAGAAAAGCATCAGTTTTAGCTTCGGACCAACCAAAACGTTCGGTAGCAAATTCTCGTAATTCAGAAAGTTGTGGCATTGACCAACGAAACGGTTCATTCGAATCATCAACATTTGCATTTTGATATGCATCGAAAATAACTCGGCTAGGAAATGAATCAGGTATTGATAATTGAGAAATTTTTTCCGTACTGAATTCTCTGGACGAACATCTTTTTGACTGTTTTTTTCCCGATGCCATTTGGAGAATTTTTCCAAAGGTTCAAGTCCTTTCCCAGGAAATTGACTTAAAATTTCCATACCAGTAACTGGACCAACACCATCGATTCCAAGTGTATAATCTGTTCCACATAGCATGCCCAAACAAATAAATTTGCAACGATCAAGTCCATAATATTTTATCAAATCTTCCAGTCTATATCTCATTATGAATTTGGAATCGGTGAAAAAATTTCGATAAACATTCTGACCACCGAATAGGAAAATATCACTGTCATCAGTAATGACACCTTCACAAAGTCCCAACGATTCCAAACAAGCACATTGAGCTTCAGCTTCACCGGGTGCCACAACCCAAGGAATGCCAAAGAGCTGTAACAATTGTTGACAATCTTGAATCATTTGATTAGTGACACTGTTGGCCTGCCGATTCAATTTTGCTGACTCTTTCGTATCTTTGATCATCTGATCAAAGTCAATCGGTGTCGATATTCGTTCAATCGATATTTCTGTGATTTCTTTTTTATCAGTCTCGACTAGTTTTATCATATCATCTGTCTGTGTAATTGCTTTCGTGATTTCTTTATTCGATATTTCAATAACATCCTCGTTAACATTTTTTTCAATCATTTTTTCGCTATTATTTACGATTTCCATTGTTTTGTTTTGTACATCTAGGGTTGTATTTTCCGGAAGACTTGGCTCTTTGACATGGATGTCCATCCGATAACTGGTATCATAAGGCACTGATTCATCAAACTGTTCCATTTTATCATTACTACCTTCATCAACAGGAATTTCAATGAAATCCTCCGAATTTGTAGAATCAGTGTCATCAGCATCACTTAGAACGAAATTTTCTGTATTTGTATTAATGGTTGAATATTTTTTATAATTACGATCAATATCTTTGGACAATTTTTTTGATGAAAATTTAGTAGGAACTATTTCGGAAGATTTCGATAATAATTCGATTCGTTCAGCATCTGTCTCGACTTTGAATTGACCAGGTAAACCATTAGGAACTTTATAAAGTGGACTTTGATTATAATTTTCAATCATGTAAGTTTCTTCTTCTTCTTTTTCAACAGTGAATTCTTCGATTGCTTGATTCAATGTTTTTAGCAGCAAAAATCGAGTATGCTCATCCGAAGCCAACGATCCAGTGGTTATTTCTGTAGAACTTGATGGTTTCGAAGTAAATATATCAAGACTACTATGTTGAGAATTTTTAAGTAATTCGATATTATTTTTTCCTTGAACATTATTAAATTCTGCGATTAATTTTTCAATCTCTTCCTGTAGACTACGTTTCTTTAGCAGTTTGGAAATCTGGAATTGTGAGAAATTATTCGATTCTTGTGGTAACAATTCAATGTTGGTAGTCTTACGATTTTTGTAGCTATCTCTTAATTCAACCAATATCTCATAACGTGTAATGGCGGGTAAAACTTTAAAAAGTTCAGAATGGATATCGATATCATGTATGTTTTGAAGTAAAGGATGGTTATAGGATTCATTTTTCAATGTAATTTCTTCTTCTTCATCGTTGTCGTCGTCTTCGATTGAAATTTTGGATTCATTTGTAGATTCAGAAAAATTTTTATAGATATCCACTTCTTTGTGATTCTCACATGGCAAATAGATTTGTGATGCGAATTTTTTTTCATCCAATTTTATTTTTTTATTTGAGATGGCCATTGATGTTGTCGATGATTGTGAAGCTAATTGAGAATTTATGTGATTTATCAACACATTTATTGACAAATTTTTGGACTTTTGTATATTTTTTCTTGTCTTTTCTTGACGTTTTTGAACAGTATGAAATTTAACTGTCGGACATTCGCCATCAAAAACAACGATTGGTTTAATTTGATAGAACAAAAGTTTACAAATTCTATAAAACAATCCCAATAAATGAGCATTTTCAACACTTCGTCCATCTTGATCTCGAAATCCTTTAATGGATTGGTTGATCCAGATTGACAAATCTATTTGAATACATGGTAAATGATGATAATTTAGTTAGCAATAGATCTTAAAATAATCTTACCAATGGCCAAAACTTTTTGATTCAATGTTTGAACATCAACACGTGTACCGGCATCTTCGATCAAGCCCCATAATCCAGTGACACCCATATTAATCTATCTATTCTATTATGACGATTGTATTTTGTAAATCAGCATGAGTTTCAGATCGACAAATCTTAAAATCAAAACATCCTTTTGTATTAGTGCAAATTATCACCGATAGATGGAATTTTATTTTGAATTAAATTTTTTTTAACAAGTTTCAAAAATTATCAATTAAAAATTCAAATAAACAAACAAATCAATTTGTATATTATAAAAATATTCCTAAGAAAATTCATTTAATTTCAAGTCTTCGAATGAGAATTACGTTGCTTCGGAAGTTTCATTATCCTGATTGATTTCTCCATTTTTAACGCCATCAAATTTGACCGTATTTTTGCCTTTGATCCGATTACATCGTGGACACAAACGATTGCGACGATAATAACAATTTCTATAATAAAAAAAAATTAATCAGAGAATTGATTGATTTTCATGAATTTTCATTAAAATTACTTGTGATAAACAGCATTACAAATGGGACAAATTGTTGTGTTCGGTGAGAATGGAAACAATATGTCTTCTTTGTTTGGACAAAGTTCACAATAGAATCCTTTTCCTCGACAACCCTTTGATTTGATATAATTTTAAAAATTGAAACCATTAATACATTCTTATGTTAATAATCAAAGAAAAAAAACAAATACTTCACAAGTAGTAATATGAGTGATGAATAGATGTTCAAGTTCGGATAGATTACCAACTAATGATTTTAGATCACAGATATCACAGAAGGAAAGATAATTGATTTCTTGTTCATTCAATAGATACGATCCTAGCTGGCACATGATCGAGATCCATTGTCGTGGTTTCGATGGTTGTTTACATAGCCAAATGTATTTGTATATATGACAAAGTTCAGTTCGTAGGCGCTGAAAATAGATTATCATTATTATATAATAAATTCCCACGTTCAGATTACTCACTTTAATCTGGATTAGTTCATCGACCAATCCATAAAGCATTGGATTGATTTCGACCAGATTAATCAAAACAGTACGATCATAATGGAATGATTTATTCCGTAAGTATGAAATGATTTGTAATGATACTCGGGCGACGGGTTGAGGTTGAAAATCCCAATTATGTATAACTCTAGCCGGTATGATTGCAATATCACCCATGTGACAAGTTTCACAAAAATATAGACCCGAATAATCACAAAGTCTTGGCTTTGATATGATTTTTGTTGCATCTTTAGCCGGTGATGGCGAAATCGATATTCGACATTCAGCGCAACGAAAATCTTGATTTGCGAGGCCAATTTCAGGACAAATTTTTAGTATAATACGTTTCATTCTTTGTTGATAGCTTTCTATAATACCATTAACCGGTGTTGATTTAGTCTGATCATTATTACTAGAATTGCCGTTTGATTTTTTTGTTTCAAACGACGAATACGATGATGATGATGATGATGATGATGGTGAGGTATTATAATTGTATAGACGTGAGTAAAATTCTTCGATAACATCATCGTTCATTGAATCAAAAAATAACTTTGGACATTTACGTACATCTTTTGTAAGACAATTAAAATGAATGGTAAAAAAACAATAGATGCAGACTAGATAGGGATTAGATGAACGAAGATCGGTGGAAGATTGCATACTAATCGCTGGTGTAGAATCTTCTTTTTTACCAAATTTCAAAGCATCAAAAATATAATCATTCAATGATTTTGTTGATTTTTTACAACAATGATCACAGACAAGTTGTTGCATCGGGTTCGTAGGTGGATGACAAGCAGCCATTGGCCAATTCACGCAACTACTGGTTAAGTATGATAGATGATTGGATGTTAATAGATTTAATAGACGGGATATCGGTAACGAATTATTCAACATTTCACTTGCAGATGATGGTGGTGATAATGATAATGGTGATGAGTTTTTGACATAATTTTTCCATGTAGTTCGAAGACGTTTTTCATTTTCGAATACATCACTCGATAACACCAATTTATGTCCACCAATAGATTTCGAAAACGAATATATCCGCTTAAAGAATATTGGATTATCGTCTAATTATAAAAAAAGTTGTTAAAACAATATTAAAATGTTTTTACTTGAATCACCTGATAGTTCATCTTTTAAATCATCTACTTGTGATTGAACATCAACTTTTAAATTGTTAAATTCGGCCTCTTCTTGAAGTTTCACTAACTTGATTTTAAGGTCACAAATCTTTTTGACTAATTGTCGTTTCTTTTCATCTTTATCATTAGGATTCAAATTTCCAGTCTCCAGTGATTCTAATTGGCTACGATATTTAGTAATGGTCAATTCAATCTTTTCATCACGTTTAAGATTCTTTATAAAGTAAATGATATTATAGTTAATTTCAGACACATAAATACAAATAAAAAGAATTACCGAATATTCAATATCATTCAGATAATCGACATCTGAATTGACGCTAAAATGATCTTCATCCAATAATAAAATATGGTTCTGATGATTTGGGATCTCAACTGGTTTACTGCAACTATTGCTGGTAACATCTTCCTGTGAATCCGATTCGGATATTTTATTCGTAAACACTGAATTAACGTCGGAATTCACTTCTACACTTGTTGCAGATGAAATAGATTTGGAATCCATTCATGCGAATATAAACAAATCTAAATATGATGTTTATTGCATAGCATTCAAAGATTTTCGACAATAAACAATAAAAATTATCAATGAAACACAGCTGTTCTTTTCCAATTGGAACCAAAACAAAATAAATCATGCAACAGCATCATCAGCAAATCTATCCATAGACAAAGTTATGTATATGTTGTGGGCCGATCCATCATTTTTTCATTCGGTATTCTTTTTGATTCAAAATTGATATTTGATTTTGAATTTTCTTAATTTTTTATATATCGCAGTGAATAATTATAATCAACAACTATGTCGCATCTTAATTCTGGTCGCCTGAATCTGTCATCATTACGAGATTTTCAACGAACCGATCTGTTTGCTCTTCTGGATTCGATCGATGGAACCAAAGCTATCGTATGGGATCAACAATTGATCGCTCCTTTTGAACTTATTAGTAATATAAAATCATTCATGGAGCATAAAGTTATACAAAATTTGAAATTTCGATCCGTACAAGGATCGATGGTTGAAGCTCAAAATGTTGTTTATTTTATCCGACCGACCCTAAGTTATATGGACACAATAGCCGGTAAGCATTGATATTGAATTTCAAATCAGACACTGACGATTGGATTAATAAAAAAAAATATAGAGGATATTCGAGCTTCAGAATCAATTCGTAATTGTAATTTTCATATAATTTTTGTACCAAGAAAATGTATTTTATGTGAAAAAAGATTGGAAACTTTGGGCGTATTTGGTTCGTTTACTACGATCGAAGAATATTCACCCGATTTCTTTGTTCTGGATTCTGATGTTATTTCCATTGAATGGCCTTTATGTTTTCGTGAATGTAATCTTGAAATGGATTATTCTTCATTATATCAATTGGCAAAATCATTAATGACATTACAATGTGCCTTCGGTATCATACCATCTGTTTATGGTATTGGCCGTTTGTCGAAAATCCTATATGATTATATGAACAAAATGAAAAGTGAATTAATCAGTATTGAAAACAATGTTGTATCCATGATTGATCAATTGATATTGATCGATAGATCTGTTGATCTGCTTTCACCATCCATTACGCAACTTACCTATGAAGGGCTATTGGATGAAATATATGGTATCAATCAGACAGCAATTCGTTTGCCACCAGAAAAATTCATAACCAATAATGATGATCAAACGACATCTTCGGCACCAAAAAAATCACAAGTTGGAAAATTCTATTTGAATTCTGGTGATGAACTTTTCAAAAAACTTCGTGATCTTTATTATCTTCGAGTTGGACCAGTGTTGCGCGTATCAGCAAAAAATCTTACCACTCAATTCGATGAACGACGTACAGCTAAAACTGTTAGAGAAATAAAACAGTTTGTAGAAAAAATACCTTATCTTCAACGACTTCGGAACCAACAAGCCAATCATACATCGATGGCGGAACTAATTCGTGAAGTCACCGACCGTGAAGAGTTTCATGAAAGGATATTTGTAAGTGTTATTTCAGTAAATATGATAAATTGTTTACTTATTCATTTTTATTAAACATTTAATTTATTTTCCAGTGTGAAAACGAATTACTGAATTGTTTCGAAATCGATTCTATCAATCCATTTATTGAAACTTGTATCAGTCGTTCAGAAGATATTATAACGGTTTTACGTCTAATTTTACTACAAACTATTTGTGCCAATGGTCTTAAACAAAAAACACTTGATTATTATAAACGTGAAATTTTACAAACATATGGCTATCAACATTTATTAACATTAAATGCAATGGAAAAATGTGGTTTACTTCGAATTTCAAATGGTTATGGAATATCATATTCAGGATTACGGGTAAAATTCCGATTGACAAAAGAATCTTCTAAATCCAACAATGCCAATGTTAACAATGGTGATAATCAGCTGATATTGTATCAGGGACAAGTTCATGATGTTTATTTTCCATTCACCGTTCGTATTGTTCAACATATCGATCAATTTGGTTACCGATCATTCAATGATGCATTCACTAGACAATGTAAACCAGAACCAAATGGACAGAATCCATATACGATATTCGAAGAAAATCAATCAACCGGTAATATTCGTCGCCGACGTAATTCCGATACAACATCCATGCAATCAACATCGGAAACAAATGATAAATTAGTATTGGTTTTATTCATCGGTGGCTGTACATTTTCGGAAATATCTGCACTACGTTTATTGGCACAGAAAGAAAATGTCAATTCGGAATTTATCATTGCAACCACATCAATAATTAATGGTAAAACACTTCTTCAATCTATTGCCGATCCTTTGTCTACGAAGAAAAAATAAGGCTTTCTTCTTCATTTTTTTTTATCACAGCTTAAATTTGTTTAAATGATAGTCAAATAAAAACAACAACAAAAAAATTATTTTCGAATCATTTTTAATCCGTTTTTTTCAAATGAAAAAAAAATTCATGAGATCATCAGATTCATTATATATGTTCAACATAACATGACCGATCATATTGGTCATGATCGTCTTATATAACCATGACCCATGAACATAAATCATTTTTCCTTCTAACATGAACAACAATGAACATGAAATATGTCTTGTTTTTTTTGCGTTCATAATTAATATATTTCCACTTTTCTGATTCAGATAATGAACAACAAATAATTTCTTTCATTTCAACTTTTATTTCCTGCAATATCGCTTTCAATTGTAGTTCTATTATTTTATGCATCGTAATTATTACACACTAAGAATTATCGACGTGCGGAGCGGTATAACTCTGCCAATTTTGATGTTAAAATCAAATTTCAATAATGTAATTATTCATCGGTGGCTGTACATTTTCGGAAATATCTGCACTACGTTTATTGGCACAGAAAGAAAATGTCAATTCGGAATTTATCATTGCAACCACATCAATAATTAATGGTAAAACACTTCTTCAATCTATTGCCGATCCTTTGTCTACGAAGAAAAAATAAGGCTTTCTTCTTCTTTTTTTATTACAGCTTAAATTTGTTTAAATGATAGTCAAATAAAAACAACAAAAAAAAATTATTTTCGAATCATTTTTAATCCGTTTTTTTTCAAATGGAAAAAAAATTCATGAGATCATCAGATTCATTTATATATATGTTCAACATAACATGACCGATCATATTGGTCATGATCGTCTTATATAACCATGACCCATGAACATAAATCATTTTCCTTCTAACATGAATTCAACTAAGATCAGAAAAAACAAAAATTGAAAAAAATAGGAAATGAAAAGAAAAATGATCTTCAATTTGGTTATCACGATACATTTCGTTCAAATTCGTTAGTTTGTACTTTTTTTTTCTTCTTTTGTTTATTTGCCCAAATATGATCATGATGATGATGATGATGACGGGTTCATCGTAGGCTGGGTTGGTTGTTTGGTTATATAACGGTACGATTTTTGTACTTAATTACCATGCGGTAACAATGTGAATTTCATTTGTGTTACAAAACAAAACAAAAAAAGAAAAATAATAAAAAAAAACTAGATCATTTTGGCCATCATTTCGAAATGAAGAAAGAAGAAAAAACGAAAGACGATGACAATAAAGACCATGAAGATAGAATTCTTGAATGAATGAATGATTCAAACAATCAACAACAACAACAACAACAACAACAAAAAACACACGCACGCACAGTATTGTTTAAAAAATTTTTGTTGTTGTTGTTGTTTTGTTTTGTAAAAAAAAAAATAAATATCATTATATCATCATTATCATCATCATCATGTTTTTGTTGTTATTGAAACTTTGGCCTCATCATCATCATCATCATTACAGTTGGCCATCATCAAATATTATATACAATAATATATATTACTGGTCTGGTTTAATAATTCTATACGGTTGGCCGATTTGTAATTGACCGCCGGCACATCATTATAATCATCGAACATCATTCATTCACAGGTTAGACCAATGTGGATTGTGATGATTGTGTCAATGATGATGATGATGATGATGACCCAGTTCACAACTAATATATAACTCTGAACTACGAACTCGAAGTAACTGGTTTTCATTTTTCTTTTTTAACTTAAACCAGAAAAGTTTTGTCTCTCTTTGAAAAATTTTTTTTTTTTTTGCTCTATGTTATCATCAGTGTTATTTATTTCTCTCTTCATCTAATATATCTCACCTTTATTGAAATGGCTACCTACTTTTTTGAAAATATCATGTGTTTTTGGTAACTGTTTATTTATTTTTTTTTTTGAAAACAGATAACTTTCTCTTTTGTCTTCTCTTTTTTTTTCTTCTTCTGGATAGTAGTAATGGTGAGATTGGTTTCAGTTAGCAGTATAAAAATTTTGAATAATGTACTTTTCTGTTTGTGAGTGTATCTGAGAAAAAAACCGAATGTAACGATTGTATATCGGCGCTTCCAATGTTGTAACGGGTACCATAGTCGTTTCATTTACATTTCATTGATCATTTTAACATTGATAGTTCAGTTTGTGTGTTGACATTGGCTTTGTTACTTATATAATATGTTTGTGTGTGTGTGTGTGTGATTGTGATTGTAAAATTTGACCATTAAGTTTCTGGACACTTCAAATTCAACATCAATGAATCAAGGTAAGTTATAAAACATTTCTAAATTTGATTGTTTTTCTATTTATTTATTTATTGTTGTTGTGTACAGTTTGAAAATAATGATGATGACCGAATTGGTAATTTGAATTTTTATTCACGTTTCGGCCAAAAACAAAACAAAACAAAACAAATGATGATAATGAAAAAAAAACCTAGATCTTCATTTGATTAAAATTAGCCAATCATCATCATCATCATCAGTGTAAAATTTGTTTGTAAATAGACCATAGTCTGCCGGATAAGATTAGTATCGCCAATAAATCATCAGCTTCTGTTATATATATGAAAAAAAAACAGTAATTCAACCAAATATAATCATCATCGTTTGTCATGGTATTCGAATATCGAATATTTGACCTATAATCTTTAGCTTCTTTTCAACAAAAAAAGGTAGCTTTGATGCAGGAAAAAATGAAATAAATAAATAAATAAAAATCGGTCGACCGACTTTTTTTTTTTTTTTGAATGAATATTACCTATCAGCTGATCATCGATTAGATGATTGACCAGAGAACATCATGATCGTTCAAAAAAAAAAAAAAACAGTTTGACTCCCTCTCTCTCTCTCTCAAACACTAAATCAATATTTGAATTGTTAATTCTACATAAATTACGACGTTGACATACTTTTTTTGAATCTTAGTGTAATGTAAAAAAAAAGCTGATAGGGATTAAAATAAAAAATATATAAAAATCTCATCAAGTCATTGATAAATGTTTCATGATTAGTAAAACAATTGAATTCTTCTTCGTTTTTTTTTTCATTTATTTGCAGATGAAAAAAAATTATTATTATTGTATAATGACCATAAAATTCAATGAATAAATAATTGAATGAATGGGAAAAGGAAAAAAGAAAAAACAGCAAAAAAAAGTGGAAATATATGTTTGATGATGACCATCACGAAAAAAACAATCCAACATTTTTTTCTTTCCCATTCATTTATCAGAAAAATTAATTATCTTCTTCTTTTTGTTCGTTTTTAAGCAAAATTATGATTGCCATTCATCATCATCATCATCATCATTGTGAGCAACAAGTTGTGATAAACATTAGGAACGAAAAAAAAAGACAATAATCAACAATCTATCTATTTATTGTGTGATATATAAATTTTTTGAATACATAATTTAATTATAATTATTGATAATTATTATTGAAATGAATCAACAAAATCTCATTATGGATAATGATAATCATTCAATTCAATTAATAAATCAACGACAACAACAACAACAACTTGATGATTGTCACCAAAATTTCATACGTTCATCGCCAAATAGCAACAACAACAACAATGAATTGTTATTTAATAAAATCTTTGCCATAATCATACTTTGTTGTTGTTGTCTACTCATTCATCAACATGATGGAGTAATACCAACGGTACAATGTGATATCTTCAGTTCAACGGCTACCATTCAAAGTTTAATGCACCTGTAAGTTTCATTCATTCATTCATTCATTCATTCATTTACCATCATTCTCATCATCATCATCATCATCATCATTGCAGACAGAAATGCCTTCAAGCATACATATAGAAATATAATTTTTTTTTATCGATAATTTTTTTTTTCAAAACTATTTATAATCTTGCTACTTTTCTATTCAATTTTTTTTTATTATTATTTCATGTTGCTGTTTTACTCGTTCTGGTTGAATTGTTATTGTTGTTAGTGAAAGACATCTAGTTACTTCCTTAACATTATATATGGAAAATCTAGAGGAAAGATCAAATCAAATTAAAATGTATGTGTTTATAGAATTCTATTTGGTTGATTATAACTTATATTTATTTTATTGTATATGTGTTTTGTAGGTATCTAAGTGAATTTGCCTATTCAGCTGGACAGAAACGTTTTGCTGGAACATATGCCGATAATTTAATGGATAATCCATTACAGGCATTTCAATTAGTTAAACGTTTAACAATTAATTGGAATAAAATTGTTAAAACAGTAAAAAAAGATGATGAATGGCAACAGGTGGATCAATTAATGAATAGCTATAGTATGCTATTACCGAAACAGGAAGATTTGAATGGTGCTGCATTGGCATTAATTCGTTTACAAGATACTTATAATCTAAGTCTTACCGATATGGCTGATGGATATATTATGGGCAAAGACTCTTCCATACGATTATCAGGTGAATATATCAATGATTTTTATCTAAAATGATTTGTTGTAATTATTTTTAATCCGACGTTATTAGCACGCGATTGTCTATATTTAGGCAAAAATGCATTCAACAATGGTTATTATGGCCATTCATTAGAATGGTTCGATGAAGCATTAGTACGTGCACATCAAGAAGGTAATCGTACAGCATCAGTGGATGAAATTGTTCCTTTTTATCAATTGGCAATCGAATACGTAAGTTCCTTGAGTGCAATAAACTATTTATTTTTTTATTAATATCCATCCATTCAATCATTTATAGATTGATCGATTAGACAATGAATTACGGGAACAAAATTTTCCACGACATTCGGATAAACTTCGTGTGGTAGAAGGTGATAACGAAGATTATAAACGATATCAAATGCTTTGTCGTGGTGAAGAGTTTCCAATGGATGTAAGTACATAAAAATTGTCACATGAAATAATCATTATCATTATTTTCTTTGAAATGACAATTTCATTTCTATTATTCTATTGAAACTTGCCTAGAAAACTGAATTAAAACGTCGAACATCCGATCAACGTTGTTATTATTCAACAAACAATGGCCATCCATATCTAATATTAAAACCACTAAAAGTAGAACAATTCAACAGTGAACCATTCATAGCAATGTATTATGATGTCATCAGTGATAAAGAGATTGAGATAATCAAAGAATTATCAATGCCAATGGTAAGTCATCATTATTATTGTCAACACATAATCCTTTTTTTTGATGTATTATGTGTTACATTGAAATTTTTCTATAAAATGAAAAAAAAAATAAAATGATGATAATGTTAATGATGTTTTTTTTTCGTACGACACAGTTAACTCGAGCTCGGGTATTAACAGATGATAAAGATAATGAAATATCTACTGTACGTGTATCGCAAACTGCTTGGTTTACTGAAGCCAATGAACCATTGATTGGACAGTTAAATCGTCGTATTGAATCTATAACTGGACTTTCAGTGAATATGAATAAAAGTGATTGTGAACTGGTACAGATTGCCAATTATGGTATTGGTGGTCATTATGTACCACATTATGATTATCTCATTAAGGATAAGCCCGAAAATCAACGTACAAACATTTCGGAAAAAGATCAATATGCTGGTGATCGTATAGCAACATTTATGTTCTATGTATGTGTGTGTGTATTATATATATAATAATAATCGATTATTTCTTTTGTTCTTTTGTTTGCACGGTTTTCCGAAAATAATTTTCCATCCTTTTTTTTCTTTTCATTGTATAACCGTTATTATTACTATACATCCATCATCATCATCATCATCAACATTATAAATATCTAGCTATCTGATGTTGAAGTTGGTGGATCAACAGTTTTTACCCGTCTTGGTATCCGTGTAAATCCGGTTAAAGGAGCGGCTATATTCTGGTATAATCTATTACGTAATGGTGAAGGAATTATTGATACAATACATGGTGCTTGTCCGGTTTTGATTGGAGAAAAATGGGGTAAAGTTTTTTTTTCGTTTTTCTCTCTCTCCAGTTTACTTACCATTGATTATTGATTAATGTATTGACAATTTTATTTTTTATTTTTTCGCTTGTTGTTTACTAACTAACTAACTCTATAGTTGCCAATTATTGGATTCGTGAACATGGCCAAATATTTCATCGTCCTTGCAGTCTGGATCCAACAAAATAAAGAATGGAAAAAAAAGAGATTAACAATCTTTCACTATTTTTTCGTTTGTTTGTTTGTTTGTTTGTTTGTTGTTCACTACTGTTTGTTGTCTTAATTATTGTTAAGTTTCTCATCGAACTTTTTTTCTTCTTCTTATTCTGCTATACCCTCTGTATCTTTCTTTCTTATCTTTTTAGCATCATGATCATTAATTTAATTTTAGATTTTTTGTTTTGAAAAAATTAAATTGCCGGTCATATAAAAATATCTCATACGAAAAAAACCAACTTGTTTTTTTTCATTGTTTTCTTCCATCAAACAACTTCCTGTTGAAAAAAAAACAAAAGTGAAAAATAATCACTCATATCATCAACAAGGCAATAATGTCAACTCATGAAAACAAATACTTGAATTCCGTTAAGGACAACAAAAAAAAAAAAAAAAAAACACGATATCATTATTCTTATCATCTACAAAAATAAAGAATGGAATTGTTTATAAAAATTGTATATTTTCATCTGATCTGTTTTGGTTTCTGTTCTGTTCTGTTTTTTTTTCATCGCAGGCGCACACACACACATGCTACTGTAATTTTTTTTTTTTTTTTTTTTTTGACAATCTGAATTTATGTTTTTCCGTTTTTTTTATCGTGATGATGATGATGATGCTAAACATGCTGCCAATAATGGAAACAAAAAAAAAAAATTTCGAAATCATTCTTCATCAATCGCATACATACATACATGATGATATATTCTTCTCTTCCTGTGTAAAGAGAACCTTTTTACATATATAAATGATGATGATTATGATGATTCTACATGTGTGTGTGTGGTGTGTGTAAACTGAATATATATGAAAATAAAATAAAATAAAACTAAAAATAAACTCCTGTTGCTCCTCATTTTTGGCTTTAATGTACTATATATATATTTTTTTTCTAGCAAAAAAAAAAACAGTATTCTTTTCCTGTGCGACGTATAAAAACAGTGAAAAAACCAAAAATACATGTATTCACTCACACTAACATTCGAATTAGAATGAAAATGTGGATTATATTTTTTTTTTGTTCGAACCGCGTATACTGAATAACGGACGACGGAATTTATTGTAAACGTTCCGTGGAAAAAAAAAGAAAAACAACAGGCGATAAACGCTTGATGCTATAACAAAAAAGGGGTGTGTGTGTGTGTATGCATGTTGTTGTTGATGAACAATCATCATCATCATCATCATCAACAACAACAACAACAAATTTGAATCGAGATAGGCACCGTATGGCGCCGCTAATATACATTTTTTTAAGGGTTTGTTTTTTTCAAACACATCAATTTAGAAAATGCTGCTTCTAAATGCTGTATATGTAAAGAGAATGGTGGCGATTGGTGTAGTTGTAAAATTACATCATCGATTTCGATTTATTATGGAACTCTGAATGCCCATCTATTGAATTTTCATGTTGTGATGAAAATGTTTATTTTTTTTTTTGGCTGCTTGCATGCTTGCAATAATTGTTATTTGTTATTTAAAATGTAAATGATGATGATGATGATTTGGAGAATTTCGAAAAAAAAACGATCTTCATAATAATAATTTTTGGTGGCTATGGCGCCAATATTCATAGTGGATAATGATGTGAGAAAGTGAGCAGCAGCAGCAGCAAAAAAAAAACTGAACCAAATAATGCAAATGAATCCATGGTTCATTTTTTTGTCACAAATGATACAGCTGATCTCATCAAAAAAAATTTGTAAATTTTGATTTTTTTCGTTTCATTGAAAAAAAAAAAATTCATCCCGCTACTACATTACTGTTTCTCATCATCATCATCATTTCAGTGTAAATGTTATTTAGTGTGTATGTTTGCTTCATTAGTTCAAAAGTTGTTGCATTCATTTGCAAAAAAAAAAAAAAAAAAATACTCACCCACACACACACACACGCACAAAAACTTGAGCATAGCGGATTCTAAAATTCTTTTAATTCACATACAAACAGACAAAAATGTAAAATTCTCATCTTGTGAATGTTTATTGTTTATTTGTATTCGTTGTTTGTGTATTGTGTGTGTGTGTGTTCGTGTTTGTTTAGTATGTAAATGTATAAAAAAATAAATCTTTAAAGAATTCGATTATCAATGGCGTATTCATCACACACACACACAGGCATCATCATCATATCATCAACAACCGTGTACATGATCTATTGATGATCGACAATGAAATTCAACAACGTTGAAATAAAACAGACCTTGATATACAAACAATTTTCATTTTTAAACTTTACAGTAGAAAAAAAAACATTTTCAAAGATTCTTTTAAATTCTTCATACAGTGTGTTTTTTTTTTCATTGACAAACGATATCATTGAAAAATAAATTCATTCATTTTGAATCTTCATTCATTGTGACTTGTTGCATGTTATTTTTTTATGTTTTGTTTTGTTTTGCTTATTCACCGTGCATAAGATAGCACCGGAAATATTCTTATTACGCTTGAAGAAAATAATCAAACCATACAATCATCATCATCATCATCGTCAAAAGATTCTTTATTTTTTTACCATAAATGTCATTTTAAAGATCATCATGTGGCACGTGTCATCTAAATGAAATATCCAACTCATCATCATTTGACTAAAGACAACCAAAAAAAAAAACTGGCCACTTCTGACACGTGCCCACTCTAAGTATTGTTAAATGTTGCTTCCGTTGTGATTTTTTCTTTGGTAAATCTGGCCATTTCTTTTTTTTTTCTTTCGATCATCTTTAACCATTAACACACCATCATCATAACCGATAAAGAAATATCTGGTCATTTGAATTTGGTTAAAAAGAAAAAAAAACGATCGTTCTTCAATGTTGTCCATATAGTCATATAAACACATTTTACTTGTAATCGATTTCGACCATATGGTCTACAGATGTGTATAGATGATGATCTTTTTTTTTCTTTGATGATGATGATTTTGTCTTATTTTTTTTCTTTCATTTACAAATGTGTTTTTGTGTGTGTGTGTGTGTGTGTGGCAGTAAAAAACATTGAAGCTTCATTTAGATTGAAAATTTCTTTCCAATAGTCGACACATCAGTGTTGTATGTTAAGTTCATCTTCATTCAGTATTTTTTTTTTTCCTTTTTTTTTTTTTTTTACTTAAGTCATTTTGTGAATAATCTTTTTTAGCTGGATGAATGAATGAATGATGAATTTACTATCAGTATATGAAGACATTGGAACAGAATGAAAAAAATATAACAGCCACATACACACACAAAACACCATACCACCACCATCAAACGGACAATGTGACCGACCCATCATCATCATTTTTTTTTTAACAAAAACAAACAAACAAACAAACAAACAAACATTTGAATAGCACCCAAATGTTTTCTGTATACCCTTCTTATATTTAGTTGTCTTTGTGTGTGTGTGTGTGTATGTCGGTGATTGTCAATTCTCATTTCAAATGTGACAGTTTCACAAATTGTCTCATCATAAGACCCGAGAGTCTCAACGAATTTTCAATTCATTCAATGTTCACTGTGCCAAACCAAATGGTCGATTTATTCATTCATTCATTTACTTTCATTGTTCCTAGTTCATTTTATCTTTTTTTTTACCGGTTTTCATTAAATTTAAATTTTTTTTTCAACAAAAATCAATCGATATAGCTAAAAACAATGGCCCTAATAAGGTTACATATCATCATCACAATTATTGTTGTGTTTACATCATCCATATCGAATTCACATCCGGTTTCCGTTGCTAATGGAAAAAGTAAGTTTTTTTCTCTTGATTGTAAATATTTTTTGAATTTGTAATAAATCGATGAATATTGATATTTGGTTCTGTATGAATCCATATTTTAATATTCTCATGGTACATATAAATCGATTTCGAAATATAGTCATAACCTTGACTTGATGAATTGGGAAAAATTTTTTCTTCCCCGCATTTTGACCATTAACTGACCAAAATACTCACACACACACACATGTCACTTGACTTAATTTCCACTTTTTTATTTTATTTCTGTGTGTGTGTGAATTCAACTTTGAGAAACTTGATACTTGACCATTATATATTTTTTGTTTTGTTTTTTTTTTCGTTCCGTTTCATTACATATCTAGGTGCTGCAACAATCATTCTCATAAGACAACAAAAGAATCGATCTTCAAATCATTTTGTTCGAGAATTGAATCAAAATATAACCTTCAATTGTCGTGTTGATTATGATGATCATTCAAATAGAAAAAATTTGCAATTGAAAAGATCTTGGTATCGTGACAATGGCCAATGGTTAGGTCCAATAGAAATTAAAGGCAAAAAATTTATTGGTACCGATGAACGATATCGATTCCAATCAGCCAATATGGATGAGGCTAGTTTGATGAAAATCAAACAACTAAATGAAAAAGATATGGGAATATATTATTGTTCTGTTTGGATGATCGATTCAAATGATCAAATATTAGTTTCGAAAAATGAAACATTTAAATATGAATTAAAAATCATTCAGCCACAGCATCAAGTTGATGACCATTTACAACCGAATGCTCAATTGTTTCGAGCGGAAAAATCAACAGACAATCAATCAATGATTAGAAATGAAATAAATCATACAGTGATTGATGGTAACTCACATACATTTGATGTCGATGTTATCGGTAGCGAAACATGGTTATTTGGTAATGATTTTCACAATGAAAATGGCGATGAATACGAAGATGATGATGAAGAGGATTATCTAGCTAAAGATCTGGATGAAGAAGAAGTTGAAGATTTTCCATTAAATTGTAAGTTTATCATCATCATCATCATTCATTATTGAATAAGTAATAAATTGCACATTATTTTTCACATACACACAACAGCAGAACCAAAATATATCGACAATGATGGCAAAGAGTTTCGTATATACAATGTAAGCGAATTTCCTTCAATAATGCAAATGGAAAAACAATCAGGACATTTAGTTAAATTTCGTTGTCCAATTCGTGGCCATAAAAATAATACCAAATATCGTTGGTATAAAGGAACACGTATACTCAAAGGTTTTACCCGTAATGATGGTGAAAGTGTAAGTGTTTTTTTGGTCTATACCTGTTGATTTGAATAATAATTGTTATATATATAAATATATAAAGATGAAAATTGATCGATGGAAATTAGATCTAGAAAATGTTGGTGAATCCGATTCTGGTAATTATTCATGTAATGTACAGAATCCATATGGCCATTATAATTTTACATTCGATCTTCGTGTACATTGTAAGCTATAAATATTCTTTATTGGAGATTTTTTTTTTTTGATTGATGACTGACTGATTGATTTCCGATTACGATCCAGATTCATTACGACATCCACCCGTATTAACTAATTTGAATGTCAAGATCAATAATACAATTTCTATTGGTGAAAACATTACATTCGATTGTCGATATCGTTCATCAGTGAATGCTAATTTTAGCTGGTTCCGTGTTTATTCAAATCAAACATATAGAAAAATTAATGTAAGCATTTAAATCATCATCATCATCATCATAATGAATGATCATTTTTTTTTGTTTATTTTAATATATTCATAATCAAATCAATTAATCATCAAATATGAATCACCCATACGCATACACACACACACACACAAATTAGGGATCATGGCTAATGATGAATCTAGTAAATGTAAGCACTGATGATAGCGGAAATTATACATGCATAGTCAGCAATCGTTATGGAACTATTGAACGTTATTTCTTACTCAACGTTATTTCAGGTATGTTTTCTTTTGATGTTGGTTTTCAAAATTCATATTCTAGTCTATCAAAAAAAAAAGCTTCTCATTACATTTCTCTGACATATGTAAATCAAAGATCGAATTCATTACAACAACATATCAAGACAAAATGAAAATTTTTTGTTTGTGTTTGTTTATGTTTATGTGATTTGAAAAATTCTGCCTGTTGTTGTTGCTATGTGTTTGTGTTACTGTATAATGATAATAATAATTAATCGCCTTAATAGAGTCGAAATTGGATTGGAACCATATTCGGCGCTTCAGTTTCACAATAACATCTAGATATCGTTTTTAGTTTAGTTTGGTTGATTTTTTTTTGTTTTGTTTCTTGTTTCTAGTCGTACAAACCATTTATTAGTTTACATAACACAGTCAGCCATGATTTTGTTCATGTGATGATGATGATGATGATGTTCAACAACAGTAACAGAGAGATAGATTCATGCAACAATTTTCTATTGAACATCATCATCATCAAAAAAACTGTTTAAAACAATTGGCAACAAACAACTAATGTAATATAATGTTGGCATTTGTAATGAAGCCGGAATCATGAATATATATGCAGAGAAATGGAAAAAAAATCAAACAACATTAGCCAACCAGAAAAAAAATGAACAAACAAAATGTTGCTTGTGTGTATATGATGATGTGTGTTCGATGATGTTAACATATAAATGTCGAACATTATCCAATCTGCATCTATCTGGATTGGTCTAGTTTTTTTTTTGAATTTTCATATTTTCAAATCGATAAATGAATCATTTATGGATTTATAAAAAAAAATGGTCAAAACCAAATTATTTTGGAATAAGAAGATGACCAAATGACAAGATAAATCAAATAAAAGAAAACCCTAAATAAATGCAATATATATAGAAATATATTTCAATTTGTTTCATGCCGCGCTTTTTTCTTTCTTTCATTTTTTTTCATTCATTCGTTTTTTCATTATTTTTATTTGTCAAAAAAAAAAAAAAAAAAAAAAATTTGACACTGTAGAGACATTTTCATTCACACCATATGTGCACCACATGTTATTGGTATTATGTTCATTGATATTGTTGGCAACGTTGATGGTCACCTATATTCTATACAATAGCCGTTTACAAACAAATAAAAAGATAACTATTGTAGCACAAAAAAGTTTTATAATCAAAAAGAAAATTATACTTGAAAATCCAATGTCATATGATTTATCATCGAATGGTGGTGATGATCCAACATTGATGATCAACAATGAATTAGGCAATCTATTGGATGGTAAAGGAAATTCGTTTGATATGTTTTCACCATTGGTCAAAATTGATTGTGAACACATTTTGATTGATTCAAATGATGAACATATGGCTAAAAAATCTGGCATAACACAATATGAAATACCGTTAGATAAGGAATGGGAAATGGAACGTAACAAGTAAGTTGACCAATAGAATAAATATATAAATGAATCAATTAACCAAAAAAAAAAATTTATCTTTTTCTATTTTTTTTTTGTTTGTTATCAATATCATTATCATCATCATCATCATCATCAAGTGTTAGGATTTATTGGAAAGAAAAATTAGGAGAAGGTGAATTTGGTACCGTAGTCAAAGGAGAATTGGCAGATTCAATATATAAAACTGAAGTGGCTGTCAAAATGTTAAAAGAAGGACATTCTGATGATGAAATGATTAATCTGATTTCCGAATTAGAAGTGATGAAACGTATTGGAAAACATCAAAATATAATCAATTTGATTGGATGCTGTACACAAAATGGTATGTGTGTGTGTGTGCTTAATATTAACGTTTTTTTTATAATCCCTCAAATTGCTTTTCATTACCAGGACCACTATGGGTAGTCGTAGAGTATGCACCTTACGGAAATCTTAGGGATTTTCTTCGCAAAAAACGAGAAGAAATGATTGCATTCAAACAACAACAACAACAGAACAACAGTATCAATAGCCCAAAAGAGTTTCATTATGTTCCTGAAATGTTTCAACATCAGCATCATCATCAACAACAACAACAACAACAGCAAAAGCAACAAAAAACATTTTCATCATTGACATTTTTAGATCTGGTCGATTTTGGATATCAGGTTTGGATTTACTTTTTTTTACATTAACAACATTATTAAATTAATGGTTATGTGAATTCATTATTATCGTTGTTGTAGATTGCTCGCGGTATGGAATATTTATCATCCAAAAGATGTGTACATCGTGATTTGGCCGCTCGTAATGTTCTTGTTTGTGAAAATAATATTCTTAAAATTGCCGACTTTGGTTTGGCACGAAGAATTCAAGGCGATTATTATCGTAAAACAACAAATGGTCGACTGCCCATCAAATGGATGGCTATAGAATCATTGGAAAATCAAATGTATACAACACAATCGGATGTTTGGAGTTTTGGCATTCTATTATGGGAGATAATGACATTAGGACGAACACCATACCCTGGTATCAATGTTCATGAATTATGGAAACGTTTAGAAGGTGGATATCGTATGGAACAGCCAATCAATGCGGATGAACAAATATATGATATTATGCGTCGATGTTGGCAAAAACAGCCAAATGAACGTCCAAGTTTTGCACAGCTAGTCAAAGAAATCCATAGAATATCATTTTCCTGTACAAATAGAGTATGTAATCTTGACTGGATTCGATCGGAATTTTCTAAAAAAAATAATCATTTTTTTTGTACTTAAAAAATATGTATAGGAATATGCAACTATTCATTTTCCAGGTGTTGATGTCCATTCTTCAGCATCTAGTTCCGATGAAGATGAAACAAACGAATCGACTATTGCTGCTGCATCCGATTATGATAATGATAGGCTTAGAAAAAGAGAAGATGATTATAATGACAATGATAATGAACATCGATATAATAATTGGCATGCATCAGCGGCCACATTTATGCCAACAAAAATCAATTTACCAATATCAACATTAGGTATATCGGATCCAGCTAATGATAATGATTCATCGCCGGGTAAATGGTTCAATATGAATACATCAAGATTTGCCGGTGCTAATCATCATTATATCAATGGCAATGCATTACGTGAAACATTATTGCGTGAACAATCATCAACATTATTCCAACAGGAAAATAACAAAGTGTCAAAAGAATTGGATGATTACACAACCACAAACGTTGTTGAAGCAATTGTATATCCAAATGATCCAACAACAACCCAATTCATACATCATAATCGTACATATGTGAATGACAATGATTTAACCATCATACATAAGGACAAGGATATTACAACCACATCATTGGTGGTCATGCCACAAACGAATTCAATAAAACCGGCTACCATAATCAACAAATGTTATGATTTTGATTTTTTATGTCGAAAAGCGACGAATAATCATCCAATATCATCATCACCATCATCAATCACAGTAGCCACATCAGCTACTATGATTAGACCGCAACATGAAAAAAATGAAAATTGAACCACAACAACAACAACAACAACGATAATCAATCATTTTGATTATCGGATTTAAGATGTATTGATAGATAGACAAACAAAAAGAATCTTTTTTTCGGTATTACTATTGACATAAATGTGATATTAAGCAGTTTTCATAGACAAAATCATCCTCATCATCATAAACACACAAACAAACACACACACTAGTCTGACCATTGCAACACACACACACACACACACCATACAAAAAAAATAACCGAAATGACAAAGCTTATATCCGACTCGATAACTATACTAAGTCCAATGAAATCATACACACACACACACACACACGACTCGACGATTCGGATCGTCGGCCGAAAAAAAAAAAAATTGAAACACACCCGGTATCTTAAAGGCAAGCAAGGAAACACATAATATTGAAAGAGAATTTCACAATTGACCGATATCGTAGGTGTTTAGTGTGTGGCGAATGTCAACAACTGTCATATACACTTGAAAAAATATTCATTTATTATTTTCAATCATTTTTTTCCCCATTTCTATACACACATTTTGGATCTGGCTCTCTGTTTTTTTTTCTTCGTAACGAAAGTTCCTTTCGCACGAATGCTTGTTGTTGTTATTGTGTGTGTGTGTGTGTGTTTAATGTTTCATTTATTCGATATGATCATTGATCATTCTTTTTTTTTATTTCTCTTTTTGGTTATTTGCTTTGAAAACCTCATTCATCTTGGATCGTACAACATATAATGACATATAAATGACATGAATTGTCATTATTAATTTCATCATTATCATCAACAATTGTTGTTTACCAGTTTCGAATATTCTGGTTTTTGTTTTTGTTTTCTTTCTGTTTTCCATTTTTTTCCCCCCCATACACACGCGCTCATTTCATTGTAAATATCATTTTTTCTTCTTGTTTTCAATGTGTTGTGTTTGTGTAAGTGTAGAATCAAAGAATTCAATTCACACCATTTTGGATCATTGAGTAAATATTGATTTTTGTAATTTTTTTAAAGAAAAAACTCTTATCCTGTACTGTATGTTTCCTTCTTCCTATATCGATTGTACGATATGGTTTTTTTCCGTTTCGTTCATCACATCATTCAATCAATGGATATTGTGACAAAATATTAATAATAATTGTGATGAAATGATTGAATACACAGCAACAAACAAACAAACAGACATTCTACCCCGTTCATTCAATATCAGCCAACAAAAACAAAAAACAACAACAACAACAACAACAATCATTTTATTGACGAAAAGAATTCATAATCATCATCATCATCATCTTTTTTATTATTTAATTAACTTTATATCGTGATTGTTCGATATATTGGTGCATATCAACATTTTGATTCATTATAACTCACACACATAGACACTCACAATTAATCAACCATTAATATTTATATGATATGATAAACTAAATTAAAATTAATAAATAAATAAAAAAACAAACAAATTATGGTTCCATTATCATCATTCACATCATTCAAATCATCGAAATGCAAATTTCATTCTACCATGATAATTATTTTATTTTCATGGTTACTATTTGGAGCATTATCATCATTGGGTATTTTTTTTTTGTTATTATTATTAGTTAACAAAATTGAATCAATCAATTTATAATCAATTGATTAATATAGATCCTATGGATATTGGAAATAATCGATATTTCGGTAAATATGTTGGATCATTTGATCGTGATTGGAACAACAATCATCATCGTCATCATAATATTATTGTTGCCGGTGATGTTTATTTTGTTAATAAACATACATTGTTTTTATACAATTTTAGTTTCGATGGCCAAGAATCAGGTAGGATTTATTTTATTTTTTTTTACACTTCATTATTTAAAAAAATCACAAATTCAAATCGGTCTACACACGTGAACAGTTTTTTTTGTCTGTGTGTGTGTGTTTCAGGGCTGTATTGTAATAAACGCTTGGTCGATTGCTAATAGATAAAAAAAAAAAAGAGAGTCAATCGCGGTCAACATTAGCATTAATAGTTTTTAGAAAAAGAGATCAAAAGAAAAAAAAATTGTCTCATGTAAAGCAAAGGAAAGAAAAAAAAATTATTATCAAAGCAAATGTGTAATGTCTAATTTGCATAATGTATCTGTTGTTGACACACACACACACACACACACACACACACACACAAATTATATATATGCCACATACATATTTTTTTAAGCCTGTCACTTATAAAAAGTCTGGTTTTTGTTTTGCAGCAGAAGCCAAAATAAAATATATACCATTTTTAATGATCATGTTAACTTGTGCCTAATGTTTTGGCCTTGCCCGCCGAAAACTCACACACACTGATACATTTACGATCAATTTATGATACGGAAGCAATTTTTTCTTCCCTTAAACTTTCATTTGAACATAAATTTTTTTTTACATAACACACACACACACACACAGTCAAGATTTAATTGTTTGATTGTTTTTGAAATTTGTTTTTTATATGCACCCGATTTAAACATTTTCATAACATGTGATGATTTAGATGTCTATTTCAAAGTTGGTGGCTACAACATTGGCCACAATGGTGGTCATGGTTCAGAAGGAATCATATTACCTGATGAGCTTGGAAGGTGAGCAATTAATTTATTATTAGTGTAATGATGATGGAGAATATTCATTTTTTTTTTTCATTGTAATATAAAAGATTTCATCAATTGGGACGTTATCAGAATCAAAATATTTTACTCACTTTGCCGAAAGGAATTTCTGTGGATAAAATTCGTTTGATTTCATTGTGGAGTAAAAGACTTTTGGTAAATTTTCATGAACATTTTCAATAATCATAATCAAAATCATCTTTGAAAAAATGAACAGAAAAATCTTGCTGAGATACGTATTTTCAAATCGATTGCCATACCAGAAATGAAAAATTTAGGACCATTGATGGACACAAAAGATTTGGTAAAAGCTAAAACTGTTATGGCTGTCGATGATAAAACCATTTTGATCAGGTAGATTTGAAAATTATGCAGATGATTGGATGATAAAAAAATTTGAAATATTATTGCAATTACTTTAGAAAACTTTACTATAGTATCGAATGTTTACGTTGTGGTTTTTTTGTTGGCCATGGTACGATACCGAATTTTTATGGTATTAAAATACCAGATGAACATGCAAGGTTTGTTACATTGTGGCACATAATTTGTAACCTATAAGATCTAAAAATTTAAAAAAAAAATTCAATTAGCTTTTCAAAATTACGTAATTATTATAATGAAGATATCATATTACGATTACCACGTGATATAAGTCTTAATAATATTGATTGGTTCGCTATATATGATCCGGAAAATAATAAAAACTATGGCTACATTCGAATCAATAATAAAGATTTAAATATACCGCCAAGTATGGCATTCATGTTGACTTATGTAAGCATACAAACGACAACCAAAATAAAATGGATAAAAAAATGGTCTCGTCTCTTTTTTTCTGTTACAAATAGGTCACATTATTTTCCAATTGTGAATCGATACTACCTGGATTGATGCATGTTTCATGGGAAATTCGACATCCAGATATTTACATACAACTTGAAGCAAGAATCGGTAAGTATAATATTCATTTATTGATGGATAATAGTCTATTGGGTGCCATTCTTCAAACTGATTTTCAATGTTCTTTTCAAAAAACTTGAATGTTATTTATATGCTTGACAACAACAAAAAAAATTTGTTACAACTTTTGACGTGGACCAAACATATACATCTATATAAAGCATCGAATCAATATGCTGCATTTGGATTGAGGTATTCGTATAAATAGACGTCATTAAATGAAACACTTCATTGTTTTTTTTTGTTTCAAATCTAATTTGATTTCTCCCCAGTGGTTCACTTAAGCAAAGTAAAATGATTGGATCCGATATATTCGTTACATATTATGATGCTGACAGGTAACTTGTATATAAATTCTATTAAACAATGAGGATGATCAACCAAACGAAAAAAAATACATTTTTTTTTCAATTTATTCTTGATATTTTGTTATAGTAATAAAGTTGTTCTGGAAGATTTCACTGTAACGGCCAAAACTCAATGTAACATTCAAACGGGTATCGGTGTTTGTCCAGATACGGTCGTAGGCGGTAACAATAATCTGGAATTGCTTATGTCTAGTTACATTGATGGATTGATCAAAGTTACATTTCGACGGACAATATCGGTAATGGGTGATCATCAAAATGATCTACCATTTTTAGTTCATGATCCGAATCCAATTGTTGCAGCAATCGGTACATTGGATACACATAAAAATCCAAGTTATCATACGGTAGCAGTTAATACTAAATATCATCAATCCAAATATCGTCCAATGACTGTTGTTAATTTTGGCCGTAAAATTACATAAAAGAAATTGTCATGAAAATTTATGGGACAAAGTGATCAACGAACCGGCAAATATTTTCAACACCATAGCAAATTCACAGCTTTCTGAGACAGAAATTATTTACGAACTTAGACCATGGAAACCGGCCATAATAAAAACCAACAACAATCACGTATTTCATGTGGTAATTGGACCAGCTGGTAATGCACAACAAGGCTATACTTCGATCACTGGCCAAGAATCGCCTGGAATTGCATTCTGGATAAATGATTTACTCATACCAGAATTACATGTAGTTCGTGGTCATGATTATACATTTTTGATTGAAACCGGTGATAATCGTACAGATAGAAAACATTATCATCCATTTTATATAACTGATTCACGTGAAGGTGGCAATCCTAATAATTTTTCCGTTAATCATCATATCTATGCTGGAGTTAAATTTCATGATGATATTGTTGATCCAAAACCAGGAACAGGACGTTATTGTGAATTGATTGAAAGTTCACGAGTTGATCCATCATTCATTTATTCTATTGAAGATTATCGTAAAACATTACGATTATATTGTGGAGTATGTTTCGTATAATTAACATTACTAAAACACATGATAATTAATTTTTTTTTTATTTTTTTATTTATTTTGTTTGTTTGTCGGTTGGTTGGTTGGTTGGTTGGTTGTTTGATTTTTTTTCTATAGAAAGGAAACGTTGGATCATTTCGTTGGAGACCTGACAACAATACACCAGATATAGTATTTTATCAAAGTTTTACCGAAAAAAATATGGGATGGAAAATCAAAGTATCATCATCATCATCACGGATATCATTACTAAAAACATTAGCATTTATTATTATTGTTGTTGTTATTTTGTTGTAATTTTTTTCTTTCATTTGTATGATTCGTGTGTATGTATCAAAAAAAATAAATAAATAAATAAAATCAAACAAATTCTATTTTGGAAAAAAAAGAGAGAAGAAAATTACATCGTTTATATTCAATCAATCACTCGCTAGGTGTCATTGTTGGCCGGATATTCACAAAAAAACTACTATTATTCACCACTATTGTTTTCTCATATATATTGGTTGTTGTATATGTTTGTGCATATACATACAACATACTACATTACTGTTATATTATATTACGATGCATTAAATCACATTCACATTCACATTCTACATTTGTGTGTGTATATGAACACACACGGCACCACCTGCGCGGTTCAAACCAAATACAACTGATGATGATGATGATGATGATGATGATGGTCTGTTCTAAAAATCTGTCTGTATTTTTGGATCGTTGTGGATCATTTTGTCATTGTGTGTTGCAGTAGACACACATACATGGACGTACCGATTTCATTTTCATTTTCATTTTCAATCATCATGTGTATAATAAAAACAATTTTTGATGATCGTAACCAATAAAATTTGAAAATCGAAATCATCATCATCATTGTCATACATTTGTGGCTTTTTTTTCAATAATAATTGATCATCATCATCATCATTGACATTAATTTTTATCCATGTGTTGTTCTTTTTTTCTTTTTTTTTGGCAAGAATAACGAATAATTTTGGTTTGTTTATTTATTTATATTTATTTGTTTGAAATAAGATGTTGATTGATAATAATAATCGTCATCGATATCACCATCAACATTATGATACACATCCACCAAATGTTGTTGTTAATGATCCATTAATGGGTGGTCAACGAGATGATAATAATAATAATGATGATGATCAATTTATGATAAATGCATCAAAAACAATAACAAAAGCAACTAATAAAAATCAAAGACAAAATCTATGTTACCATCGTCAACAACAACAACAACATCTGCATGGAAAATCATTAATGGCAATGACAAATGCTACCAACATTCGAATTCAACAACAACAACAACAGCAGCAGCATCAGCAACAACAACAATCATCGACACCGGCAATTCGTTCACAAACACTGCCACATAGAAAAATTAATAATAATAACTGTGATTTACAATTCGCTAAAATTCGAGCTAGTTTTAATGAGAATCATCATCATTATCATCATCATCATTATCACAATCAATTACAACAGCAACAACAACAACAACAACGACAATGTTATTCCAATTCTGATGTGATGATTCGACAACAGCAACAGCAATCAATGGCTAATGTAAACAATTCAACGATAATGGCTCCTGTAAGAAACAACAACAACAACAATCTGATAAAATTAACATCATCAACTACACAAGATCATTCTTTGGAACAACAATGTTCGATTAATGCAACAATGACCATAAGACGATTATTACAATTATATGAATTGGGTGAATATCGTGAAGCAGCAAACATTATATCTCGATTGCCTTATACAACATTTCGTGCAGTGGTTCTTGATCTTCCTGTCGATGTGTTTGTCGAAGCGATACCATCATCATTACCAATATTGGATGCATTATATGCAAAAGTATTCTTCTCTGGCCGTGATCTATTGGCATTCGGTTTTAAATTTCTACATCCGGAAAATGTTGTATCGAATATGATACGAATGTTTGCCATATGCGATGTTTATTCACATCCATCCAGTCAGGAATCGATCTCAATCTGTAAAAAACTTTTAAAGGTAAAGAATTCATTCATCTATTTATATATTATTTGTTTGTTTAATATTCAAACAAACATTAGCATTTAGACTCCATTTCGAATTGAATGGGTGTCATAGTGATGCCAAAAAAAAATCGATTGTTTGTTTGAAAGGTAATTTTCAACATTAATCAATAAGTGAAAATGAGAGAAATAAAGATCTATCGATGCAGTTATATTTGGGTTTAATGATCGCACACACACACACACACATACACATCGTTAATTACTGATGATGATGATGATGACGATGTTGCCATTAATCACATTTTTCAAGAATTGAGTTTCGATTGACTTATTTCTATATAGGTTATTAATGTTTTTTTTTTTCTTTGCTTTCTAAGGTTATTCTTATCGCCGATCCTAGTTTACGTAAACAGCTGCTCATCAAAAAAGCCTTGATCGATCGAGCCGTTGAAGGAATGGGTCATCATGGCTTGGTTGGCACTTCTAATGATGCTCTAATGAATTTACATGAAGCATTGCGATTAGAATTCGAACGAGTCATACAACAATATAAGGGTGCTATCGCTAAAATTGACGAACTATCATCGACAAATAAAATGGGTAAAGATGGTGGTCCTGTGACAAGATCATTATCACAAGGACCAGCACCAACATTTAGTTCACATCAACGTCTTTTATCATTGAAACAAGAAGAAATTCAAGATAGATTGAATAAAAATCGATCACTATTATGTGCTCTGGAACCTTGTTTTCGTACCAATCATTCATTGCAAATATTACTAGCAATCCTACAGAAACGTATCGATTATGATAAAGAAACATTATTCCAATTTGGACAATTAAGTCGAGAATATTCATCATCTTCCAATGGTACTTCTAATGGTGTTGTTGTAGGTTCGTCATCATCATCATCTTCATCGTCTTCTTCTTCATCATCATCATCATCATCATCATCATCGTTATCGTCGTCAAGTAATAATCATAATCAAAATTCGACAATAACAAACATTCATAATCATAAGTCTCGTACGTTACTTTCAAATCAATTTGAACGTGATTCGGTTGTTGCACCAGTTTTAATGCGATTCTCTCATGGCTGTAACCAGGTTTGTTGCAAATGTTTTTTTTCATTTCACTCTCGGATCCAGATCTGTATTTTATTATTAGTTTTGTCTTTTTGTGTGTGTGTGTTTGTGTGTTTTGAAGCCTGTCCGTCAGTCATTCTGGTATATTTGGATAATAACAATAATGTGCGTGAGAGAATGGCACACACACACCGACAAATAAACAGAAACTAAAATCAACCAGAATAGACTCGCCTATATTCGACCAACAACAAAAAAATTCGACTTGCTCTACATCCCCCATCATCAGTACACACCCAATTGAATGATATAAAAGTGTGCAAGTATGGTTAGAAAAAAAAGTCAGGTCATAATTTAGTTTTTTTTTTTTGAAAATTCATTTTACGGAAGTTGATAAATGAGTCATTCGATGATATTTTATTGGCGAAAATTAGCATGTGTTTCCAGGAACACCGACAACACCGACAACAACAACGTATATACTTGACTTTACTATATTCACACAAATTATTGTTCAGCTTGGTTTTATCGTTTCTCCCTCACTTACTCACCACTATTCGGGTATGTGTCACCACAACAACGAGAATCCGTGTGTACCCATATACACACAATTTCGGATTGCATGTACATAACCGAGAAAAAAAATGAGGGGAAATTGAAACCATAGAAAAATATAAGTGGAAGTCAAATTAATTGGTATCGAATAGTAGTGTGTGTGTGTGTGCCAATATTATTATAGTTTTTTTTGTCTCACTAGACTACCAAAATTCAGGTAGTTTTTTTTTGGCATTTTATTTTCGAAAACAGTCAAAATCTTTAACCATTTGTCCTACAATTATCATCTGTCATATATAAAATGTGATAAAACTTCTAAATCATCATAATTCAAATGGGCATGAAAAAAAAACAAAATAATAAATGCGATTGTAGATTTAGATTTGTTAAACCACTAGAAAAAAAAATCATTGACTATCATTGAATTATGAAATGAGAACGAGAATAAAAAAAAATTTTCTGGTCATCACTATGGTTATATGATTCCTCTTATAGCAATGACAACAAATATGATTTTTTGAAATACAAACCTGGCTAGCTTGTCCTCCCTAAAATTTTCATTTCTCTGTGGCTTCACCGTTGATGATGATGATGATGATGGTTATATGTCAATGCTTGATGATTATTCCGAAAGAATTTCATTCATTCATTCATTTTTTTTACTCTTGGTTTATATACTATCTATTGTGGTTTCTATTCTCTGTTCATGAACAGACCAACCATCAAGAATAATAATCAGAATAACAATATGTGAAAAAAAAGGAATATGGTCACATATATTTGCAGTGACACACTTGACTTGAAAACAAAGTGAACAACCAACAACAACTGTGTGTGTGTGTGTGTACCACACCCGTTTAGATATTCAAGAATTCTAGTCATGAAAAAAAAAAAAAATTCTTTCTTTCTGAAAAGATGATGAATCCTACTAGGATTTTTTTTTGTGTGTGTGTGTCTAGTTGCTTCTTTTGTTCATTTCATTTTTTTTCTCGACATTATATTATTATTATTACGGTAAAATGATAATTTTCTATCGTTTTGTTTTTTTTGTTCAGTTCCATATTACACAATTTATGTCGATCAATTTAATTCGCAAAAAAAAATTCGATCATCGATTAATTGTATTGAACAAATTTTGAAAACTTTTTTCATTTGACCATTATCATATCATAGAAAAAACAGTAAATTATCGTCTCAGTTTGCCATCGATTTAATTTATATTTTTGTCTGTTTGGATTGATAAAATCATGACAATAATAATTATGATGATGATGATGATGGAAAATAAAACAGCTGTCAAATTCACATTTGACAATGATACACGACGATGATCATACCGATTTTTAGAATCATTTATTTTAGTCTATTTTTATACACTTTTGAAACATGACCTTCATCAATTGATTATTATTGTATGAACGAAAATATAATTTCCGAATGAAGGAATGTGTGTGAGCAGGTGTGTGTTTGTGTGTGTGTGTGTGTCGATGATGAATGAATTTCATCATCATCATCAGTGGAAATTTTTTTTTCTGTTAATGAGATTTTAAATCTTATTTGTTCATCATAATCATGATGATGATGATGATGAAGGTCGTATATGAATCGATATAACTGCTTTATAATTGGTTTTTTTTGATTTTAAAATGTTGTTCGAATGTTTTGAATGTGTGTGTGGTGGTGGTGGTGGTGGTGTAATTATCATTGGTCACATCTGTTACACGATCCGAAATTCATTGAACTAATTCAAATATTCAATTGTTTTTGTATCAATATCATATACTTGTTGCTCTGGTTTTTTTTCCTGAAAAGATTTCTGTGATGATTTGTATTGTATTGCCATGTTTTTTGTTGAAATTATTCAAGTTTTTTGGAAAAAATTTTTGTTTTATTTGAAAATTTTGGCATGTTGACCATCATAGTCTGTCAAAAATTTATTCCTAAATTCTGGATGAAAAAATGGAATTTATTAAAATATATTAAAATGATGTTTGATGATAATACAACAACAACAACAACAAGAACAACTACCACTACAAACTAGTGATTAATGGTAGCCATATCTTGATTAGCTTCAACATATAATGTAATGATTCTTTGAAATTCATTTGGGCCACATTTTCTGCTTCAACACTTTCATAATGTTTGTTGAAATTTGTTAAAAAAAAAAAGAAAAAAAAACGATTTCTTGTTAATCAGTTTATTGAAATGAAAAAAAAGAGCGGTTGGTTGCATACTTTTTTGAACTGTTTTGAAAAGTTTTTATCCGAAACGAAACTGGATGACTTTACAGATTGATGAAAATGGTGTTCATTGATGCAATGAACACAATTGTTGAAATAAATTTCATAATTTTCGCAAATTGTAAAATGATTGATTAGATAATGTGTGTGTGTGTGTGTGTGTATGTATAGGTATGGATTGTGTTTGTTTGTGTCATAAATTTTTATTATTCATCAATTACACACAAGCGGGTAGAGTTTTGATCGAGATTTCAAGAGTTGTTAACCACCGTTTCTCTCTCTCTCTCTCTCTCTCTCTCTTTCTCTCACTTTCACCCTGAAGCTAAATTCACGGAACCAATTGAACGGAAAAAATTGTCAGAAAATACAGTGATACTTTGGTTTATTTGACTATTTGAAATTTTCAATGATCAATTAACCAGATTGACTATTGTCATTTTATCATCATTGTCATCATCATCATTATAATCGAGTTGGCATTGGTATTAAATAAAAAATGAAATTATAAACATCGATTGGTTGAAATATTAAGTTTCCTTTCTTTTTGTCATCTTTATCTAGTTTTTTTTTGATCAAAATTTTGAAAAATTAATTAAATTTCACATTATAAATTAAATTGATTTGATCAAAAATTAATTGATTTTTTTTGCGTACATTTCTTTTATTTCATTGAGATTTATTGATTTCAATTCGAGCTTGATGTTAGTGATTCTATATTCGGTTATTGTTTTCCGAATACAACAACAACGACGACTACGAATTGAACATGATCATGATGACCGTTTTTTTTATCCATTGGAATTCGGTCCACTTTCCATTGGTTTTATGTGTGTGTGTGTGTGTGTGTTTGTATTATTATTACCCATATCCGAAGAAACAATAAATGTATGATTCCAAAATATCAATGATCGAATTAAATTTTTTCATTCATTCGTTTCGTATAAACTTTTTTCTTTCTTTTTCATTTCTTGATGTTGTCCATTATTACCATATGTTTGAACACTTGAAAAGAAAACATAACCGTATAAATGATTTTGTTTTTTTTGTTGTTTTCTGGCCTTTCTCACTCTTTGATAGGTGCTCAATCTTCTCAAAGAAATTCAACATGAAAATGGAACAATTGAAAATGAAGAAAATGTTGAACAACAACAACAACAACAACAGCAGCAACAGCGACAAATATTAATGACAACTCAATGTCCAGCAGCGATGACATTTACTTTGGCTACCGATAAAAGTAATAGTAATGAAATGGTCAAAATTCAACCAACAACACCAAAACAGCAACGATAGTTGGAAAATCATCATCATCACCATCAACATCATCATCATCATCGTCATCATCATCACCATCTTCATCAGGTTCATCAACATTATGTACAGGCAATTTATTACACCAACAACAACATCAATTATTGGCCGATTGTACAAATGTTAATGATGATCCAAATGGTATCCATCAACAACAACATCATTCAACAACAACAACAGTAGCAGCATCAGCATCAGCAACAACAACAACAACAACAACATCATCGACAATGTTGGTTACAACCGATGATTCTTCCGATATTTCTGGATATCATTCCGATTCTGATATGTCACCAATAAGTACACAATCACCATTGGCTAGTAATAATAATAGATTAATCAATAACAATAACCATAATAATAATAACAACAAAATGTTAACATCCACATCAACAGTAGCGACAACAGAAAATTCATTTATTCATCTTGCTACTAAATCGATACATCAATCATCAAAATCAAGTAAGTTATTTGTACTATTTTGTTGTTGATATATGTTACATTTATTTTCATATCATTCGTTTGATGTTTTTGATGTATTTTGGTTTATGGGAAAATCTTTTTTTTTTTTTTTTTTTGCTCCAAGAATTTTTATGCATTGATGATTAGTTGAAACTTTAGTTGGCTAAACATTTTTGTTTTCTTTTTTTTTACCAAGTTTGATTGTACTTTCACTCGAGATTAACCTCTATTTTTTTCTGGTCGACGATACACAAACAGAGAGAAGGTAATAAGATGAGATTTGTCTGCTTTTTATGATTTTTTTTCTCTCTCTAGGCTCATAGAAAGAATTTGTTGATAACTTTTTTTTTCACTCTTTTGCTTGTTTGTTGCATTAATTAGCATCATCATCACGATGATGATGATGATGATGATGACGATCATCATATAACTGGAAACTATAGAAATAGTCAAGAATGTTAGACTTATTTCTACGCTATGATTTTTTTTTTGTTTCTTTATGCGAAAAATCGGTGAAAAAAAAGATTTTTTTTTCTTCCGAAAATGAAATAAACTATCGAATGGTTTGTCGGTGGCGGTGGCGGTGGTGGTGGTGGTTCACTATATAAAGTTGATGAATCCAGTCATGTAGAATAGAAAAAAAACCTAGTCAATAGAGAATTGATGCTTATTTGTTTGTATACTCGTTGTCGTCATCGTTGTTGTCGTTTATTGTATTGTACACAGACCTCATCATCATCATCATCATCATCATGGTTGAAAAAGGGTTAAGCTCATTAATTATAAATTTGTTGTTTATGTTGCATATATATTAAATATGATGATGATGCTAAATGACTATCACACGAAAAAAAAGGTTCAAACGGTTTTTTGTCAAAAGCCTGTATTTTTTGTGTGTGTGTGTGTATGTGTGTGAAAAGAGTTTCATTCTTTTGAACCGCTATTTCCGGTATTATGACACTGTTTAAATGTTTTAATGATCAATTAATTGATTTTTTTTTTAAAAAAAAAGAAAAAAACAAAACAAAAAATTCTTTACCGCATCAATTATCAAATGTTTGTTAATACAATGCAAAAGCACTTGCAGTGTGTAAAAATTGTAACATATCTGCTGTTATAACGTAATAAGAACGAAGTATAGATCATGTTTTCATCTGATTTAATCAAATTGAATCCGTTTTTTTTTTGTTCGATTCAATTTTTTTTCGCTTCGTATTTGATATAATAATAATAATAATAGGAAATAGGAAATTTTGTTGGATTTTCATTGTTTTTATATGTTTGCAATAATCAATTGTCTTTCGACACCTGGAAAAAAAAGATGTGATTGGGATTTAGTCTTTTTTCATTTTCATTTTCATCTTCAATCCTCAATTCGTGACTTGTTTTGCTTTGAAATACTTAACTGGAAATCGAAAAAAGAGTAAAAGTTTTAATTTTTTCCAATTCAAACGCTCTATATATATATTTAAAAAAAATGTTAAATAATGTTTGATTATGAAAATACGAACGTATTGTTGCATTTTTTCATCAAGGTTATGCCATGTATCCAGATATTCGGAAATACCATGTTTTCGTTTTGTGCTATTTGTTTCTGGTCAAACTGCACTCCTGCCATTTTGGACGAAATAGCAATTTTTACAACGCAGAAGGTGATTTGGTCATCAACGCGAATTAAATTCATGATTTCTTTGAAAAATTCATTCTGAGTAGACCAACGTTCATCACAAATCCGATATTGGCATGAATTTAATCAATGTTCTTAAACGAATCAATCCAATTATCAGTTGAGTAAAATTCATGTTGTAAAAAGAATAAATATTTATTTATTTATTAAAAATAATATGATGCGAAGCATCACGCCCTTTCATCATTTTTAAAGTTGTGTACCACTCAAAGAAATTATATATTTCTGCCAAAATTCTGGAAATTTTGTTGGATTTTCATTGTTTTTATATGTTTGCAATAATCAATTGTCTTTCGACACCTGGAAAAAAAAGATGTGATTGGGATTTAGTCTTTTTTCATTTTCATTTTCATCTTCAATCCTCAATTCGTGACTTGTTTTGCTTTGAAATACTTAACTGGAAATCGAAAAAATAGCTAGCGAACGATTTTTCTTCTCGTTCTTACTCTTATTTTTTTTCTATTGTTTTTCTTTCTTATGTGAAAATGTGTGTGTTTTCTCACTATATTCACATTCAAATAACAATTCAAGGATTTTCAAGCTGTCAATTTTTTTTTGACGATTCGATTATCATCAGATGGAAAAAAAACTTACCGAAAAAAAAATTTCAAACATTCAATATACCATGACGATAATGATCACGGGTAATCCATCTTTCAACAACGACGACAACTAGCAAAGAAACAAGAAAAGAGAAATTTGACAATGAATTTTTTGTTTTTCATCTAAAAAATTGAATTTTCAAGAAGAAGAAAAAAAATTTTTCAAATTTGTTTCCTATATGAAAGAATGATGGTCACGAACCATGCATGGTTTGTCGTTCATGTTCACGATATGTATGCGGCTTATCTTTTCATTTTGTTTCATTTCAGATTAATGACAAAAACAAATAAACAAAACAAAAACATAGAAAAAAAAACCATCAGATTCTCTATTGTAAACCATTATAATGGCAAAATAAAAACCAACCAATGAGGATCATGTATTGCAAATCAATTTTCGGTTTCGATTTTTTTTTCGGTCAAAAAAAAAAAATGTCGTCGGTAATCAAAAAAAGAAAGCTCCAGTTACACACAATGGATGTGATTTGGAACCGATTATTTTCGGCTCTCCATTTCTCATGTTTTTCAACTTTAGTATGGTATAAAAAAAAAAAAACATAGATAATTGTTTGAAATGAATAAAAATAGCTTCTGTATTACCGAAAAGTCGGTATGTGTGTGTGTGTGCGTTTTTCTACAACAACAAAAAATAAATAAATGATTGGATACAAGATTGTCAATTTTGATCATCAATAATTTTTTTTTGTTTCCTTTCCTTTCATTTTCCAATTTTTTTTACGGATCATTTCATAGAGTACATATAGTAGTTTTTTTTACCTTTACCTTTTTTTTCGAACGAAAAAAAACGACGACAACCACGACGACGACCATTCATTGGTTATTATTATCATCATCATCATCATTATCATTATTTTTATTTTTTTATTACCGATCAAAACGATATATAATACACACACACACACACACACACACGCACAATTCGAGATGGATAGATTTTGGATGGATAGATAGATAGATTTAATAGATAGTAACGCAAAACAACCAAGTAGGCAGGCAAGACAAAACATATACCGAATTATATGAATAATAGCTCATCATTTATTATACAGAAAATATACAGAATTTACCGGTTATAATAATCATCTAAATTTGTTTTTTTCTGGTTCGAATATTTGTAAATTGTGCATATACCATAATAATAATGATAATAATGAGTACAACATTTTTTTATTGTCGGAATCGTCGGAATTTGGCAATTATTATTATTATTATTAGTATCCATCCATATATAACGATATACTATTATATTACTACTACCAAGTTGCTATGCATGCAAAAAAAAAAATATGGTGACAGGCAATTTATTCTGTTGAACAAAAAAAAAAAAAAAAAAAACATATATTTCTCCACATATTTCTTGCTTACTGTATTACAATTTTTTTTTTTTGATTCTACCTTTTTTTTCTTCCATCCTTATTTTATGTTTGAATATTATTGATGACATAATATGGTACAATCTGATTTGAAATGTATATAAATATGTCATTGATGATGATGATGATGATGATGTGTGTCTTATGAATGAACACGAATATCAAGTCATCACATATTACAATATGTACAACGATCGATCATTTTTCTATTTTTTCCCCACCCATTAATTTATTCATTCATGATAATTCCAGATTCGAATGTAGAATTATTTGTAATATAGATGACATGACATATGTGGAACAGATTCTTTCTATATGTGTTGTTTCACGTGACATTTTATATTTTATTTTATTTTTCTACTGATTTCAGATTGATTTCTCATATATAACACGCGTATTTTCCATTAATTTTCTTCATAATAATATATTATAATTGAAAATGGATCTATTAATTGGAATGTTATGTTTCATCAACAACAACAACAACAACAACAACGACGACGACGACAACGACGAAAACATCATCATTTTGGACCATTCACCAAATAATAATAACAATGGTGTGTGTATTTCTGTCTGTCTATGATAAACAGTGATGAATATATCGTATGTGTATTTGAGATGATGCTTGTTGTTGTTGTTGTTGTTGTTTTGAATGGTGAATTCATTCGTTATATTTTTTCCCATATCCATCTTTTCCACAGGATATATGTATGTACTTGTCTTCATGTGTGTGTGTGTACCCAGAATTTTTTTCTGTTTCCTTTTTTTTGTTCCGTTTGTGTGTGTGTGGAACATTGTTTTCCACTGTATTTTTTTTTTCTCATTGTTATTTGAATATTATATACCGTGAATAGATAGATTATTGGGTTGTGTGTGTGTGTGTGTGTGAATGAAAGAATAAGAAAAAAAAGAGAGAACTAAACTGTAAAACACACACACACACACACACACACAATGCTTTTATTCTATACATCTCTGTTGTTGAATATGTTTAAAGATTCTTTTTTTTCTTTTTCTTCTTTATTTCTTATTGCGGTTGTGTTGTTAGCGATGCTGGTGATTATGATGATGATATAGAATATTGTTGTTATTGCTGTTCATTCCATTCTAAATACACACACACACAAGCTGAATAATTCTGGAACGGAAAGAAAAAAAAAAAAAATAACCGATAAAAGCTAATCGAAAGTCAATTTAAAGTAAATTATTATATTATACTTATAGTTGTCGTCGTCGTCGTCGTTATCCAATGAATATTGTTGTTGTTGTTGTTGTTGCTGATGATGATGATGATAACATGAGAATGAATAATTTGCATATTCTTCCTTTGATTTTCATTTTTAATGTTAATAATAATGATTAAGGAGGATAATCGTCATCATCATCATTACAACAACAACAACCTTTTGGTGGAAAATACAAACGAAATTGATTCGATTCGATTTGATTCGATTCAAATTTTTGAACATGAAAAATAAGATTCAATTTCTTTCATTCATTCATTGAATTGTACCAAAAAAAAAAAAACAATTATAAACCATTTGATTGTTTCATCAATCTTGAATGATGACAAAATAGTCACAGTAGAAGTAGAAGAAGAATGAGAAGAAAAATTGAATTTCATCCCATGATTGCTCTTTCTACATATATAAATCATTTTGAAAATAATACAAATTTCCATATATAAATACCATACATTAATACCTCATTCATGGATTCCAAGAAACTATTGCGTTTCTCAAAACAAATTCATTCATTGCAAAAAAAAAGAAAAAGAAAAAGAAAAATTTATTCACATTGTCGCACAATTTTTTTTTGCCTTGTTCATTTGCAATGAAGAATTTTTCTTTTCGTTATCTCTAACTAAATTCGATTTTCCATTCTATTTTCACTCTTTTCATTGATATATATCTTTCATTATTATTCTATCTATCTTTTTTTTGCTCTATCTTATTCACCAACAAAAAAAAGATAAACGACGTTCATACAATGTGATCAGAATCTGTATTTTTGCTGTTGTCTTCACTGAGAGTACAATTTTCAATTTTGATTGCTCAATAGAAGAAGGGCGAAAAACAAAATAATAACTACCTAGAATCTTATACTTTTTTATTCGTTAAATTCTGCCAAAAAGAATTGACTATTGTCTGATTGTCTGATTGTTTTGTCGTTTTTTTTAATGATGATAATCATTAATTACAATTGAAATTGAAATTTAATCATTTCGTACTAATCAACATTGATGATGACAATGAAAATGTTTCAACAACAACAACAACAACAACAAAAACTCGAAACAACATCATACGATTACAGTGAGACACACCTTTGTGTGTTTCTTCGTTTTTGTTTTTCGTTTTTACAAAGTTTATTTATTTTTTTCAGAAAAAACAAAACAAAACAAACAAAAACAACAAATACGTCACTTTTTTTTATTTTGAACAATATTTATTCATGTAATAAAAGAAAATGACCAGAATTTCAGAATTTAATCATCATCGTCATCATCATTGTGAAGAATGAAGAATCACAATGAATGAATGAATGAATTTGAGATATGGTCACCCTACTATTACATATAACCTATTAGCAGACATACATAGTGTGTGTGTTTGTTGTTATATAATTCCCCTGACGGAAGTCAGTCAGCCATTTCATTCAATTCATTCAGTTGATAGTTGTTGTTGAAATTCAACAATAACAACGAAGAAAAAAAAACACGCTATTTTTTTTCAGCAGGAATGGAATAGCCATTGAACCTTTGATGATGATGATGATGATGAAGCCAAGCAAAATTTATAGAGGTTCATCCTTTTTTTTCATCGTTTTATTTTTTTTGTTGCTTCAAAACTTAACAAAACAACAACAACAACAACAAAAATAGAAACTTGAACGAAAACCAAAGGAACCCAGGAGCCCTAGAAAATAATAATAAAAAAAGTGTATATGTGTATGTGTCGGTGGATGGCAAACATTACCGTTATTTTTTTTTTGCTTTTACTTTCTCGGTTTGACTGCAAAAATACTGATAAGAGATGTTGATGTTGATGTTGATGATGATGGCGCCCGGTGATGATCTGGTGTAGTTCTGTTTCATAAGTTGTGAAACTGTGTATGAAACAAGAGAAGTTGGAAAGGAAAAAAAAGTGAATGAATGAATTTTGAAAAAAAAATGGTTAGTGATTTATTAGTGATGAATAAGTCTAATAAAAGACCAAAATAGATGATGTGAACACCGTTTATTTTACCGTTTGATTTTCGTTTATTTCATAAATTCTGGTCCCGTTTTTCTCATCGAAATGATGATGATGATGATGATGACGATAATGGTGATGATATGAAAGAAAAAAACAGGCCAAAAATTCATGAAAAACTGATGAAAAAAAAATTTTTTTATCACAAAAATAGCAGATAGAATTTCATTTTTTTTGCACCGTTTTTATTATTATTTCACAATGATGTGATATACGCGTAAAGAGTTAGTGATTTTTTTTCTGGTTGTTGTTGTTGTTGTTGTTATACAATTCTTGCTATGACCACCATCAAACATCTGACCACAATGTAAGTGGAATGGTAGACTTTTGTTTTACCTTGAAAATAAACAAGCAAATATTGTAAACAACAACAACATGGTTCCATTGTTGTTTTTTTTTTGCATAGGCCCGGTACACACACACACACACACATCCATCTACTATATCAAATTATTTGACTGATTTATAAGCCGATTAAGATTTGTTGTTGAAATAAAAATGTTTCTGTTTCAGAAACACACACACACACACGTACACTTGCACTTGTCTATTTCGCAATTTATAATACATCTTTCTTTCTGTCTTTAGCTTTGGTTTTTTCATCTATCTCACTAATTAAGATTTCGATTGAATTTGATGGATTTATATTGACTATACCATTGGGTTTTTTAATAGAGATGATGATGATGATGATGATGATGATGATTTGTCCTAACTAGAAACAGAATCCTAAATATAATATAAATATAAACAAACAAACGAACATAACGAAATAATAATAATAATATTATTTATTGAACATACAACATCACACACACACACACACATTTACAATTCATTCATGTATGAAATAAAAATCAATCAACAACATGAATTGATTTTTTTTCATCATCATCATCTATTCGATTGGAATTTTTTTTCTGTATAGAATTCTGAATAAAAGAAAAAAAAGGGTTCCGAAAAAAGAGCAGCAGCAACAACAACAACAACAACAAAATTGATGTTCAATATTGCCACAATATTGTTACATTGCATTTTTGTTGTTGTTGTTGTTGTTCTTGTTCTTGTTGTTGTTTTATTATTGAAAATTGTACACTTGAACCATCGAACAACATAAATGATGTCGGTGACCATAATGAAAGAGAAAGATAGACAGAGATTGAATGAGTAAATTAAATTCTGAAAGATAATTGTATCGAATCTTGCTTGTTCCAACCACCATTTCATTACAATTTCCATTTTGTGTTTCTTCACAATTCTCTGTTATTGAAAGGAAAAAAGGGCGATAGTTTTTTTTCGTTTCTGGAATCAAAGAAAAAAAAACTTGACGAAAACAATTGATGATTGGAATGAATGGCTTAACACGCTTTTTAAAAATGTTGAAAAAATAATGAATGCGAATGTTAAACTAAATTCACAGAAATGAAAAAAATAGCCAATTCTCTGGTTGCATTCTTTCATTGAAAACTAGTTTTTTTTCTTTTTTCTCACCAAGGTAAGTATGAAGATTTATATATATTCTTTATGCATTTGAAAATAAATTCTCTACCGTTTTTGTGTGTAAGTTCTTCCTCTTTTTTTTTGGTGTTGCACTGAGATTTTCAAGTTTATTACACGGTTACTTAAATACACTACACTGTAATAATACTGATATAATACGACTGACATTTTGTGCATAAAGTAAGGAAAAAATGGACATTTATTGAAGAATATGGAATTTGTAATGTGTGCGTGTGTGTGTGTCTGTTGTAAATATGTACTGTTACTAATATTCATTCTTTCTTTTCATTTACAGCTTTATATATTAATAATAATGTTATGTTTTATATACACATGTATATAATAAGATATCACTGTCAAGTATTCCATATTTTTAACTTCATAGCAGTTGATGATGATGATGTAAAGGATTTACCATTCATACGGATTCATTTTTGTCACTTTATTAGAGAGAGAGAGAAACAAAATATGGAAAATGAATGAAACATGGAAACCGTTATGATTATTATTAAAAACTCTATTCCAATAGTACTTCGGTACATCCACAACGTTTTGAATAAAACAAAACAAAAAACAACATTTGACACCGTGTGATTGTTGTCAAATTAATTAATTAATCACTAGGGAAAACATATAGATATTTTTATTCAATATAAAAACTGACCATATCGTACTAGGTGGTGGTGGTGTTGGTGAATGATATTGTTTAATAGTGTTTCATACATAATAAAAACACCACACCATTACAAAATATCACCACAAATGGTGATGATTCATTTTGGGACATTTTTATTCATTTAAATATGGATCGGGTTAACAACAACCACAAAATTATGGTTGTTGACCATGTGTGTGTGTATATGTTTCTCATCATTGCTTGATGATGCGACGAATGGATTTTGTCAAAAAAATAATTTACATTGAATGACACTTGATGTGTCTTCATTGGTCCTGTTTTTTTTCTAATGAATTTTTTCTGTTTTTCATTTTATTTCATTCATCAATTATAGAAATGATCGAACAACCAAGTGTTGCAATAATGACTGGTCAACCAAATGGTACAACATTACTTGATGGCCAAGTAACAGTAAATAGTGGTGGCCATATATGTTTATCATCATTATCATCATCATCTGTGATGAATAATACTGATTCTCATTGTTCAAATTCAATTTGTCGTATTGAAATTGATGGAAAAGCAATGGCTAATAATATCAATAATAATAATAATAATGATGGTGATGATAATCATTTTAATCATCATAAATTAAGTACAGAGCTTTCATGGGCCCATTTACGTATACAACAATTGGAACAGCATCAAAAACAGTTACAAGAAAAACTTACAATACAATCAAAACATTTATTATCATTAAGTAATGGAATGGAATCTAAATTTGAAAATCTTGATCAATCTAATCAAACAAATGGATTAGTTCGCCATTATGAATATCTTTATTCACAAGGTAAAATTCAATTATATATAAAATGATGATGATAACAAAAAAAAAAAACATCACAAATCATTGTAATTTTCTTTTCGTTTTTTTTTATTGACCATATCGTGTACGTATAACATAGTACGTGTCGATGTGATAGATGCCTTGGATCAATTTGATGAATTAAAAGATTCTAGTGAGCTTAAAATCAAATTACTCTTCTCAATAGTAGTGGTAAGTGTAATGATTATTTTTTTCAAAAAGTGATTTTTTTTCATTTTACTCTTGTTTTGGACCATTTTATTACACACAAGTATAAGCTTTATTTAATGTAATATTATATCTCATTCAATTTGGTGAATCGGAAAAATAGGCGGTAAAATGGTATGTTTGTGAGAAAGAAGACGATGTTGATGGTGTTGGCAATCGGAATAGCAGCAGGCAAGCAGTAAAAGTCAAATAAATAAAATAATAAAAAAAAAACAAAATTCATTTTCAAACAACAACAACATCATCATCATCATCATCATTGCCCAAAATGATACGTGATCATGTCTACTATGTATGTAGTAGATTGTTGTTGTTGTTGTTTGTTGTTTGTTACTTTCCATTGATGATGATGATGATGAATCCGACGGGAGAAAAAAAAAGTCGCCAGTACAAAATGTCTAATAATAATGACTATTATATGATGACCATTGGTCAACTGAACAACGACTACAGTGGTAAAATGATGCAAAAAAACAAACGAATGAACCAAAAGATATTGTGTTACATTACTACTGCTTCAGTTTCTCTCTCTCTCTCTCTCTTGGTCGGTAAAATAGGAACGGAATTTATTTAATAATAATAATATCACCAATGCAGAGAGAGAAAGTGGGAGAGAGGAAAGAAAAAAACGAAAAGGAAATGGTGACATTAATAATTCAATAGAATAGTGTAATAATTGAATCTAATAGCTATATTGACGACGACGACGATGATGATGATGATGATTTTGGTTCTTTTTTTTATCATTTTTTTTCTTTGAATGGCCATATCTTGATGTCTAGAGAGCCCTTCGGGAATCCTATGAGATCCTGTGGCCCCTAAATTCTATTTGTTTGTTATTTTTTTTGTTGAAAAAAAATTCGTTTTTTTTCGAAGAGAAATTACTCATATAATAATAATGATGATAATGATATAAATAAATTTTTAGATTTTTTTTCTGTTCTCATTGTATATTTATTTTTTTTTATATTGATATTGATATACCATTTTCACTTTTTATGTTTCTTCTTTTTTTCTTCTAATGATTTACGTATCATGATTAGCTTGCTCATCGATCTACTGAACAAACATTTAAAGATTTACATTTAAATCTACAAAAATTATTGAAATTATCGGAAATGATTACAACTGCTGCTGATGCTGCTGCTACTACTACTGCTGCTACTATGAATGTTAATAATGAGAATGGAGAATTGCAACGATTTTATCATGATCGAATCGAATCAACGATTGGTCAATACCTGCGCATCACTAGTGCCTATTTTGATATTGAGCCTAATGTTCATGAGTAATAATAATAATTATTGATGATGATGATCATGATGATGATTTTTCATTCTATTATTTTGACATTCTAATCGTGTTTTTTTTTCTTCGTTTCATTTTCATTTTATTTATCATTCCACTTTTAATGACATTTAGAGTGTTTGTACACAAATTTGGGACACATTATTTGATTATCCGTGCCTGGAAAAATGTCCACAATTAGTGGATTTTATTCGTCAATGTGTACGTCTTTGTTGGTCATTGAATGTTCAACAAGCAAATTTTACATTAGATATTGAAACAAAAACATTTCGACAAGATTGGCATAGTCGAACAATCGATTCGAATTCTGCATCCGATATGATCAAATGTTATATATGGCCTACATTGTTTCAGCATGGAATCTGTGTTCATAAAGGAATTGTCATCACTTAATCATCATTCTATGGCCACCACCTGTGACATCTATTGCCTAATTATCATTTGTCTATGGGCAATGCTAATGTATTTTTTTTTTTTTATTCTTTTGTTTTTTTTCTGCTTGTTACATGATCGGATCAATCAATGATTATATCTAACGAAATTCATAAATGTGTTTGTGTGTCAATTTATTTTTGTACAGATAACACATAATTAAAAATTTTGCAAAGAAAAAACAATTAAATTATTAAAGATAATATTTGGATGGCACAAATGGCATTTTGGAAACATGATATTCATATAGTTTACCACGAACTTCACAGAATAATGATGTTCCTACTTTGGATGATGAACTTTTCACATATGCCATGGCTATATTCTGACCCATTGATGGTGATGGACAACCACTGGTTGTTTTGCCAATTAAATTCTCTTCATTCATAACGGAATCCTTATAAATTTTACTACCAGCACGAACTGGTGGTCCAGATTTGGCTCCAACCAATCCGATACGTTTGATTTTAGGTTTGTCTTTCATTTCCTGTAGAATAATTTCTGCTCCCAAAAAATTAGCTTCCGTTCGACGACGTTTAGCAATGGTCCAGGCTAATGTTGCCTGTATAGGTGTTGTTGTCATGTTAATATCGTTACCATAAAGACAAAGACCAGCTTCCAAACGTAATGAATCACGAGCACCCAATCCGGCTAATCTGGATACCGGTTGTTGTAATAACTTATCGGCCAAATTAGCTGCCTGTTCATTGGACACTTGTATTTCAAAACCATCTTCACCCGTATAACCACATCGTGTTAATCGGATGGGTATTCCATCGTATACGGTTTCTATTCCATTCATGAATTTCAATGAATTCAAATCAACAGATTCAAGTTTTTGTTGAATTGTTTCAGCTGCTTTTGGTCCTTGAAATGCTAATAAACTTTTATCATTCAATATTTTCATATTCAAATCGGAACCAGGATTTGTTTGAATAAATTGAGCCATTTGTTCTTCAAGGTGTTTCAGATCTTCTTCTGAACGTGATGCATTCGATACGATATAAAGTGCATCGGGTTTTTTACTAACAATCAAATCATCAATTATTCCACCATTAGCATTTGTATACAAGGTCAATGTTGCACCATTGATCGGTAAATTTTCTACATCAGCAACAACTAATTTTTCCAGAAATTTAACACGATCCTTACCATATAGTTCGAGTTGTAACATATGTGATACATCAAACAATGAAACATTAGATCTGGTATGCAGATGAGAATCACGAATCGAAAGATCATTATAAGAAATCGGCATCGAATATCCAGCGAATGGTACCATTTTTGCACCTCTTTCCAAATGGAATTCATACAAAGATGTTCGTTTGATCACAGCTGATGAAGAACATAATGTTTTTGCCAATGTTTGATGGATGATTGGTCTAATAGAATTTGTCCTTATGGACAGAATACGACCGGTAACCACAAACATGATGATGATGAAAATTTAATTTAATTTATTTTTCAATGAAAAAAAAACTATGATACGATGATCATCACAATTTGAATCAAAAACAGAAAGCCAATAATTCTTAAATGATTTGATGATACCAAATTTTATTGCCATGATGATGATGATTTTTTACACATTTTGTATGAGACATTAGCTGATCAATATTATTAGCCATTGACGATGATGATAATAATCAGTTGGATGAAATTATCATCAATAAAAATTATTCGAATGAAATTGATACTCTCTACCACAATATTTTTTTTTATTTTATTTCTTTCTTCACCATTAAGAAACAAGTAGCAAAATCAAATGTATTGGCGATTGATAAATTTTTTTTTGTTTTGTTTTGTTTTGTTTATTTGTTCATGTGACAACGAAATGATTATTTATCATTGCCAATCAATATATATAAATATTATTGTTACAAATCAAGCCCTCAAAAAAAAGTATCTGATCATCATAATCAAATATATATAAACTGGCTCAAAAAAATTTTTTTTTTTGCTTTCGTTCATTCTTTACACTCTTTCTTGGTGTATAAATATAAAGTGATTGTTGTGATTAGATAATCAAATTATTGAATGGCTGAATGCAAACGAAAGAGAGGCATGAATAAAACACCTAAATGAAAAAAAAAAAATGAAAGCTAAAAGAAAAATAAGATTTAAAATGTCCATCCAATAAACAAACAAACAAACAAACCAATTAAATCGATAAACATGAAAATACCAGTACACCAGGATGTCTGTAAGATGGATCGATAATTCAACTTGCAAACGAATTGTTGTTGTTGTTGTTGTTGTTGTTGTTGCTGTTGAATAATTCAATCAGAATTTCAAGATGCATAATAATCTAGAATAAAAAGACAGAATAAAGAAGAAGAAAAATTTTACAATGAAAACAATAGTAACAAACAAGTAAAAAAAAATTTGAATTAGATTATCATTATTATATATAGTGGAAAAAAAATCGTTATTGTTTTTTTTGTTGTTGTTGTTGTTCTTCATTCGTTTCTCTTTCGACAGCAAAGAAAAAATATTTTATGGAACCAGCTACCGACCAGTAAAATAACAACCAATCAATATATAGTGCATAAAATGCCATCTTGTATGTTGTTTTTTTATTTTCTCTGTAACAAACAAACAAAAACAAAAACAAAAAAAATTTTTAATTGAATTAATGTCTTTCTGAATGTTACTTTTTTTTTTTCGAGAGAGAGAGAAAAAATTTAAAAATTCACTTGAATGAATTTCCTGGTCATTACAAGATATGTTGCTGCTGTATAGACGGGAAAGAATTTCATCACTCTACTACCTCCTCATCAACAACAACAACAACAACAAAACTTTAGGGCATTTGACTTTTTTTTTCATTTACAACGAAAAATATTCGATCCGAAAAAAATAATGAATTGTATGAGATTAACTTTTGTTGTTGTTGTTTACTGTACCCTCATGAAATTTTTTTGTCAAACTTGTTGGATAATGGCAAATGAAAGTGTATGTATAATAAAATGTATGATGATGATAATGATTGGATTTGGCATCCAAAATGTCCAATGGATAATGATCATTATCATTATCGTCATCATCATCATCATCATAATGGTAAATTCCTTCATTTATTCCCATTCAAATATATGTTAAAAATTTAAAATTGAAATTCTCTCAGGTCCAGACTCTTAGACTAATGTGTGTGTGTGTGTGTGTGTCGGAATTTTTTCGTTTGTTTGTTTATGTGCGTGTAATTTTATTCCAATTCAAAGAATCATTAGGTGAACATACATGATGATATATGTAATTTATTATATGTTAAAAAATAGCCTTCTTGATTAAAGAAAAGAAAATGATTATGATTATGAAACGCGATGAGAATATATATGTATTCTTTTTAATGATTTTTTTTATAGCCAGAAAATTCATTTTTTTTTTCATTCAAAAGAATAAAGAATATCGAAGATATTTTTTTCAGGAGCCGAACAATAAAAATTGCTTGGTGTGTGGCTATTGTATGATGATTGGCATTATATTAATAATAATAATAATTTTTTGATAAATCTTCATCGATAATAATGATGATGATGATGATGAATAACCAGGTTTCCCATTTTTTTTCTCTCTCTCTCAACACTTCCGAGAACCGGGTGACAAACAAAAAAATTGTCATATCATAGATTTTTTTTCACCAATCTTTTTTTTCAAATAACCATAGAATATGGGCCGTCGAGATAGGAATAGAATCCATATGTATGTATGTGTGGGTGCGAGCCAGAGAGAAATTATTTTTCCATAGACTTTGGAATGTGTTTGACTAGATTCTTCGATCTAAATAAAGTAGTGCATGTGTGTGTGTGGATCATGCTCGTTGATGATTATGATGATGGAAACGAAAAAAAGAATAATGTCTGTGTATATATTGGGTTTGTATTTGTGTGAGTACAGATTGTGAATCAATAACAAGAAGACTTACTTACACTCAAAAAAAAAACAATTCAACAGAAAACAAACGAAACCCGAGAACCAAATGTCGAGAAAAGGTCTCTCTTTCTCTCTTATTTGATCGACGGCTTTATGAAAATGAAAAGGTAAAAAAAAAACGATACTATATTGTGTTTTCTCTGTATACTTGGTGGTGGGAATCGAATGGTGGTGGGTGTTTCACCAAAAAATCTCTGTCCTTGTCTTTTTTTTGGATTCATTATAATTGTAATGTAACTTTTGAATCAAAAAAAAAGAATCTGCTTTTTTTCTGTCTTTGTCATTGTTACCATTTTTTTTTTGGTCATTGGCTCTACGTGATCCATCAAAATTTGGCTGTTCATTTTTTTTCATTTTCTTTTTTTAGTTCATTCATTATCAATTTCATTTTTTTTGTTGTTTGGACCCCGTTATATTTGGATTTGTAAATGAACATAGTAATATATAACACATTGTATTGTCCATCATTGTGTGATTTTCGTAATGATCAAAAATATGTATGTGTAGCGAAATGACTTCTTCACTGCACAAATTTCAACGACAATCGTTGCTGAATGGTATGTTTGTGTGTGTGTTCATGTTGATGTTAGTGGTTCGAGAACATTTACTTAAATCCGATGATCATTTTTTTTTTTTTTTTTGAAAAAACAGCACGCGTTCCCATTTTTTTTCTCTCTCTCTCTCTCAACACTTCCGAGAACCGGGTGACAAACAAAAAAAATTGTCATATCATAGATTTTTTTTTCACCAATCTTTTTTTTCAAATAACCATAGAATATGGGCCGTCGAGATAGGAATAGAATCCATATGTATGTGTGGGTGCGAGCCAGAGAGAGAGAGAGAGAGAGAGAGAAATTATTTTTCCATAGACTTTGGAATGTGTTTGACTAGATTCTTCGATCTAAATAAAGTAGTGCATGTGTGTGTATGTGTGTGTGTGGATCATGCTCGTTGATGATTATGATGATGGAAACGAAAAAAAGAATAATGTCTGTGTATATATTGGGTTTGTATTTGTGTGAGTACAGATTGTGAATCAATAACAAGAAGACTTACTTACACTCAAAAAAAAAAAAAAAAACAATTCAACAGAAAACAAACGAAACCCGAGAACCAAATGTCGAGAAAAGGTCTCTCTTTCTCTCTTATTTGATCGACGGCTTTATGAAAATGAAAAGGTAAAAAAAACGATACTATATTGTGTTTTCTCTGTATACTTGGTGGTGGGAATCGAATGGTGGTGGGTGTTTCACCAAAAAATCTCTGTCCTTGTCTTTTTTTTTGGATTCATTATAATTGTAATGTAACTTTTGAATCAAAAAAAAAGAATCTGTTTTTTTTCTGTCTTTGTCATTGTTACCATTTTTTTTTGGTCATTGGCTCTACGTGATCCATCAAAATTTGGCTGTTCATTTTTTTTTCATTTTCTTTTTTTAGTTCATTCATTATCAATTTCATTTTTTTGTTGTTTGGACCCCGTTATATTTGGATTTGTAAATGAACATAGTAATATATAACACATTGTATTGTCCAATATTGTGTGATTTTCGTAATGATCAAAAATATGTATGTGTAGCGAAATGACTTCTTCACTGCACAAATTTCAACGACAATCGTTGCTGAATGGTATGTTTGTGTGTGTGTTCATGTTGATGTTAGTGGTTCGAGAACATTTACTTAAATCTGATGATCATTTTTTTTTTGAAAAAAACAGCACGCGAGCCTATCGCTTTACGATAGAATTCTTTAATGTCCATTACACCAAGTTAACTGGTTTTTTAGCGGTTATGTTGTAAAATTATCATCAATAAAATATTGATTAAAATGTTTGCCAAACAATCATCAATGCCATCGACATTAAAAGCCTCATTATTATTATTATTGCTTTTACAATTGAATTTCTGTAAGTCATCAATGGTATTTGTGTCAATTGTAATAATTAATTGTTGATCAAATTATAGGCTATTTAAATGCCATTGATTGTTTCAGATGTACATCGTTTGGTGGTGCCAATCAATGGTGTGAAGATCCATTCCATAATAATTATTCATCCACTATTCTACAATCACCATGTTGGACTGGACGAAAAGGTCGTGATGGACTTTATCCAGCAACCGCTTGTATCAAATTGAATGGTCGTTTCGGTATGTATAAATTTATCATCATACTATCAATAAATAATGGTTTCCAACAATTTTTTCAGAGGATAATGGTGAAACAATGATTGTTCGAGATTGTGCATTGGATTCCGGTTCATTGACAACAGATACTGAACTTGTCCGAAGTAAGTATCATAACATTCAAGATTTTGTATGATCTTTCATCTTTATTACAATATTACAGTGTCACATTGTGGTGGATTTTATTTCGACAATCGTTATGTCAAAGGATGTGTTCAAGTGAGTTAATAATTTCAATATTTTGTCAAATACTAATTTAATCTCTTATTTATGATCATCAAATGAAATGAATTAGTCATGTTCCGAGAATGCCTGCAATCAGGCCAGCAGTTTATGCAGACAAATCAACTATACAATATTGTTTACCTTGTTTTTATCATTTGTGTTGCAAAATCCAATTTCTTCAATCAATATGGAAATATAAATCTTTTTTTCCAATCTTATCTTATCCTAGGAATGAAGAGGATTAATCAAATTCTTTATATATATAGTTATCTTACTATATATCCATATTAATTATTATTTTTTTGTTAAATATTAAAAATGACAAATTAATGAACAATTAAAAATTTAAAATTTTGTTTTTTCCATTTAAATTTTTGTAACGTCATTTATGAATATACAATTTGGATAGTGGCTTGACTCAGCAAATGAGATTTTTTTTTTATGGCCAATCGGATTCAATGTTTTGTTTGTGGGTTGTTGTATGTGTATATCCAAATTATAATACGTTTCAATTCATAATTCTTGCCGTGTGTGTAGCAATAATAATTTGCCTAATTTTTTTTTAAATTAAAATTCTAGTTAATCATCAACCATTTTAAAGTTTGTAACTCGATTTTTTTTCCTAATTCAATTCATGTGCTAATCGTATATATTGTTGATTCATTAACTAGATTATTGCAAAAAAAATATTTAATTTATAAAAAAAATTCACCATAAATTTTAAAATTTCGAAACAAACGACAATGTCTGAACTCGAATTGAATATATTGGAGAATAAAACTTTATATCATCATCAGTATTTGACGGCTATATTCCAGATTTATCCACAACGTCAGAATGACAACAATGATGAGTCCACGTTTATTGGTGAAAGACAAAAATCCGAAAACGATAATGATGTACCGATAACATGTTCGATTTTTCGAGAAGCAAGTCATGATTATCTATCATTAGAAAATTATTCTCTTTATGTATTTGAAAGTTTAATCGAAAAATTTGGATGAAAGTAAACATTATATCGACAAACGTTTCTTCTCGGATCAGAGATCAAGTCTATTTCGATCGAATCGATATGCATTTCGAATATTTGATGATTATTCCAATAGTATGGCTTATCTGTTTGATTGTTATTGTCGTTATGAGATTGTCAAAGATTTTGCCAATCTTATCCCATCGTGTGAACAACGGAATTTGAAACGTTATATTATTGATCAGGCAGCATTGCTATTAGTTATGCCGGATTTGAATAAAGGAAATGTGACCAATGATGAAAGTGATAATAATGATCAGAATATGAAACCATTTAACGATTTATTAGAAATCATCCATCTTACTATTCCTTGGCCATCAGATCATCTGAATTATGTCAAGAAATTTTTCGTCGATATTACCGATACTATACATGCTGCAAAAATGGGCATACAAAACGCTGAATATAGTTCTTCATTGTCGGATTTATCGCCTGGAGAATTGAATCTAAATACAATAATCAAGCCTTTATATGAAAGATTTTGTGCAAATTTTAAAAAATCACATCTATTAACGCCAATGTTTATTGATGATATTAATTCGTTAAACATATTGGTCGCATCTCCGATTTTAGCCGAAATATTCATTGATTTGAATAGTCCGGCATCATTGCTCGAATCCAGTGCGACCTCTTCCAGTCAAGCATCATCTTCCCAGAACAACAGAGGACCATCACAAGTTAATAATGACAATGTTTTTCGCAATCCTATGCGTGATGTATTTCTCAATACATTTATGGACGTTCAACAAAATCATTCGGCCAATTCAAGTCAAGAGAAATACTTTCAAGAATGTTTATTGGGCATTTTGTTGTCCAATTCTCCATTACCATCGCCATTTTCATCGAAGAAAAACAATGCCAACTTTTTGAGTTTATTGCTAAACAATCCAGATTTCCAGTATCAGTTTTTCAATTCACCATCCATGCATACACCATCGGATTTGGAACGAACAGAATTAATGATCGATGATTATCAACAAAAATTACGCTTTAAACTCACCGATTTGTTTTATTCGATGCTAAGATCGCCACCACAAGTTCGAACGAAAACATTGAAATGGATAGAATGCTGTTTGGCTACGTTCAATACTCGTTCCAAATTATGGATGAACGAATTGTTCACCTTGGTTAGTGGTAATACATCGCAAGTATCCGATGGTTTTCTGCTCAATGCTTCTGCCGTATTATTAAATCTTTGTAAACCATTTTGTTCATCAACAGAAAACAATTGCAAATTAATTGATTTATATCCAGAATATTCAATCAATGAAAAAATGTTAAAAGTTGATCCTCTTTATATTCGTTACTGTCGACAAGAAGGATCAACAACAGCGACCGATAGGCCAAATGATTATGGGCCATACCTACATATTCTAAAACAAGAATCTGTTCTAATCAGTGGTGATTATTCTGCACCCATAATGTCTAGTGACAGTTCGAATAATCGTTCATCTGCCACAACAGTTGACAATCAACAATCTAATGTGGCCGAAAAACCTGTTACTACTTGTGGTGATTATCAGCCCAATTTTATCAGTCGGTTATTCTTCATGACCCATAAAGCATTGCATATCGGATTTCGTGTTATCCATGAACGATTTACTGCGATTAACCAGGAAAACAGTCAACTACAACGTCGCCTGGATCATCTTGGAATGGGAATGGGATTTAGTTCGATGATGAGAAACAACCTAAATCCACAACAACGGGAAACATTGGCTCGATTCGATCAAAACATGACTGTGACATTGTCGATGAAAGCTGCATTGACAGAAACAAATTACATAAATATTTTGCTCGAATTTTATCTGGCCACTGCTTCGTGGATAAATAATTTAGCCGTTTGTCCAGTCGACAGAGAAGCTCCTGATTCATTTATTCGACTTGAATTTCAAGGCAATGGAAGCAATTATTTCAAATGTAAACCTTCGCTGTGCCTTCGATGGATTCCGGAATTCATAATCGAGAATATTATTGATTTTATGTTATTTTTGCGTTATTTTGAAATCAAACCAAAGGTGTTGAATTTAAAATCCGGTCTGGAACCATTTATGGTAATGATTATTCTGTTTATGGGATCACCACAACGAATGCGTAATCCTCATTTACGTGCCAAGATGGCCGAAATGCTTGAAGCTTTATTGCCCACTGTACAAGCAAATATTACACCGTGAGTATTTTGTTTATTAAAAATGTTCATTTATGATTAACATTATTTAACATTTATTCTCATCTAGTTCCTATCTGGAAACATTATTCCTTAAACCATACTTTATTGAAGAATTGTTTCCCGCTTTGCTCAGTGGGTTTGTTAGTATTGAAATATCCGATGAGGCCAACAATGCCGACGTGGTTGCATTCGAACAAAAATTCAATTATCGACGACCGATGTATGTCGTATTCAAATATCTATGTACCATTGAACAGCATCAGCGAAAATTGGTTGATTTGGCTACCTATGCTGAAGCCAATATTGATTGTGTACATTTGCCAGTATTTCTGCGTTTCATTAATCTGTTAATCAACGATGCTATTTTCTTGCTCGATGAAGGATTGTCGCTTATGTCTAAACTTCGTGAAATTCAACAGGAACGTGAATCAGATGCTTGGTCACGATTGTCACAAATTACTAGGCAACAGAATGAAGCAAATTTTGTACATTTAGGTCGTTTGGCCAAATTTCACAACTTTATCGGCCGTGATACGATAGCTACATTGGCCACCATAACTTCCTATGTTAATTCATTCTTTTCACATCGCATTCTCGTTGATCGGATGGCTGCAATGTTGAACTATTTCCTACATAATTTGGTTGGTCCGAACAAACGTAATTTTAAAGTAAAGCAAATGAACGATTATGAGTTCAATCCTGGCGAACTGGTCAAGAATATCAGCAGAATTTATGTCAATCTCGCCTGTAATAATCCAATATCCATAGACCTGAATACGACGATGGGCAGTAGTAGTGTGAGAACGAATCAAGTCAATCCCAAATATGAAGAATTCTGTTTAGCCATCGGCCGTGATGATCGATCCTATTCGCATGATCTTCTCATTCAAGCAGAAGAAATTCTTACTAATAAATTAGGCCAACCGATGCTTGGTCAAGATATGCTTGTCGTGGATAGATCTGTCAAGGAATTGATTCAACGTCATAAAAGTAGTGAAATTCCTATCGACGATATACCCGATGAATTTTTGGATCCACTGATGAGTACTTTAATGAATGATCCGGTCATTTTACCAAATTCACATAAGGTTTTGGATCGAGCCACAATTACTCGTCACTTGTTAAGGTCAGTCACATAAATTCTTTTTTTTTAATTTCATTGAACTTAAAATATTTTTTTCAATTTTAGTGACCATACCGATCCATATACTCGTACTCCACTTACAATGGACATGTTAATTCCCGATGTTGAACTAAAGAAAAAGATCGAAATGTTCATAGCAACCAAATCAAAAGAGATGAATAAAGAATAGCAGTAGCAGCATCATTTTTTTCTCCATTTTTAGTTCTTTGATCAAGTCTGATTAAAACATTAATTTACATTGATTGCATTAACTGTAAATAATAATTGAATTAAAACGTTTTACATTGTGTTAAAAAAAATTAAAAAATTAATGTATCTTCGAATTTGAATGTTTATCTAATGACACGTACTTTATGAATAACTATTATGGAAAAAATTTTGCGCTTTTTTCAGCTTGGTTTGGGTAAATTTTGTTCAATTGTTCTGTTTATATATTTTAGTGAATTAGTTATATCAATCAATTAATCATTAAATCCAAAATGGTTTTTACGCCAAATCAATTTTACGCTGGAACGGATTATAGTGATGTGTTGGATAAAAACAAAAAGATTGTCAAACAAACGACACCGGCCAGACAGGTGAAAAAATTTGATTGGAATTCCGACCGTTTCGTAAAAAGTTTGGCCAAACAACATAGCCGTGTTACAGATTCCGATTATAATGGATACAAACGTATATTACAATGTTGACGAAATTTACAATATTACTCATTTTGATTCTTAATAGGAAAAAGTTTAAGCGCGTATAAGGAATTTCTTCCATTCAAAAAATTGGACCTGAAGAACAGCTGCCAAAGGGATATTCGCCACTATGTTTCCAATTTTCGTAATGCTCATGATAGGGTCGATCGTGAACATGAACAGCCATCAGAAACAAACGCTAAAGAAAAATTTGAAAAAAATCCGATTGAGGATGATCTACTTTTAGAGTCAATTTCTGCCATCACACCTAACAAGAAAAAAAAGGTTATCGATGAAAATTGTAATCTACAATCGTGTGAATTCGAAAAAATTCCCGACATGTTGGAAACTTCTGCCTATAGCAATAATAATAAACAACTGGATTCTTCTGAAAATGATAGTGATATAATGAATATTATTGACAATGTCAATCTCACATCTGTTGCTTACGACGGCGATAATGGCCATAAAGCCGCTTTGTTCGGCGATGATGACGAAAACAGATTAGCTAGATTTGATCCGGATCTTATTCAAGAAAAGAATGTACCACTCGGTTTAAATAACCTTGGCAATACTTGCTACATGAATGCAATTGTTCAAACATTATTTTCATTCGATTTTTTCATGAAAGATGTTATCGAGATCTATACAAAGTTGAATGAATTTCTACGTGATGAAATCGAAAATCGGTTGCCTATAACATATAATTTTATCGAACTTTATCACAGATATCGAAATCGAGCACATCAATCAATTATCGAAAAAGGCTTAAATTCGTTCCGAAATTCTTTCTGTGCTTGTGTTGAAAATTTCAAATCCAATGAGCAACAAGATGCATCTGAGTTTTTCACATTAATTCTTGACAATATTAAACAGGAAATTGATCAAAATCTAAGCAAATTTTTGTCATCATCTTATTGTAATCCGGTTGATCGATGTTTTGAGTATGAAATTCTTGCTGAAGCCAAATGTCCTAAATGTCTAAAGCCGTGCACCAAATCACACGATCCCAATTATAAGTCAAACACCTTTCATTTACCATTAAATTCAAATGTTCAGGCTTCGATTTTGGGATATTTCAACAATGAAATTGGACGATCCAAATGTCCGGACTGTGATGAAAATTTTGTAATTAATAAACGATTCGTTAAACTACCAAAGATTCTATTCATCCAGATGCTAAGATATTCGGAGGATGGCTCAAAAGATAATACAGCAGTTCCTATTGCCCACACAATCTATTTACCCAAGAAATTTATTTGTATGCATAATTGTTTAATGTCACCGTTATCGACTCCATATAAAACAAGGTAATGTTTATTATACCATTTGAATTAATAATATTAATATCATTTATTATTATTATTTGCAGTTTAAACCAATCATATAATACAATTTTGAAAGAAAAAAATTCATCAGTAGCCCGTAGACTGGAATTCGATGAGGAAAAAAATTCTGTATCAGCATTGACTAGGCATTCAAACAACAGTAATGCTAACGTAAGAATGGATCCGAATTCAGATAAATCAACCGGTCAACAACACTGTTCAGATGAAAATAATGCTAAGATGGTCATTTCGCCGACAAATCCATGCCAACCAGCTAATAACGAAACCGATACAAGTAATCAAATAGTATTCGATCAATCCATCGATTGTGAAAGATATCAACTAGTCTCCGTAATCTGTCATCGAGGTCCATCAATAACGTGTGGCCATTACACATGTTATGTATATAATTTCGAACATCAACGATGGTATCATTGTGATGATGGTAGCATTGCCCAAGTTCCTTTCAGACAACTTGAAAAGAATTCTTTAACCACTGGATACTGTTATTTCTATGCCCGTACCGATCACAATCATCATTTATAATATGACATTTATGATTTTCAATACATGTCAAATATATTGACAATTTGATTTAATGATTGAATGAATTTTGAATTCCTTTCTGTCTACCTACAATAGATGATAGATAAATGATTTGATTCTTATAATCATAACAGTAAAAAAATGGATTTGACCATAAAATCAAACACATTTGGCTGTGCCTGTTGAATCAGGTCATTTAAAATTTAAATATCTCTATTTTTGAATTATAATTTAATTTATGGAATACAGATTAAAATCAAATTTACAAAACGTAATAAAATTTTTATTCGATTTAAAATCATAATCAATAAATTGTTTTTTTTTCATTAGGTACATAGTCGGATTTCATTAGAATAGATAAGGAAAAATTCGTTTGTCAACGATGGTATGTTTTGAATTGTCTGTTGAAATTCGTGTTCATCATTATTGATTGAGACGTTGTTCCAATTTATTCAATTGTTCATTCATATCTTTGGGCAAATCTTCACCAACTTGTTCGTCAAAATATTTGCGAATACTGGTGACTTCTTGTTTCCAAAAATCCTTAGGTACATCGAACAATTTATCATAGTCAATATCTAGCCCTTCAGCACGGAATGAATCTCTTTTTGGAAGATAACCGATTGGTGAATCCTAAAGGGAAATAATAATAATAATTTAAATTAATTATTCAATTGTTCATCACAAATTTTTTAATTTACCATAGTAATGTTTTCATTTTCCACACGTCGTATGATCCAATCAAGCACTCGACAATTTTCGCCAAATCCTGGCCATAAAAATTTACCAGATTGTTTATCTTTGCGGAACCAATTTACATGGAATATCTTTGGAAGTTGTAGTCCTGGTTTTTCAGCAAAACTTAGCCAATGATCCAGATAATGGCCAAAATTATAACCGAAAAATGGTCGCATTGCAAATGGATCATGCATTATAACTTTAGCTTTATGTTCAGCAGCTGCAGTTGCTTCGGAACGTAATGATGCTCCAACAAGAACACCATGTTTCCAATCAAATGATTCGTAAACAAGTGGTACACCTTCGGGACGACGTCCACCAAAAATAATTGCACTGATTGGTACACCTTGTGAATCTTCCCAACATGAATCGATTATTGGACATTGGCCAGCTGGAGTACAGAAACGCGAGTTTGGATGTGCTGCTGGTTTTCCACTATCTTTGGTCCATTCTTCACCTAACCAGGAGGTAATCTTCACATTTGGATCGATTTCATCTTCCAACCCTTCCCAATAGACACCACCATCAGATGTTTTGGCAACGTTAGTGAATACAGTATTTCTTGAGATAGTTTTCATAGCATTAGGATTGGTTTTATTAGTAGTACCAGGTGCAACACCAAAGAAACCATATTCTGGATTGATTGCACGTAGAACGCCGTTTTTATCGAAACGCATCCATGAAATGTCATCACCGACACATTCAACTTTATAGCCGGGTAATGTTGGTGTTAACATGGCCAGATTTGTTTTACCACAAGCGGATGGAAAAGCGGCCACTACGTATCGTTTAATACCTTGAGGATTAGTAATGCCCAAGATTAGCATATGTTCAGCAAACCATCCTTCACGTTTAGCTAGAATTGATCCTAATCGAAGAGCGAAACATTTTTTACCCAATAATGAATTTCCACCATAACCAGAACCAAATGAAATGATTTCATTTCTATCTGGAATATGTGAAATTAATGTTTTTTCAGGATTACAAGGCCAATTCTGTTTTAATGGCCGCTGTAATGGCAATGGACATCCAACCGAATGAAGACAGCGAATAAAATCTTCCCGTTCGCCTAAAGTTTTTAAAACTGCTTCTCCCATTCTCGTCATGATTCTCATTGATGCAACCACATATGGAGAATCGGTCAATTGAATTCCAATTTTTGATAATGGTGAACCGATTGGCCCCATGCTAAACGGTATAACATACATGGTACGACCTTTCATACAATCAGGAAATCGTTCATCCAAAGCTTTTTGTAAATCTTCTGGTGAAAGCCATTTGCCCAATGTACCTTCTACACCTTCTTTTGGTATAGGAATTGTGTCACGTTTGTTTACTGTTGAAATGATCGTCTTGGATTCAACACGGGCTACATCGGCTGGATCGGTTCTTGCCAACCAGCTTTATTGTGAAATGCATACGATTTAGAATTGAGAAATAGTCAATAAATGAACAACATACCAATTTTCATATTTTGGCAGCTTTTCAAGCATTCCCTGTTTGACCATCAAATCAATCAATTGTTGATTTTCCGTTTCGGAGCCATCACAAATTTGAATCTGATCCGGTTTACAGACTCGTGCTTTGTCCTCGATGAATTTCTTAACAGAATCACTGAGTGTGGCTGCACTAAGATTTGTAAGGCCACGACTCGAAACGGTATTGAACGATGTTTTTGTCGTTTGACAACCAAGACTTTCGGCACCTTCAAAATGGCCTTTTTGATAAGCAACAGAAATCATTGTACGATGTTTAACTAGATCGGTCAAACGTACACTATTGATGAATGAAAGAATAAAGAAAAATCATGATAAAGGTCAATTTGGAATAATAATAATTAGTAAAAAAAACATTATTAAAATTTACCAAAAATAATTAAAAAAAAAATAAAGAAAATCTATATTGAAAATAATGTTTCAAATAAATGTAAATGATGATCAGCAGTAGTATCAATTTTGCCTTTTAGCATTGAAAATGGTATGGATTTAATGATGGAAATAATATTTGTTGTTGACGGATAATATCGTTGTTCGTAAGCCATGGAACGATTTGAAATGGCATATATAATTTGAAATTGGAAAATGGATATACAGCCCTTTATATATAAAACCGACACAGACACACACACACACACACACACACATCTGGTTTGTTCAAGATTCAACAGGCAAAACAAAACAAAATGACACACGATTTGAAAAAAAAATTTCGACGTCATTATCATCATCAAATTATATAAACAATGTTGTGTGTGTGTATGCAATAAAATTTGTCATACAATGAGATAAAATGAAAATCAAAAGAGCCAAAGTGATAAATAAATTACTGCTATACAACTATATGGATGTACAAATAAAACTGACAATATTTTTTCCGAATTAATTTGAACACATCAAAACGACATCAGAGAGATTAGTAATCAATTATCAATAACCCGATGATCCGATGCTATGAAAACGATATGATCCAAACTCGAATCGATGATTATTTTTCAATAAATTTTTCACAGAAAATCTCGTAATCAAAACAAACAAGGTCACAGGTCAGTTTGACCAAAATCTTTCCATAAAAAAAATTGTGACAAAAAAACAAAAGTTGTTATGGTGTCATAATTAATGTAAATGGTGCGTGTAGCGTTTGCCGGATGTGGATGATGAAATTTTTTTTTATGTTGGACAACAATGATGATAGAGCGCATTTTCAAAATTTAAACATCCTATTAATAATGGATCTGAAAATTTTGTGATGACAGTAATTGTTTTTTTACAATTTTCCTTGTCATTCATCATTTGTCATCATCATGGATCCTGTTTTTTTTTGGTAATTTATTATAATTTAATATTTGATTTGTATCTGATGATAATAATGATCATGCTGACAACATTTGGTCATCGGAATGCTGATTATGATTAAAGGAGTTTTCCGATAATTATCAGCATCATTGGATAATATTGAATGAATCTGCTGAACGTCATTATAATCATCATTTCATCAAACATGTGAAGAATAGATGATCAAAAGATTCAGTAATGTTCAGTACAAAATAAATACCTTCTCAAAATCTTTTATGCTATGGACAGATTGTCCTTCATTTATTGAAGAAACAAAATTTCGCAGATAAATCAATCGAATGATTTTTGTTTTCTTACCGTAAATAAAATACTAAAAGAAATGTACATTTTTTCTTGTATAACCAGATAGTAGTATTAGTTGATTTTTTTTCTTCATTCATTCAAAGATATTATCTTAAGTAGAAAGATAAATAAAAGTTTTTTCCTCTGTAACGAAAGAAATTTTTTTTTTATTATTATTTAATCATAGAATTTCAATGAAATTTTTGTTCCTTAACATTTGACAAACTAATTTTGAAACGAAACGAAAAAAAAAATTGGTAACGATAAAATGGGTTTTTTTTTGTTAAAACGGGAAAAAAATTGATTAGTAATCTTTGACCAATCTTCATCAACATGTCTTATGACCGATGTGGATAATTTTCGACTTTTAGAACTTTCGTTTTCAAATGTATTTTATTTATTAGCATTAAACAGATATATTAATTAATAATGAGAAAAAAACAAAACAAAATCGGAACTAGATTTGGCCAAAGTCCTAGTCCTAATCCCAATTTTATTATTATATAGCTTGTCATCAATGAATAAATGTGAATAGAAAATTTTTTAGACACATTTGTACCCAAGGTATAATGATGATATACGATATTGTGATTAGTTAATCTGATTCATGAAACCAGAAAAAAATGTACATTCGATACATATTGCCATTTTTTTCATATAAATATAAATTTCTCAATGTCAAATCATTGCTTCCATATATCCAATGGAAAAGATCAATCAATCAATTAGAATAAAATTGATTGATATGATCAAAACAAAACGAAACAAAAAAATTTTCATCTTCAAGAAAAAAAAAATAATGTCTATGTCTCTGTATGTGTGTGTGTGTGTGTGTGTGTGAGCCAAAAAAGAAATGAAATTATTTACAAAAAAAAAATTATTTGGACTTACTTTCTAGCAAAAATAAAACGATGAGCCGTTATGGCTAAAGATTTTTTCATCATCATCATGAAAACTGGTTACGATGTTTTTCACAAATACAAAATGAGTGAATTTGTTGTTTTGGATGAAAATTGTCAATGTTTGTAACAAGTTGTCAGTCAATTTATTCAATATAAATGATCATACGATGGACATAGGATGTTTTCGTCAATTTTGATGGGCGTGTGTATAGGTCGTGATGTGTCGATGTAGGGTGTTTATTTTAATGATTGATGAATCAATTTTTTTTTGATTTAATTCATTTGTATTGATGATACTCTATGATCATTGATCACTGATCGGTCTGATCAAATTTATCAATAATTATTATTATGAACAAGCAAATCGGCAATCAAGAGTCATTTTCCATATGAGATGATATACTTATTTTTTTTTTTTTGAAAAAAACCTCAAGATTTTGTGTATTTGATAGTAGTTAAAAGGAAAAAATTTCAACACATACACTGTAGATGGTACATTATCCGTATTGATCATCGATGATGGATGGTATGATCCATCAAGCTATCGGCGCCAAAATAAAATAAAATTTTTTTAATCATAAATCAAAAAACAAAAACGTTATTTGTTGTTATTGTTGATTATTTAATCACGCACAATGTTTCACAATGTCAAACAACAACATACAATCACTTGGAACTATCAAAATATATCGCACGATCATCATTATCATCATCATCATCATCATCATTCGAAAAAAACCAATATGATAACACTGTACAATGATTCAAATGCAAACACTCGACACTCACACACACACACACATTGCTTTTTTGTCTCATCTGATCGATATTGATAAAAATTGATCGATTTTTTTTTTTTTTGCCAAAAAATCAAATTATTTTGATCAATCAATACGATTGATTAATTTTTTTTTTCATTAATTTCAACAATAAAATACTAATCCATCAATAGATTGGAAAAAAAACGGAAATTTGCATTCATAGTATGCATGTGTCGGTTGACAAATTAATATTAATTACCATCATCAGTATCATCACCACATGGATTTCAAATAATTATACTGTAAATCAAATAAATTTACATACAGACACACATATATAAAAAAAAGATCATTTAAAATTCGTTCAAAAAAATTCAATAATAAGCAATAATATGACAATTTGGCAATGATAATTTGAGGTTGAAATTATTTCATGTGATCATCCATCATCAGCATCAATAAGTCGAATAAAACCAGAGATTCCAGTTTTTCATCGTCATCATTCTAATTTTGTACATTAATTTTAACGGCATAGGATAGGGAGAATGGATAATGAATTAATTAATCAATTCTTCTCCTACCACTACATGATTAATCATGTTTTGTAGCTTGATTGAAAATGATATTAGTTTTTTTAGTTTGTTTATTTGATTGATTTTTTTTCAAAGTTTGTCAACAGGAAATTTCATATCAAATGGTATTTAATTTTATTTTCAATAAAAATGATCATAATAATAATTAGCTTTAGTTATGGACATGTTTTTTACAATAAAAAAAAAATTTGCTATGTATCTCTCTTTTGGGCTAAAATACACGGTCAATATATTGGCCACCGGAATTCTGTGCTCCCATACGGCCAGGTGGACCACGTTGATGACCACCCGGATGATGACCTGGATGATATACATGTGGACCCGGTGCTGATGGACCACCACCTTGCTGTGCTTGTGGTGCTGCACGACGACGTGGTGTTGTAAATTCAAACATTGAACTTGTATATTTGGATAATAATTTGCCAAGATCTTGTGGCATTGGATCGGTCCAGAAAAAATCATGATTAAGTGCACTATCCGAATCAAGTCGTTTAGTTGGATCCAAAATCAATAATTTATCCAGTAAATCCAATGCACAATCACATTTGATAAAAGGTTTCAATTTTTCTTTCACTCTTCGGCGTTGATTTTTACCTAAATCCATCTTATTAAAAAGTTCAAGTTTTTCAACACCAGGCCATACTTCAGGTGTTATTGATCCACATAATTGAGTGATCATTTGTAATTGAGCTAATTCGGTATTTCCTTGTAGAATGGGAATACGAGTCCACATTTCGGCCATTATACAACCTGCACCCCATAAATCGATTGGTGGACCATAATTTCTTGCACCTAATAACAGTTCTGGTGGCCTGTACCATAAGGTGACAACTCTAAAAAATTAGGACAAAAAACAATGAGTCCTCAATCAAAAAGAAAATCGGATTCAACCTATTCGTATATCGATCACTACGGATATCAGATATGGCTCTTGCTAGGCCAAAATCAGCCAATTTAAGTACACCATTTTTAGTGATTAAAATATTGGCCGCTTTCATATCACGATGTAGAATTTTTTGTTTGTGGATAAAGAATAGACCATTCAGTAATTGTTGCATAATTTTTTTTATCTCTCCTGCATAGAGATAAATTATCATTATTAACTGATCACAATTATTGATCATCAATATAGTAATTATTATTACCCAGATTAAATGTGACTGAAATGTTGGATAAAAGACCGGCAAGATCATGTTCACAGAAATCAAAAACCAGATAAAATGTTGCCTTATAATTCGAATCAGTTGAAGATGTGCGGCAGATTTCAATTAAATTCACGACATTTTCATGTTTTAGTAATTGCAGAATTTTTATTTCACGTAAGGCTGTTATTGGGAAACCTTCTTTTTCATTTTCCATAAGGACTTTTTTCAATGCAACTAATTTTCTTGTTTTACTGTGTTTAGCTTTGAATACTTCGCCAAACGTTCCTAAATTCGGATTGAATGAAAATGATAAAAATTTGGTTATTTGCAAATAACACATTTACCTTGTCCAATTTTGTTCATTTTTGTATATTTATTAACATCTTCACAATATGGAAATTCATATTCATTATCCGGTAATGGACCATTAATATTACTTGAGCTGGCTAATGATGATGATGATGATGATGATTGTGGTGGTTGTTGATGATTAGATGTAGGATTATGTAAATTACCAGGCATATTAGATGTCGTCGAACCCGTTATATTTCTCATATGATTATGTAATGAATTTTTGGATGATGAAGAATCAATTGAATTTATCGTGCCACCATGTGATGGCAGATTATTTGACATTTTTCAATTTTCTGTCGAATAGTTTATTTATAAAGAAATTATTATAATTGGAATTAGAACAAAATTTTCTTAGAAAATATGCAAACAATATCATGCTCACTTTGAGCTACATCAAAAAATGTAAAATATTTTTTTTTTTTTTCATTTTGTCCTAGTGTCTATGAACAATATCATATTGTTTCCAAGCGTTGCTCGGTTGACGCAATTTTTCGATTATCTGTTTTTTAATTATTATAATCTTAATTAATCAAATTTTAATTCATTTTTTCTTAGGATATTGGGCGTTTTCCAGCTAAAAAAACCAAGTAAGTTCATGATCTTAAATTTCAATTTAGATGTCGTTATTGAATGTTTATGGAATAACTTCATTCTAAGCACATGCCGGCTAATTCATTAATTATGGATTTGATTTGATCGATTTTATAGTTTTGTACCATAGGAAAAAATGACAACATCACAAAAACATCAAAATTTTATATCCGAGCCGATGGGTGATAAACCTGTCACCGATTTGGCCGGTATTGGTGAAGTTTTGGGCAAACGACTTTCCAATAAAGGATATGACAAGGTAAGATGATTCATTTTCAAATTCTAAAATGACATCAATTTTCTTTCAGGCTTATGTCGTTCTTGGACAATATTTGGTATTGAAGAAAAATGAAGAATTATTTGTCGAATGGTTAAAAGATGAAGCCAATGCCAATACAAAACAAGCCAGAGATTGTTATCAATGTATCACGGAATGGTGTGAACAATTTTTGTGAGCTAAACGATCTTCGATTGAATTCGATATGGATCATTTCATCAAAAAAAAAACAAAACAATTCAAGAAGAACGTTTGCTTTTATCGATTTTTTTATTTCTCATTCATTCGATTTTCTCATTTAAATTCATGAAAATTTATTCAAAAAAAATTTAATAAATTTTACTCATCAACTATTATAAATTACACTAAAAGTATTATCCATTTTTCTTTTTGCTTACTTTTTCACAAAAATTCATTAATGCTTATAGCATGGAATTTTATCTGAAAAAACATTCTCGCAAAATAATATTGTGATATATAAAAATAACAAATGATAATTTTTTTATTTTCACTCAAAAAAAAAAATTCACAGCTATTGTAGCCTGTTTGTTCCTTTCGGCGATCGCCGGTAGGTGTCGTTGTATTTGATTCTTTAGAATTTTTTTTTTGTAATACTTTCAAACAATGAAAATAGTTTTGAAATTTAAAATTTTCAACAATTTGATTGTAATAATGATTATTGTATTGAAATAAAATAATTTTTTTTAAAAAAAAGATTTAAACTTTATTGTCAATTTCTTTGAACATTTGTTGAATAATATCATGATAGAAATCGATAACAGGTTTTCTTCGTAGTTTGAATGCAGCAGTCAATAGATTATTATCTTGTGTCCATTCATCTTTGACCAATGCTATTTTGACAGGTGTTTCTGGTTTTTTGAAATTTAATTCTTTACATTTTTTCTGTATTGATTCTAAAACACTTTGAATGATGATTGGATCATCACACATTTGTTCGAAATCAAGTGATCTATTCAATTTTGTTGCAAGTTGCATCAATGTTTGACGATTTGGCAAGATCAATGCTACAATATCGTTACGGAATGGATCCGTAACAATGCAAATATTGTCCACATATCCAGATGTTCGAAGACCGGCTTCAATCTTGATTCATAAATTAGTAAATTAGTATCAGAATTCTTCATTAATAATTATCTATTACAAACCTTTCCAAGAGAAATGAATTCACCATTCGATAATTTGACTAAATCTTTTTTACGATCAATAATTTTCAATGTACCATCGGGAAATATTTCACCGATGTCACCTGATCGGAACCATCGACATCCTTCTTCATCAACAATAAAATCTTTAGCTGTTTCTTCTGGTTTTTTGTAATATCCTAATGCAACCGAACGACCACTGACTACAAGCTCACCACGTGGATTAGGCTTATCATTAACTGAATATCCGCCTTCATGCCAATCATCCAGATAGAATTTAACACCTTCAATAGGTATACCGGACTTGCCGAAGCAAAGATCATTTTGGGCCATCATTGTCGATCCACCTATTTCTGTGCTCCCATAAGCTGACAGGAGATGAAACAAAAACGGAAAATTTATATTTTAAAATCACGAAATTATTTTTTTCCTTTCAAAATATACCATTCATAATACAATTAACATTTAATGCAGCGGTTGCCAATGCATGCGTACGTTCATTAAAACTAGCACCACTAACGACCATCATCTTTAATTGGCCACCAAATTGTTCATTGATTCGTCGACATACCAAACGATTAATAATGGGAGTATCATAGCCACGTGATCGCCATCGTATTTTATAATTCATTAAATAATTGAAAATAGGTGTCGCTAATGGTGATCGATCATTCAACTTTCGATAAATTTCACTTAAAAGTCTTTCTAGTACTAATGGAACACCTATAAATGATATTGGTTGTAGCAAATTGATATCCCCTTTTTGTCCGGGTTCATGTACAGGAGATGAACTTAACAACGTAGCTGGTGAAGAAAAACCGAAATTACCATCGGACAAAAAGAATGCCAGATTAGCTGTAAAACCAAACATATGTGCCATTGGTAAAAATGCCGGAAATGTAGCATTAAATAATTGTATCGGTGATTCTAAATCTCTTCTCAATAAATTTCTCAGAAACGCATTAAAATTTTCATGCGTCAACACTACTCCTTTTGGATCGCCAGTTGTTCCCGATGTATACATTATAAGCATTATATCATCGATTTTAGGCTCTGGAAAAGGATGCGGTAGAATATTATTACCATTTTTTTCCAGCTGTTGCATTGACATTAAAGTATATTTTTTCGATAGTTTTTCTTTTGAATCTTTGACTGCTTGATCACGACTTTTGTACGAATTCGGAGAATCGGCAATATAGACGATTTTTTTGATTGATCGAATTTGATCATCAAGTTTATCGATTCGTTTCAACAATGATTCTCCGACGATCAGATATTCTGATTCACTTTGATTCAGGCCATATAGAACACCCGAATCACCAAGTGTTGAGAATAAAGTGACAGTTATTGCACATAAACGATTCAAAGCCAATGCAATCAGAAACCATTCAATATTACTATCCGCATAGATCATCACTTTATCACCTTTTTTTACACCAAGTTGTTCTAAGCCACGAGCAATGGCATCAGCGCGATCTAGTATCTGTCCAACCGTGAACCATTTATAATCTGATAGTTTCATTTTACTCAAATGTCGACCATCAACCATGATTGGCTGTCCATTTTGATCATATTGCAATTCTTCACTGATGATATCTCTTTGGCCAACTTTAATCTTATTGCGATCGAGCGTAGCCAATGCTTCGTTATATGTTTTACAGTGAAAATATTTATGATCAGTTCGTATGGCTGCTTCTCGTGAATAAATTATACGTCCATGTTTATCCTTTTCCATACGGACATTGAATGATTTGTTTGCACGTAATTTTTGCCATGGTCGTTGATACACAGTATAGAATGGTAAAGTAATAGCCGTATAAGTGTTCACCAAAAATTTCGTATTCCACAGGGCAATTTTAACAATAAAATTTGACATTTTTCAATGTTGTTAATGGCAAATCAAACAAAAAACATACAATCAATGAGGATTTACAATCAAGAGAATGCCAAAATATATCATATTTTCCTTTTAAATGGGTACAGTTGCTACTAACAGTTATTATCATCACAATCATCGCTCGAACTATTTTAAAGTCACCGGCATTCATGGACCCTTTGACTGATTTTATTTATGTACTCCAATGATAAAAAAAAGCATTCAATACTTGATGATAACACAAATCACAAATGATAAGAAATTTTAATAATTATGTTTTATGTAATCAAATAATATTATTTTCAAATCATATGATGAATTTTTTGATTTTTTTTCCTGATTTTCAGTGAGCAAAATTTTGGATAAAGTGAAATCTAAAATTCTAGGTTTTTCATTAAGACACACACACAGAGATAATGATAATAATAATTATTATGACAATAATAATGAATCGTTTTCGTTTCGATTCAATAAATTTGAATCATTTAAGTATTCAAAGATCACGAAATGTAGATTTGATTGTATCTTTATAGAAATCGACAACAGTTTTACGTCGCATTTTTGATGCAGCCGTTAACATGTTATTAGCTTGTGTCCATTCTTCTTTAACCAGAATAATTTTAGCTGGACATTCACGTTTTTTGAATCCAAGTTGTTGACATTTATTCTGTATAGATCGCCATACTTCATCATTGATCAATGGATCATCGCATGATTGGCGAAAATCTTGTTTCAAATTCAATTTGGTTGCAAGTTCCGTCAATGCCATACGATTAGGCATAATTAAGGCAATTATTTCACTACGAAATGGTCCGGTTACAATGCAGATATTTTCAACATAATCAGATGAACGTAATCCAGTTTCAATCTTTCAGATTAACAACAATTAATTTATAATAAATGAATCAGAAAAATAAAATATAGCAAACCTTTCCAAGAGAAATATATTCACCATTAGCCAATTTGACTAGATCTTTTTTTCTATCAATAATTTTCAATGTTCCATCAGGAAAAACTTCACCAATATCACCGGTACAGAACCAACGACATCCATCATCATCGGTGTAGAAATCTTTTTCCGTTTCTTCGGGTTTATTATAATAACCAAGAGCGATGGTTAGACCACCGACAACAATTTCACCACGTGGATTAGGTTCATCTTTTGTCGTATAGCCACCTTCATGCCAATCATCCAAATAGTATTTAAAATCATTCAATGGTACACCGGTACGACCATAGCTAAGATCATCAATCATCATGATGGCCATCGGACATGTAGTTTCAGTACTTCCATACACTAATTAAGATAAATGAATTTTTTAAATTATGAAAATTACAAATCATAGAATAATTATTATTACTGTTATAGATGCAAACAAGATTCAATGCTACGGTTGCCAATGCATGAGTACGTTCACTGAATGCAGCACCAGTGACCAAAAGTGCTTGTAATCGGCCACCAAATTCTTGATTAATTTTATTACAAATTAATCGATTAATGATTGGTGTATCGAAACCTTTGGATCTCCAATGAATTTTATAATCCATTAGGTAATCGAAAATTTCCACAGCCAATGGTGAGCGTGCATTCAGTTTTCGATAAATTTCACTAACAAGTTTTTCAAGTACCAACGGAACAGCCGGAAACAGATCGGGTTTTATCAGATTAATATCACCAATTTGCCCAGTAACATGTGATGGTGATGAATTGAGCAATGTGAAAGGTGATGAGAATCCCATACGGCCATCACTTAGAAAAAATGTCAGAATAGTTGAATAGCCAAATATATGAGCCATTGGTAAGAATACCGGTAGATCGGATCGTGATAATGAAATTGGTTGCTCTAAATCTCTACCCCATAGATTCAAAACACTGGTATAGAAATTTTCATGTGTTATGATAACACCTTTTGGATCACCAGTTGTTCCCGATGTATACATGATCATCATCACATCATTCGGATTAGCTACCGGGAATTCATACTGTTCAATTTCATTACCAATTGTTTCGATTTCATTCAATGATGATACTGAATATTTATGGGTTAATCGATTCTTAGCCATCTGTACTTCAGCATCTTGACTTTTATACGATGCAGGATGATTAGCAATGTAAATGATTTGCTTAATATATTTAATTTGATCTTGAAGTTTGTCAATTTTCATCAATAATGATTCATCAATGACCAAATAACAAGATTCACTTTGATTTAATCCATGTACGATACCGGAATCACTTAGCGTAGAGAAAAGTGTCGTCGTGATTGATGATAATCGTTGCAAGGCCAAAGCAACAAGAAACCATTCAAGACTTGTTTCAGCATAGATCATAACCTTATCATTTTGTTGAACACCAAGCTGTCGAAGACCACGAGCAATAGCATCTGCACGATCCAAAATCTCACCTCTTGTTACCCATTGATAATCGGTTAATTTGATTTTGGACAACATTCGCCCATTAAACATTATGGGCTTTTCATTTTCATCATATTGTAATTCTTCATTAAGAATATCTCTTCGACCTACTTTAATCAAATCACGGCTCAAATGATTTAACGCATCGGAATAGGTACGATAATTGAATAGATGACTGTCCGGTCGTTTTGCCTGTTTCCGTGAATAAATTATTCGGCCATATTTATCTTTGATCTGGCGAATTTGAAACGATGTCGAAGCTTGTACTTTTTTCCATGGTTTCTGATAAACAAAATAAAATGGTAAAGTTAAAGCCGTATAGATGGTAATGATAATTTTGAGAATTGAAAAGATGAAATTCGATCTCATTGTTGAGAAATTTTTAAAATTAAGCTTTCTAAATGAATAACTGAATAATGACAAACACACACACACCAAAATATGAATGATAATTTTTTTTTATTTGTTTTTTGTTTATTAAATCAAAGTCAAAATGCTAACATTTAGCTAATCACTTGAAGTAGTCACTGTTTTACTTTTACTCAAACATAAATAAAACGACGATATATATGCAGATTAAAGTTTACATCAATAATCATTGATTATGACGATCGATAGAATATCTTCACAAAAAAAAATTAAATGATAAAAATTGATTACGATTAAAGATTTATATTTTCTAGTAGTAAAATAATAAGAGAAACCTATATGAACATTATTTTTTTCAAATAAATTAAAAATGCACCACATATATATTTAAAGTTGAATGTTGGTGACAATAATGGCAACAAAATTGGGTGAGTTAAAAACAATGGAAAAAAAATATTCACCCGAATAGACACAATGAAAAATTATTAGTAACAAAAAAAAAATTTTTGTTTTGATTCCGACGGTCTAATGAAATTAATTGAAATAGCATGCGCCAGGTAAAATATTGGAAAAAAAGAGTTCCAAAAAAAAAAATTTTTTTTTTGTTTTGTTTTCGGAATGTTCAGGTCGTTAGAGGGCGGGCAACAACAAAAAAAAATATGAATCTGTATAATATTCTCTATATGGTTGGTGGAATTTCATCAAAAATTTCTTGGATTTTTTCTCGATAAAATTTTTGAACTGCTTGACGTCGCATCTTGAATGCAGCCGTTAAGAGATTATTTTCCTGTGTCCATTCTTCTTTGACCAACAAAACTTTTACAGGTATTTCACGTTTTTTAAAACCTAAATCTCGACAACGATTAATGATTGATTCATAGATTTTCGCATTGATCATAGAATCATTGCACATTTGTTCGATAGATAAATGTTCTTTTTGAAGCTCTTTGGCCAATATTCGTAGTGTTCGTCGATTAGGTACGACTAATGCAATGATTTCATTACGAAAACGATCAGTACAGATGCAAACATTCTCTACATAACGTGATGATCGTAGACCGGATTCAATTTTTCCAAGCGAAATGAATTCACCATTAGCCAATTTGGTTAAATCTTTTTTACGATCAATAATTTTCAATGTACCATCCGGATACAGTTCACCAATGTCACCGGTACGAAACCATCGACAACCATCTTCATCAACATAGAAATCTTGTGCTGTTTGTTCGGGCATCTTATAATAACCCATTGAAACCAATTTACCACCAATTATAATTTCACCGCGAGGATTTGGTTTATCATCAACACTGTAGCCACCATCCGACCAATTATCGAGATAATATTTCACCGTATCCAATGGAAGACCACATCGTCCATATGAACGATCAGTAATAGCCATAAAAGTTGAACAGCAAGTAACTTCAGTGGCGCCATAACCTATATATATGTGTCATATATTTACATATTAACTGTCTATGTGATAATAAAAGCAATATTAATATTAATTACCGATAATAACATTGGTATTCAATGCAGCTTTGATTAGTGCATGTGTACGTTCATTGAGTGGTGCGCTACCCGATACGATCGTTTTTAATCGGCCACCAAATTGTTTATTAATTCGACGGCATAAAAATTTATTGATTAATGGTGTATCATAACCTCTTGCTGTCCATCGTATTTTATAATCCATCATATATGTGAATAATGGTGCGGCAATTGCAGATTTTGCATTCAATTTCTGATAGATTTCTTTGATAATTCTTTCAATTACTAATGGTACACAAGTTAGAAGATCTGGTGTAATCAAACGAATATCACCAGTTTGGCCATGGACATGTGATTTTGATGTATTGAACATTGTAGCAGGTGATGAGAAGGCAAGTCGATTGTCGCTTAAATAAGTATATAGATTACACATGAAACCGAATAGATGAGCCATTGGCAAGAATGCCAAATAAATTGATTTAGGTCCAATCAATGGCCATTCATGATTCCATTTCGATAATGATAAAATGAATGTGAAGAAATTATCATGTGACAATATGACACCTTTTGGATTGCCTGTCGTTCCCGATGTATACATTATCATCATTGTATCTTCTGGTTTTGCATCCGGAAATTCATATGGTTCAATTTGTGAACCACTTTGTTCTACTTGTCCTAATGATATTAATTGATATTTTTTTTCTAATTTATCTTTGGAAATCTGTACATTAACATCTTGGCTTTTATAAGATTTTGGATTATTTGGAATGTAGATAATTTTTTTCAAAAATTCAATTTTATGATCAAGTGTAGCGATTTTTTTCAATAATGATTCACCAACAACAAGATATGGTGCTTCACTTTGATTGAGACCATACAATACACCGGTATCGCCCAATGTAGAGAATAATGTTATCGTTATGGCACATAAACGATTCAATGCTAATGCTACTAGAAACCATTCAACATTACTATCAGCATAGATAATAACTTTATCATTTCGATTGACGCCCAATTGTTGTAGGCCACGTGCAATTGCATCGGCACGATCAATTATCTGCCCGGCTGTCCACCACTTATAATCTTTACTCAGTTCAATTTTTGTCAATTCCCGTTCATCAACAATGATTGGCTTGCCATTTTGATCATATTGCAATTTTTCATTAATCACATCACGAACACCGACTGCTATACGATCACGATCCAATGTTTTTAACAAATCGGTAACAGTTCGATGATGGATGAATGGATGTTCAAATTTGGTGGGTCCATTGCGATAATAAATAGTACGACCATGTTTATCTTTGTACATTTGTATTTGAAACAATTTTGATGTACGTAATTTTTGCCATGGTTTTTGATATATCGTATAGAATGGTAATGTAATGGCTGTATATGAATTTATAAGAAATTTGGTATTCAATACGAGAAATTTTTTCATCAAATTTGTCATGATTATTGCTTTCTGTTATAAGAAAATGAAACAATTGTTTATTGAATATAAAGACATTCAATAAAAACATACCTAAAAAAACGATTTTTCCGAATAATACTTGTAATACTGATTTTTGAAATTAAAGAATAGGTGTCACATGTACTCAACTATTGTTGAATATCATCCATCCTAATGGTCATTCAGCGTGATTTTGTGTAATGGAAACAAGTTTTTTTTTACAACATCCAATAAAAGTGAAAGCAGCCAAATGGCTTACGTCAATTTAGATTTGATCGGTCATCGAGTGTAACAACCTACCTTTATATTTCCATATGGCCAATATATATTATATTAATATAATAATAATGTAAACAATACCACCACATTGCCCTCCCAAAAAAAAACAACAAAAAGGCAGCAGGTTTTTTTCTGTTGCAGTTGTGTTGTCGGGCATTCATTCGGCTTTGCATCTGCATATAAGACGGGTACCACTAGAAGTTGTTAAAGTGGCCACTACAAAAAGTTAAAGGTGGGAAAAACTTGTTGAATTTCGAACATGTTAATCGAATCTAGAATTGTAGTAATTTTGTTAGAATTCTGTAATTATTAATTAATTCAGAATAATGAAAAAAAAAACAAAAAATTCAATTTTAGTTTTTGAAATATTTATTTTTAACTTTTATTTTATTTATTTTTTCCCACTTTTATTTCAAGTTGGTAAATTATGTAAATTTTTTTTTTCTCATGATAAAGATGGTGATGACATTTATCCAATTTTTATTTTGTTTTTAAATAATAATGATGATAAGTGTATTGTTTTTGTGTGTTTGTTTGTATGTATGTGATTTGATTGAATCAATAATCAAATATTACGATTCATTCATACAAATGATGAATTTCGAATGTTGTTGTTTTTTGTTGCATTTCATAAATATAAGTGATATGATTTAATGGTGATGTTTTCGATGTTCGATGCATTATTTTCTTCCAACCATGATGTGGGTGTGTGTGTATATTTATATGTTATCGGATTATGGGGAATTTCTTTTTTTTCCGGTTTCATCGTTATTGATTAACGATTTGAATTCTTTAACGGCCATAACCGCCACCACCGCCGCCTATTGATTATTAGAATAATCAAACAAACAATATATTAGATATATATCAATCGAAACAAATGAAAAATTATTACCTTTTCCACCGCCACCATAACCACCACCTATAAATCATTTTAAATATTAACATATCAACCGGAAGCTAGTAAAAATTTCTACTTACCACCACCGCCACCACCTCCATAACCACCTGTTAATTATTGAAAAGGTTTTAAAAATCACTCAGAAAAAAAATGAAAAATTATCACTTACCACCACCACCACCGCCTTTTCCACCGCCACCATAGCCACCACCTATATATCATTTTTAAAGATTAAAATTTCAACCGGAAGTTTGTGAAAATTAAAACTCACCACCACCACCACCGCCATAACCACCAGCGAATACCGACATGCACATTGATGCCAGCAAAACAAAAGCGAAAAAGAATCGAAGTTTCATTATTGTTGCTTCAAGTTTATTCGAATGATTGTTGATGAGAATCGAATCTGATTTTTTTGACTGGCTAATCGGCCATATTTATATGAATCGAAATGGCCCTTTTCATTCAAATCCATCCAACTCTTTGTTTCCATTCTACACATACATTATTTTTTTTTGTCTGTTTTACCATCATCATTATCATTAGTAACAGTATACAGAAAATATCTTTGGCTCTTGTCAAGTCAAATCGATCCATTCATGCACATCCATCGATATGTTTGTGTGAGTGAATGTGTTGGATCTTGTTAGTCAAAAATTTTTTTTTCAATTGAAGCTTAATAAGGTAATACGATGCTTGTCTCTTTTTTTCTAACACAAAGAGAAAGTTTTTTCCATTAACTAAAGATATATTATTGGACAATGAACTATGTGTCTGTGTGTGTTTCATTTTATTATTTTTTTCTCGTTTCATTTCATTTTAACCATTTTCAACAAATGGTGACAATCAAGATTATGAAAATGGTGACAAATGTCAAAAAAAAACTGGCCACCAAACAATTTATTGATTGACCAATTAAGACAATCGATCGATTGATACACACACACACTGTGTAAATGAAATTATATGGTTAGTAATTACATAACTTTTTGATTTTTTATTTGTAAATGGCCTATTGTGTGAATGATGATGACATTAATTATGAAAAATATGAACAATGTGAAATTGGCAGGAGAAAGTGTTAATTTTTTTTTGTTCATTTTTTTCTCGTCTTGATTTGAATGCCAAACGTTTGTCCATCGCACATACATTGTCTTTGACAAAAAAAGACCATATAACCGATGAAGCGGAAACATCATTTTTTTTTGCCCATTTACCTTTTTTTTCCATTCCACACACACACACAAGGTTAATGGTTAGACGGCCAAGAAATTGTTGTTGAAACAAACGAACGAACGAAAATAAAACAAAACAATTGTCGTCATATTTGAAAAAGTTGGCCATAATCAAGGCCAGAACAATAATTTATACTTTTCACACTATGAAATTCATAACGAAAAAAAAAACAAAATTCCTTCAACAAAATAAAAGATTATCAAATCAAACCAAAAACAGAAAAAAAATTGTCATCATCATCATCATTCGATGAGCTATATATATTTATGATAATCGATTAGTTTGGAGAAAAAATAAAAAACATTCACAATAATCAATTATTACTAAAGGTGAATAGAAATTTCATTGTTATGATTATGAAACAACATGCCAACCAACCAACCAGCCAACCAACCATTGTCATTTATCGTCGTCGTGACACATTTTTGTCACAAATTATTATCTAATAATTCTCATTTTCAATTCAACATTTTCGAACAATTGCATCAATCATTCATTCATTCATTCATTGATTTAATTTGAAATGAAATAAAATCACCAAATAATAAATACGATGTGATGATGAAACCCTTTCAATGAATGAATGATAACAAGAAAAAAAAATTCATAATTATCAATGAACGAATTGACATAATGTACCAAATTTTGTTTATTTTTTTCTGTTCCAAAAGTATTGTCAGGTGAACATGAATTTTTCGACTGTGATTTTTTTTCCATTTTCATAATCATCATCATCATCATCATCATCATCATACATCTTAATCTGAATGAGAGGGAAAATAAAACGTTTTCAAGGAGGATTCACAAAAAAATAATAAATCAATTTGTTGCATTATGATGATGATGGAACATCGTTTGAGCATCATCATCATCATTGATAACATTGGACATTGAACAAAACAATTGCATAATTCTAAAAGAATGATGAAAAAAAAAAACAAACATGAACACAACAAACACATAAAGATGCTATATTTGTAGAAATAAAGAGAAACAAAAAAAAAAAATAACAACAAGGATCGTCAAGGATTGTTCCAAGTTTACAGTAAAAAAGAAAAAAAAAAAATGAAAATTGAAAGATGAGAAAGAAAACGAAGAACTTGTATATTATTAATTTATTTATATTGGGAGATTTATTGGTTATATCATTATTACATATAACGATGAATTGAATCAAATTGAATGAAATGATTTTTTTTCCGATTGATGCCAATTATTGATTTATGATATTCTATATGACTTTTGTGTTGTGTGTGTGTGTGTGTGTGATGATGATGATGATGATGACCAGCCAACGACCTTGTTGTAAGTGTGTGTGTAGCCAAGGTGAATTTTTTTTTATATTTTATTTTATTTCGGTTGAATGGATTTTTTATTTTTTGCTGTTCATCGACCGGAAAAGGTCAAATTGGGCTAATTCTATTGCTGCTGCTGCTTATGATGATGCAAAACTTGGAAATTATAATTAGACAAGCCTTATGATGCCATATGAATGTCGAAGGTTATTCGTGTGTGTGTTTCCATGGTTGAATAGTCAAAATTTGTTTTTTTTATACTTTTTTTCGAACGTTTTTACTTTTATTTGTGCGAAATAAAAATTGAAAATCAAATAAAGATGATGTCATTTTACTTGAAATTGATTTATTAAAATTTCAATAATTTGTTATTTTTTATTCGTTAGAATTTGACAAATAAAAACCAACAACACACAACAACATTGTTTTCATTTCGTCAAAAAAAAGGTGTGATTTTTTTTTCAGGCCATGGCAAAACACAACAGAATATATATGTATGTGACGATGACCAAACACAAAACATACACACAGGAACACGCTTATAGTTTAAAATTTGTGCTGACAAATTGATTGTCATCATCATCATAAGATTGCTGACGGATCCTATATATTTGGACCATTTTTTTTTGCCTCAATGTCGTTCCCAAAACCTTGATATGATGATATATCAAGCAATGAAAAAAAAAATTCTTCCCATCTTTGAAATTGAATTTTGAATTAATAAAACAACAACAACAACAAAACAAAATCAGATCATAAAAAAAAAATTTTTTCCCCAACAAAAATTTAAAAATTAAACACGATGAAGATTTATTCAATTTTTTCTTTCTTTTATCATCATCATCATCATCATAATCGTTACAACTAGACATAAAATAAAAAACAAGTTAATTCAAGTTACATAATAATTTTTTCAACAATAAAATAAAAAAAATAAATAAATAAATTTTGCAAAAAGAAAAAAAAATTCAAGTTCAAATTTTCAGCAAAAAAAAAAACGAACGAACAAACAAACGAATAATTCAAACTTTGAACTTTGTTTTATGTTTCTTGATAAAAAAAAATTTCTGGACAGTTTTTTTTCCTTCAAAATGAATCAATTCAATTTTTATAAGTTATTTTAGTAGATTTTTTCATTTTAATTTCATTCTTCACCATTTCTTTATCATATCAGTAATGATGGCCATGGTGTCCATGTCCATAACCTGAAAATTTGAAAAAAAAATGAAAATGAAAATTTTGTAAAAATTCGGTAAAAAAAAGTCACACAAACAAACAAACAAACACTTACCATGATGATGTTTTTGTTTATGATAACGTTTAGAATGGCCAACATGTTTTTTACCATAACCATGTCCATACCCATGATGGCCATGTTTTTTCCACACATGTTTGATTTTCAATTTATGGCCATGATGACCATGATGATGATAGGCTTCAGTATTGATAAACATTAAGCTTAATACAGTAAGCATAGCGATAATCAGAATGAATTTCATTTTTTTGTTTGTTTGTTTTTTGTTTTTTGGTTGTTGAAAAATACAATAAAATATCAGGATGACAAATCACAATGATCGATCGAATTGAATACAAATAGTGATCTGATTCCATTTGGATCAATTCGATGGATTTTTATATCCAAAAAAAATTGAATCAAAAAAAAATTGAAAATTGAAAACATGATTTCTTATGAATAAAATTTCTGGTGACAAACGGTAACAATATCTCAACATTTCAATGTCATTCTATTTCTTTTTTTTTCATCTACATATATTGATAAGTGGATAAAATTAAACCTGTCTGTCCAAAAATCTAAAGAAATGGAAACAAAACAGCAAAATAAAAAAATTTCAATCATTTCATCAATTGTCATCTTTTTTTTCTCCAAATGATTTCTTGTTTGTTTGTTTGTTTGTTTCATTTTCTGGTGGTACAACCGGTATTTCATTTTGTTTGTTTGTCGAAATACACACACGCACACACATTTGGCCACAAACATGAAACAATCAGTTTTTAGTCAATGAAAAAAAAATTATCCATTCAAGTTATTGATAAATCGATATATTGAGAAAACATGTGAAAAAAAAGTATATTTTGAAATAGCTGAAGAAAAAAAAATAGAAAACAAAACGCACACACACACAAGAATGATAATGACAAGTGAAATTTTCATGTTTTTGTTGTTGTTGTTGTTGTTGTTTTTGAAACAATCAACAATGCAGCCGGATGTAGAAATTGTTCTTGTCCTACAAAATAAATGTTTACGCAAATGTTTATTTGTATTTGCTGTTATTTTTTTCATCATCATCATCATTATCATACATTTATTGTAAATTTTATTCGTCGTCCAAAGTAGACGCACGCACCATCATCTTCATGTTTTAGATAATTTTTTTTTTTTTTTTTTGGATCGAGGACCTAATTTTATTAATTATCCTCGAACACACATGATGGCGTAATGATAATAGTCATTTCATTCTTTTTCACAATTTCCCATGTTGATCAATAAATTTTTATATTTGTATGTTGGAAAATTCATTATCAAATTGAATGATAAAGACAGGATGATGATGTTAATAAACGTATTTCAAGTAAGAAGAACAAAAAAATATGTAGGCCGAACATTTTCTCTAGTTTAAATTAAACGAATTATAAATTATCGATTCTTCACTTATATGATCATGATTATAATTTGACACATATGATTATATTTAATTGAATTATATATCTGTTCCCATAAATCTTGTTCTCAATAAATAAGCATTCAGAAAAATTGAATCCAATTTTTGATCGTAAATTCAATTCCATCGAAATCCGTGTTAGATAAGATGTTAATAAGAGACACACAAATCAATACGTAATATTCATAGAAAATATCACCCTTATCATCGATTTTCAACATAAATGGATTTTCATAGATTCGTTATTTCGTTCGTTTTTTTTCCTGTTGATTATTGGAACGTTCAGTCATTGATTTTTTTTTTTGCTGTTGTTTTTGGCACATTTGAATGAATGGATATTTTATGATAATTGATAAGAACAGGTCTCATATGATCGCGTCCATAATTTCTTTTTCTTACCTTCATTACATTGCCATAATCATCATCATCATCATCACCATCAGCATCGTTGTTGTCCTTCTTTCATCAACATTATGTTATGTAACGACGAGGACAGCCACAATTTCTAGGATAATTTACGCAATTTTATATCGAATAATACAATCACAAATGAATCGATTAATTGATTTTTTCCGAATAAAATGGATTTGAGAAATATATTATATTGATTGATTGATAATTTGAAAATCGGACCAGAAAAGCGACATCTGGTGATTAGTGTATGGATTTCTTATGAATGAAGATCACATGTTTTGTTGGTTTTTGAATTTTTTTACATTTTTATAACCATGGTTATTGCAATCGGTTTTGAAGGATCGGCCAATAAATTAGGTATTGGCATCGTTCGTGATGGTGAAGTATTGGCCAATCCTCGTGTTACTTATATTACGCCACCGGGTGAAGGATTTCAGCCAAGATTTACTGCCGCACATCATCGATCTCGGATATTGAATCTTTTGACAGAAGCACTGAAAATCAGTGGTCTTAAATCCGAAGATATTGATGTGATATGTTATACTAAAGGACCAGGAATGGGGGCACCATTAGTCTCTGTTGCTGTTGTTGCTAGATGTTTATCTCTATTATGGAACAAACCGATCGTTGGTGTAAATCATTGCATTGGACGTAAGTTTCATTGGACCGATACTTTTCATATCCATACAATTAATGTACATATTCTTAGATATCGAAATGGGACGTTTAGTAACTGGATCAGATAATCCTACCGTTTTATATGTCAGTGGTGGTAATACACAAGTGATTGCTTATAGTGAGAAAAAATATCGTATTTTTGGTGAAACTATTGATATTGCCATCGGTAATTGTTTAGATCGATTTGCACGCATTCTTAAGCTTTCAAATGATCCTAGTCCAGGCTATAACATTGAACAGATGGCTAAAAAGTAAGATTTCTGAGCTATATTAAAAATCCATTTAATTTATTTGAAAACATTTTAGGGGCAAAAAATTCGTTCATCTACCATACGTAGTAAAAGGAATGGATGTTTCATTTTCCGGCATCATTTCATTTATTGAGCCAAAAATTGATAAATGGCTCGAAAGTGGTGAATACACCAAAGAGGATCTATGTTTTTCCGTTCAGGAAACAATGTTTGCCATGTTGGTCGAAACGACTGAACGTGCTATGGCTCATACTGGATCCAATGAAGTACTGATTGTAGGTGGTGTTGGCTGTAATCTTCGATTACAGGAAATGATGCGTATAATGGCCGAAGAACGTAATGCCAAATTACATGCCACTGATGATCGATATTGTATCGATAATGGTGCTATGATTGCCTATACTGGTGCATTAATGTATAAAGCTGGACAAAAGACTGATTTTGATGATACATTCTGTACGCAAAGATTTCGTACGGATGATGTTTTAGTCACGTGGAGAGATTAGGACATTAGATTAAAAATTTTGAATTTGAATAAAATTTAATTTTTTTAAACTGAAATTTTTTTTTTCGAAATTATTAAACTTTGTAAAGCGCAAAAATTGAATAGCGATACAATAGTGTCGGCTATTTCGACTCACTCACATGGATCATTGTTTTTTTTTATAAATTTTTTCTCACACTCATCATGTCCAACTGATTGATGATTGGAGAGAAAAAATTTATAAAAAATACCAAGAAAAATTTTTGGTGTGAATAGTTTTTTCTCGATTTATCCATAATATTTTTGATAATGAATTTTCAGCATAAATGGCAATCAAATTAGCTCCAAAATTGACCGCATCTTTGAGATTTGTATTCGAAGATTTGTTATAAATTTCTAAAACGTTCGTTTAACAAAATCGTACATCAAAACATGGAAGATCTAGTAGCACCTATTATCGATATAAAATTCGATATTGAAAGAGATCTTGATGAACAGATTGGAGCATTACCATTACCATTTCCAGGTATGGATAAATCTGGTTCGGCTACCTGTGTGTTCCATATTCGTGGTATTTGTCAACGTGGATCAATGTGTCCATATCGACATATTAAACCGGATCGTACAGTTGTTTGTAAACATTGGCTTCGTGGTCTATGCAAAAAAGGTTGGTGTCAGAACAACAATTAAAACGGATTGATTAATAAACCTCTTTCAAAAAAAACTAATTTCAAAGGTGATTCATGCGAATTTTTGCATGAATATAACATGTCCAAGATGCCTGAATGTTATTTCTATTCAAAATTTCGTGCCTGCAGTAATAAAGAATGTCCATTTTTACATATTGATCCGGAAACAAAGATAAAAGATTGTCCTTGGTATGATCGTGGATTCTGTCGCCATGGCCCCAATTGTCGTCATCGTCATACACGTCGTGTTGCATGTCTAAATTATCTTTGTGGATTCTGTCCGGATGGTCCTGGCTGTAAATTTATTCATATGCGTTTCGATATACCTATAAGTGCAGCAAATTCAACCGATCCATCAGCACCGAAAAAACCTGGTGTTATTTGTCATTATTGTAATGAAGTTGGCCATAAAATTTATACATGTAATCAGATTCCACCTGAACAGCGGGATGAACTTATTCAAAGATTTAGCGAACAGGTAATAACTGTAAAAATGAATTACGAAACTAACGAAAATTTTTTTTCTTTTAAAAATCTAGTATAACTTTCACTATGTTAGTCATGAAAATCGTCATTATCAAAATCATCATCATCATCACCATCAACAACAACAACAACAACAACATCAGCAGCAGCAGCAACAACAACAACAACAACCACAACAGCAACAACAACAATCAAATAATTCTGATGAGCAGACAAATCAACCGAAACCTAAACCATCATATCGGCCATTAGATCAAGTTACCTGTTTTAAATGTGGTGAAAAAGGACATTATGCAAATAAATGTCCAAAAGGCTATCTTGCATTCCTAAGTCCGGCACTGAAAGATTTACATCAGAAACGTAATCAACAATCATCGAATAATGCCAGCATGGATCAATCAGAATCTTAATCATATTTGTAAATATATTAATTTTGATAATGAATTCGGGTGGTGGAGTGTGTGTGGAGAAAACACAAACAACAACAAATTTTGCATCATTCATTCATATTATATCATTTAATAATTATCATTTATTGTATCATGTAAATACAAATTATCAATTATTAATAATTGTTAATTATTAACAAGAAGGAAATGGACGTTCGAATTCCATCTTGGGAGTTGAGAAACGATTTCTACATAGATAGGTAGCGACAACTTGTGCCACCGAATCAGGATCATCTTCCTGTATGACGTGACCAACACGTGGAAGAATTTGCATTTGAAATTTACCTTGCATTTGACCCACGGTCATTGGACCATCTAGACGATCTACACCGGCCAATAATAAAAGTTTGGCACCACCTTTGGAATTGAGAAATATTTGTGACAGATTATCAAACCATTCCATCCAGAATGGTTCTGTATGAGCCAGATTAATTCGCCAAACAAATTGTTTGATTGATAATTGATGGTCATCCGGTGTAGCGATAACCGTTTTATCTTCTTTTGTGGGTGAATTTTCACTTAATGTCGATAGACCAAATGAATTTGCGGGCATACTATCAGTATGATGGGATTCTTCAGGTGTTTCTGGTCTACTTTCTGCCACCAAATCGGCTGCACAAATTCCAGTTTGACTGTGTTTAATCTGTCCAGGCATCGAAATTCTAGCAGATTCTAAATTCTTTGTTTGATTACTACGAACACACCATTCGATTGCTTGTTCGATGGATTTAAAACCAGAAGGTCGTGATTGAAGTACTTGTTGCATCTGAGATAATGCTTGTTTAGCCGTTCCTTCGACAACATCAATCACAATCAATCCAAGTATTCGTGAATTAATCGATGATTCGCAACATTTATCAGCAAAATGAGCTGCCAATGCTCCACCCATACTGTGGCCCATTAGGATAAGTTCTGGCATCGATTCATCAAACATTTTCAGTAATACCTGAGTAATATCATTGACCATTGTGGCAATGCTTAGATCTTCATCATTTGCCGACCGTGTTGAACCATGGCCACGAATATCGATGGCCATTATACGAACATGACAAATTTCAACCAATGATTTAACAAATAATGACCAGGTAAGTGCACTGAAACCTCCACCATGTAATAGCAGCAACAGAGGCATGTGATCTACTGATTCAGCTTGTTCATGTATATAAACACGGAAAACATCGCCATCATTAATGGTAATATCTTGTTGAGCGGTAAAATATTGTGACCAATGGGCAGGTGTAAAATCACGATCAGATTTTCTCCGCAATGCAAAATGTTTCGAGGTTAATAATCGTCCAGAAGATGGTGGTGGTCTTGACATACCAGATAATGATGGAAGAAATTTACGCATATGCTGTGGTAAACCCGAGGGATGTTGCATTATTTTCTTGTAAAAATTTAATTCGTTGATTGACTAAATGCCAAAATTGAATACAAAAAAAAAAATTTCCTATTCGATTCTTAGTAAAATAGATTGATGACTATATGACACAATCATTTTATCAATTATCAAATTGATAAACTAAAACTAATAATGAAAATTATAGTTAAAAACAAGTAGTTGTTAAAAAAAAAATCTGAATTATAACAATAAACAACAAAAATTGGGTCAAGAATCAAATCAAAATCGACTATGTCTACCTAACCGTGTTTAAATCCTTCAGTGCTAAAAATTCCAAATGAAAACAAAAGATTCGAATTTTTAGATTTTAATTAATTAAAAATCAAGAATCCACCCACACACCATCAATATTGATCGATTGATCGGATGAATAATCTGGTAAATTAGCTACATTCTGTCAATCATTTTGTTCATTTTCAATAAAAAAAACATTGAATCAATGCTAATACAAATTGAGCGATACATGTACAATGTATTTTGTATATGAAATGGGGTGTCAATGTTTTGTGCTCATATAATGATTATTTTATTTGGGTAGAAGTATGTGTGTAGGCGTGATTGAACGGTGGATGCGCATTTAGATGATGATGATGACAGGGAAGAAAAAAAGACGAAGAGAAAATCAACAAACGACAGCAACAACCTAACTTTCATTCAATACAATTGCAACATTTGGCTGTGTTTCACCAGTTAGCATCAATAACGACTGCAAATACTCATTCAAATTGTGACAAAATAATTTTTTTTTTGTTGTGGCGTATTTTGTGACAAGACAAATGCGTTTGGATTCAAAAAATAACTTCAATTCGATCAACCTACGAATGAATTGAATTATATCAACATTTTTTTCTCAAATATACAAATCTAATAAATTCAATAGTTTTTATTGTGGAATTTTTTTCTTGATTCTGGATAAGCCTGGTAAGTTGAGATATTCTATTTTCTATTGAGATTTATTTTTTCCTGACATCGATTAATGATTTTGATTCATTTGAGACGTCTTTTTTTTGTTTCTTATCATTTGTGTTTTTTCTTTTCTTATTTGGATTCGTCATCAACCATTGATGATGGCACACGATGGATGCGTTTCAATTTTTTTTCTTTTCAAAAAAAAAAAAAAATTTTTTTTTTTGTATATTTGCACTGATCATGCTTCCTTCCAACATGTCTTATTTGTGCTTGTGTCAAAATTGTTGGTTATAAGAAAAAAAAATTGAAAAATAGATAACATGGTAGCCAATTAAATGAACCAGAGCAAAAATAATGTCATAGCCCTTGGATTCGGCGCATCTTGTGATGAGAAAAAAAAACGAAATAAAAAAAAAATACAAGCGAATGATCATGTATTCCATGGTTCATTTTTTTACCATTAGTTTTTTCTTTACTCTCTGATTAAAATCATTAATCCACTTACCACTCATAATAGTCTAATATTTTTTTTTGTTATTAATTAATAATAAAAATAAGATGATCATCTTACGATCATAAGGTGCTTAGTTTTGATTCGTAAGTTTTTTCTCTCTTATATGAACCAAATAAAACTAATAATAAGAATAATAATATGGCAACTAAGAATAAAGAATTAGGCAAATTCATTCAAGTGCAAAAAAAAATATATTTTTGTTCTATTATAATAATGCTGAGAATTTCGATAAGACAACGAAACTTGATACTTTACATTTTTTTTATTCATTTTTTTATTTTGTTTGTGGTTTTTAAAACATATGACATGATTGTATTCACACATGATCATCGAAACTATATTTGGTTTATTTGGACCGATTTTGTTTTTTTCTTGTTTCTAACAACAATCTAACAATAGATTATTATTTTTTTTTTTTGCTGTCGGAATTTGTCAAAATATTATATAATAAGCGAGATTACGGTTGACATACGGCGATTATTTGGAAATCTTTTTTTTTATTCCCCTCTTTTCTATAGTTTCCAATAATGATTTATCTAGAATACTAATTCACAAGTTGTGAAATTCAAAACGGCCACAATTCATTCAGTTTATTCATATTGATATTTAGTGGTTGTTTTCACATAAGTACAAAGCTAAAGAAAGAACGAATAAAACAGGATATATAGGATTCTATATAGTTAGCGAGAGATTTTGTGCTCGAATTTTGTTTTATATTTTTTTCCAGGCTACTGTTGTTGTATTCAATATATTGAATTTATTTTCACATCATCATCATCATTATTATTATTACTACGTTATAACGGAAATTTATATTTTGGCCAACACGATAGCTCGTTTTTTCCGATTTGTTTTTTTTTTTTTTGAATCTTCATTCATTAGAATTGATTTTTTGTACCTATTGCTTTTGGTCACGTATGTTTTGTAAATTAAAATTTTATTCTCTAATCAAGTGTTTTTCGTTTTTTTTTTTTTTCAAGGCAATATATTTGATCTATTTTTCTAACAAAAAATGTCGTACGCTTATTTATTCAAATACATAATCATCGGTGATACCGGTGTTGGTAAATCATGTCTATTGTTACAATTTACCGATAAACGTTTTCAACCGGTTCATGATTTAACAATTGGCGTTGAATTTGGTGCCCGTATGATTACGATTGAAAATAAACAGATTAAATTGCAAATATGGGATACGGTATGTATTTTTTTGGAATTTATTTATTTTTTCCAATTTGATGATTGATTTTTTTGCTCATATCAGGCTGGTCAAGAAGCTTTCCGTTCTATCACACGATCTTATTATCGAGGTGCCGCTGGTGCATTGTTGGTCTATGATATTACTCGTCGTGAAACATTTAATCATTTGACCACTTGGCTAGAAGATGCACGACAACATTCCAATTCATCAATGGTTACCATGTTGATTGGTAATAAATGTGATTTAGAATCACGTCGTGAAGTTCGCCGTGAAGAGGGAGAAGCATTTGCACGTGAACATGGCCTAATATTTATGGAAACATCGGCAAAAACGGCTGCAAATGTTGAAGAAGCTTTTATCAGTACCGCCAAAGAGATTTATAACAGAATTCAAGAAGGCGTCTTTGATATTAACAATGAGGTTTGTTCTTTCATTTCAAATTCCAAACATGATCATTATCATTGAAATGTAAATTTAGGCAAACGGAATAAAAATTGGACCACAATTATCTCCATCAAATCAGAAATCTTCATCTGGTAATCAGGCACTTGGTACTGGTGGTGGATGCTGTTAAGATGTTCATATGGATATAATAGACATTCATCGTCATGATCATCAATTTGTTCATCCATTAATTTTTTAATTTTTAACAACAAAATCCATTAACAAAAATGTACGTCATTCATCATGAAATAATCGGCAAACGAATAAATAACAAACAAAATCTGTCTTTTACTTTCTATTCTTATCATCATTATCGATTGCAAATCAATTTTTTTTTCAATCACCATTTGCCACTACCTACCTATAACAATATTGATAGTCCGCAAGCCTTTAATTTTTTCTCCATTTTTCGATTGAAACTTTATTTTCAAATTTTATTTCAAAAATTCAGCTTAATCGATTCAACAAAGAAATTCATGAACGACCAAAAGAAAAAAAATACATTTCAAACTAGTCATCATCAAGAATGAATGTTCGAATAATAACTTATTGGTGAGGAATTGGTAATAAGGAATTTGTCCGAAGTGAAAAATTATTTTATCCTGGCTATATTGTTAATTGTTTACTTATACCACATTTTTTTCCTCCTCTTCCTTCTTGATATTCTTTCATTTTTCAAAAATGACACATTCCTTTCAATCTGATTTCTTTTTTCTCTCTCTCTGTCTCTCCTCATCATCTCCATTCATTTATTCAAAATTCAAATACAAAAATTTCCATTTACACCATCACTACACCACCAACCAAAATGGAAAAAAATTCATTTTAAATTTTTGACCTTTAATATCACTTACAAATTACACAACAAACATATTTACTTTGCAAATTAAAAAAAAAATTGATTACAATCTACGGTTTATTTGTTTCAGGTTGTTTTTGTTTTTCCGTTTCCTCTTGATTCCAATCTTGAAGACCTTTCGGTAAGGTTGTGTCCTCTTCAAGGCTACCAGTTCCTTCGACAAATTCTTCATATGTAGATTTTTCTTTGAATGGACGTTTACCTAAAAGTTCAATCATATCTTCACGATCTAGAATTTCTTTTTCTAATAAACGTTTTGCTACCTGTGGTCGGAGATGAATGATTAATTTTAAACAATAGACATGTATTTCGAACATACCTTTTCTACATTAGATTTATGTTGCGTTAACAGATCGATTGTTCGTTGATATGATCGACTAACAAGATCTCTGACTTCTTGATCAATCAGCTGAGCTGTTTCTTCGCTATATGGTTTATCAATGACTAATTCACCTTTGTCAGGCATATCGAATGAAAGATTACCAACTTTTTCACTCATACCAAGCTGAACGATTTGTGAATAGGCAATTTTTGTTACCTTTTGAAGATCATCTTGTGCACCTGATGTAATACGGTTGAAAAATATCTGCTCTGAAGCTCGACCACCTAATGTCATACACATTCGATCAAATAATTGTTCTTTTGTATAAAGATATTGCTCTTTTGGCAAATATTGTGCATAACCCAATCCCATGCCACGAGGTATAATCGATACTTTGAGCAACGGATCGGCATGTTCCAGAAACCAACCGCAAACAGCATGACCAGCTTCATGATAGGCGACAGTCTTTTTCTCTTCTGGTTGCAATACTTTTGTTTTCTTTTCCAATCCAGCCACGACACGTTCAATTGCGGCTTCAAAATTTTTAAATGTAATTGATTGACTCAGATCACGAGCGGCTATTAATGCAGCTTCATTGCATACATTTGCAATATCTGCACCAGTGAATCCGGGCGTCAATGCAGCTAATTTACGGGCAATTTCCGATTTATCCAGATCAGTTTTTAATGGTTGTAGATGGACTTTGAAAATTGAAGCTCGACCTTTGATATCTGGTGGTGGGACAAATATTTGTCGATCGAAACGACCCGGCCTTAGCAGTGCTTTATCAAGAATATCTATACGATTAGTAGCGGCCAATACAACGACATTGGAAGCCGTATTAAAACCATCCATTTCGACCAATAATTGATTCAATGTATTTTCCTGTTCGCTATGGCCACCTATATTGCGACCACCACGTTTACGACCAACGGCATCAATTTCATCAATAAATAAAATGCATGGAGCATTTTTACGTGCCATTGCAAACATATCTCGAACACGTGAAGGACCAACACCGACAAACATTTCGAGAAACTCTGAGCCAGATACGGTGATGAAAGGCACTTTAGCTTCACCAGCTGTAGCTTTAGCTAATAAAGTTTTACCAGTACCTGGTGGTCCAGTTAGAAGGGCACCTTTTGGAATCTTAGCACCCAATTCGGTGTATCGTGATGGATTCTTTAGAAAATTGACAAATTCCATAATTTCCAATTTAGCCTCTTCACAGCCAGCTACATCCCTATAAATGAAAATTGGTTAAATAAACTTTTTTTAGACAAACAACTTTTTTTGAAAATTACTTGAATTTAACAGAGATATCTTTTGGATTTATCAATTTAGCCGTAGATTCACCCATACCGAAAATTCCACCTCCTTTTCGTGCTCCACCCATAACATTGCTTGCTCTACGCATTGACCATAATATTAAACCAATGATCAAAACTGTTGGCAGAAACGAAATCACATGGGAACTAGTAGATTGGATTGATTATTAATTCGACATTGAAAACATTCAAAAAAATCATACCTATCAATTTCATTTTTATAAACAACGGGTGTAAAATTAGCCGGTTCAATATTCATTTCAAGTTGAATATTTTCCAAATTACGTTCGAATGTTTCGACACTGCCAATGTTGAACCAAAGTGTGGTGTTGGTAGCAACAGGAGCTCCAGGCATAAATTTTACTCGTACCCATTTTTTATTAACAACTTCAAGTTTTTCCATCATTCCACCCTGAAGATATTGATTGATAAATTCTTTCCAAGTAATTTCACGATATCGGATTTTGAAAAATGAATAGGCCATCAATAATGTAAAAGTGCCGGCAAAACCGATCAATGACCACATGTTTGGATCAGTTGGTTTAGGTCCACCAGTCCCACCTCCTCCTCCACCACCACCAGGTCGTGTACCAAAAGAAAATTTAAATTCAATTTCTTTCGGTTTCTCTGCTCCGGATTGCTGTTGTTGAGTTTTCGGTTGTTGTTGCTGTTGTTGTGATTGTTGAGGTTTTTGTCTGGGAAAAAATTTACCAAATCCATCGGGAATTTTTTGTTGTTGATCATTCAACAGTCGAAAATCTCTGACCAAACGATAATAGAAATTACGAAATAAACGCAATTGTTTACCTCTTAAATTCGGTATGAATGAAAGCATTTCGAAAGCATAAAATAATTGTTTTCGACAAGATGAAATATTATTATTAATACCACGAGCTTCGAGATTAATGGAACGAATCAATAGATGTCGGGATCGTGTCAATAAGAATGGACGTTCATGTCGAACACATACATGTGATAGACGAATAAAATTATTTATTATTGACATTACGTAATGATTGCAAATGCGCTATTCATTGAATATAAATGTCGTGTTTGTAACTGAAATAAATGAATGAATAAAGCAATTAAATAAAATTATTATTATTATTAATCAATCCATCCGAACAAATCAATTATTCACTGATTATGAATCGGACAAATTGTTTCCGAATCGAAGGAATTATTATTTTTCAATCAAATCATGTGTAGCTGTGGCTGCAGCAGCAGCAGCAGAATCTTGCTTTCGATCAAAACTATTTCCACATCACAAGGATAATAAATGTCATTTTTGAAATTTAATTTCTTTCTCAAAATTTGTTTCCGTTACTAATCATTTTTAAATAAAAATTTTGCTCATGAAAAATTTGCAATAATCTGGGATGATGATACATTTCAATGCCAAAATAATTCTCATGTTAAATTATATAAAAAAATTATTTCAAATAATAATCTTATTAGTAGTAATAGTAATTATATAATTGAAAATAATAATAATAAAAAAATTGAAGGCCAAAAATGGATAAAATCGACAACAAAACTTTCATTTAAACTGATGGTTACGGCAAGGAAAGAATCAAATTAATTTTACCATGACGATTATTATTCTGTATATTATTGCCATAAAGTATCCATGTTATGGACGATTTTTGTATCAATAAATGAGCGCTCAAATTGATCGGAATGAGTACACAATCCGAATTAGAATGTTCGGTCTGCACCATTGAATTCTCATCACCAACAGTAACATCATAGATGGCTAAGGATTCTGTTTGACTTAGATTATGCAAAGTGATCACATGATCAAAAAGAAACATTTCTATTTCGATACAAGGTATAACTTCGAAATATAATTCTCGTGTGACTATTCGATTACGACCATCTGATGATTGATAGCACAGTCTAAAATAGATGACATATTCATCAATGTTTGGCGGTATTTGCATCGATAGATTCATTTGTTGATTTAGATCTTTAATTATGTATTGAGCTTCGAATCGATTATCAATGCTTTCATCTGAACGATTCAAGTTCCAAACATAGAAATCTTTTGTATTTGTACTCAATTGTATCGAATTGAATTCATTTTGAGAAACATTCGTTTCGAATGAAATTCCATAGGTAAGTATTTCGGATCCATATACTTTTTTCGGAATTTTGATTCGATTAGTGGATAAATATTGTTCAATCGGACATTCGCGTGTATTAATGTGAAGTTCATTAAAATGAACATTGAACATTATTAATGGTAATGCTTGTATCGATAGGAATGCCAGAGAATTTTGGGTTTTTTGTTTGAAATAGTACTCAAAATTTAGCCCTTCTATTTGATAATTAAGGCCAATAAATGAGAATTCCGATTCAAACTTTGAGATGAATTTCAGAATTAAATGATTTTTTTCATTGGGTCGAGCAGTGATTGGTTGGAAATGAACAATCGGTGTTATATGGTCTGGTTTATCGGGTATAAATGAAATGTTTGATATGGTCAATTCGAATGGAACAACAATAGTCAGTTGAACGTGTACTTCTTCACCGACAAAACAAGTTGTTCGAATCAATTTTCGTGGTACCAATAGACTTTTTTCACCCAATTGTATCGAATCTGGTGATGTAAATTCAATTTGATCAATGTATGGAATATCTAAGATGTATAGATTTGCTGATTGCACTTGTTGTGTATCACTGGAATTATTGGAAATTTTTTTCAATTCACGTGAAAATTCATTGAAAAAAATTTGTTTATGTGAAAATTTTCGAAATATTTCCAATCCTTTTTGAAAATATTCGGCTTGTTTACGGAAATTATTTGCCGATGCTATCGATAAAAATAATCGGGCTACAGTTAAATTAACGTGATCGGATGCCGCTTCCCAATTTGGATAATTATAACGACGATAACAGAACAGAGCAAAATGCTTCAGACCACAACGATTATAACGATGACCAGCCAGTATATAATGGAATGCTGCTTTACGATATCTAGATCCCAATGCACTGACACGATCATCAGTAAAAGATTTTTCAATTGCATTCAATAACGTTTGGCTTGCAGATGATCGTGTCAAAGGTAATTTTGGTGACATTAATAAATAACATTTGGATGCTTGTTCTAGAAATAAAGCCGAACGAAGATCAGAATCATCACCGGTCATTCGAATGTAAAGGTTGGCAGCATCATTATAACGATGTAATTGACATAATAATTCTGATGCCAGAATGGTTGCTCGTGTAGCGAGATTTACAGAACGGCAAAGATCAATATAAGTTGTAATCGCTTGTTCCATGTGATTATGGTGATATTTATTAAGAAAATATGACGAAATGGCGCTCATTTCCGAAGCTCCTGCATAATATATCCATGCTGATTCAGATTGAAAATCTTTTCTAGCAGCATAATAAAGACTATAAGCCATTTCATATATATTGAATATCATACAAATATCGGCCAATTTTCTTTGTTGCATTTCTTGAGCATCAGGAATATAAATTACACCTGAACTTCCTAGCGACTTGGATAAGCCAACCGTCGATGAAGACATATTGCTTAGCAATGATTTAGTTGCACTGAATATACTTTTACGGAAACCTCGACGTTGAGCAATTAGCTCACCAAGAATTTTAATCTGACGTTCAGCCCATGGGATAAGGAATTTGGATATGAATTCTCTGTCAACAAAGACTATTAGTATTAGACAAATTAATAAATTGATGAATAAAGGTATACCTGAGCATGAAATCGATAGTTTCGGAAACCGAATCCATTATTTCTTTCAGATGATCATGGATGGATAAATGAGATAGCCAATCATTAATAATATCACGTGATTGTAACGAAGGAGTTGTTGTTGAGCTATTATTTTGTTGTTGTTGGCTTTGTTGCCGCTGTGATTGAAGTTCCTGATAGAATTTGGAATTCTCACGATTCGTTTCTGAACTAACACTGAGCGGATCAGTAGCATTAATATCACCCATAATATTTTCATTATTTGCATCTGGGATTTGATTACCAGTTGCATCAATCGTTGATTTGAACGGATCATCAGGACGAGTATTTGATAATGATACACCATTTACATCGATATAAAAGACAAATGAATTCGGAAAATCAAGCTTTAGATTTTGACATGTTTTAGTGAATTCATCAGCAGTTGTTGATAATGGTGAATCAAGTATCTGATCACTCAATACGATGAAGTAACGAACAAAATCCGCTTGAATGAAACGAAGTGTAGAATTTTGTTTCACCTGTCAACCAAGGAGAAAATTATAATAGAAATGTCATTTTATAAACAGTACTGACCGATGCACAAAGACGTTCGAAAATAACTTTATAATGAGGTAATTCAGTTTTGGTTATCACGAAAAAACATCCACAATTTGTACCGATAAAATCATGTTCCGTTGGTTCAAATGTATCGATGAAGACATTTTTCCACATATCATACCATGGTGTTTCATTCGTAAAACTATCATCATCATTAACATTATCATCATCATTTTGTTGCATCAAATATGCATTCGACATGGAAGCTATAATATCCGAATGAAGTTTTTTAAGCTGTGAACCATTCGGCCGATTTTTGAATTGATCAACATCAAAAAAACGAAAGCGTATCTTATTCAGTGCATAAGCATTGTGACCATTAAGATCGCGGATTGTCACTGTTGGAAAATAAAAAAAAAATCTTATTATAATACGAATTATTTGCAGAATTAATATGACTAACAATGAAGATTTGCAATGGATGCAAATTGATTCAGGATCGAGGCAAATGTTACATTGTCGAAACAATTTCTTACAAATTGTTTAGCATGATCGGTCAATACAAGTACAATATTACAAGAGAATAATTTTGATACAAGTTCTTCATATGAAGAATTATTATTAACGATCGTATGTGTTGATACCAACGATGAAATGGAATTATTACTATTGACATATTTCATCTTTGTCTATTTACAATTGATAATTTTTTTTTGGTATAAATATTGTTTATATAAATGATGTAAATTATAGAAGCAAGAAAGGAAACGAATAAAATCACCAAGAATCTACAAAAATTCGGCCATGAGATCTTAAATAAAACGACGATATATAGAGTTGTGAGAAAAATTAAAATATGCCAGGTGTAGTATAGTAATATGCCATTTTTTTATAAATTATAGTTGATTGGCATCGAAAAAATTCTTATAATCATATAATGGCTATATGAGCCCTATGTGTTTGATTGAATCAAAATAGCGAACAAACACACAGCTTTTCTCTTTTCTTTTTCTGTTGTAGAGGACATATAGCTGGAGTGTGTCGTCCACACGGATGATATTATCGATGTTAAATATTCAATAAAAGAATTGAAAGAAAAAAGTTAGTGATAGTGAGAGAGACATTTTGATTCTGGTGATTCAAAATAATTTATAATAATAATTATCACCAATATTTGGCAATCGAAATTTCCTGCCTTTTATAATTTGATATAATTTTGTTCAAATGGCATCCATATTATCGCGTTCGTCATCGAAATGTTTGGCCAACATTAAAAATAAATCGATTAATTTGGCCAATCAAAAGGTATGTAGTTTTTTAAAATTATTTATGCTAATAATTGATTCTGAATGATCATTTAGAACAATGTCTCCTCCTATACAAATGTCAATAATAAACGAAAAATTTTATTGGCCACGGCCGGTGTTGTTGGTGCTGGTACCGTCGGTTTAATTTATAGTCTACATCAATCCGTTAAAGCTATGGATATCTATTGCCATCCACCAGATTATCCATGGCCACATTATGGTTTTTTTAAATCATTCGATCATAAAGCGTAAGCGTTTGTTATTAATAAGATGAATTGAATGCTAAAAAAAATTTATTTAGAATTCGTCGTGGTTATGAGGTATATAAACAAGTTTGTGCCGCTTGCCATAGCCTTAGATTTGTTCGTTACCGTGAATTGATTGGCGTTTCACATACGGAAGATGAAGCACGTGCTGAAGCCGAAGAGGTAATGATCGATAATTTTTTATGACTTTTTTCATTGAAATTATTATAATTAATTCCAGATTCAAGTACAAGATGGTCCAAATGAAGATGGTAAAATGTTTATGCGACCGGGTAAACTATCCGATGCTTTTCCATCGCCATATCCCAATGAAGAAGCTGCACGTGCTGCCAATAATGGTGCATTTCCACCGGATTTGAGTTACATTGTACTTGCGCGACATGGCTACGAGAATTATATTTTCTCATTGCTAACTGGCTATCAGGAAACACCGGCCGGATTGGTTATCGGTGAAGGACAATATTTTAATCCGTATTTCCCCGGTGGTGCCATTTCTATGGCACAAGCATTGTATGATGAAGCTGTAGAATATTCGGATGGTACACCGCCTATTGCATCACAATTGGCTAAAGATGTGACAACATTTTTAGCCTGGTGTGCACAACCCGAGCATGATAAACGTAAAAAATTGCTGATTGACGTAAGTTATTGTTGGAATTCAATTCAATTTTTTTTTTCATTTTTAACCAAAAATTCTTCCATTTCTATCAGTCATTTATCGTTTTGAGTACAATCGGTGTTGCACTGTGGTATTGGAAACGACATATAGGCTCATCACTCAAATCTCGTAAAATTCTTTTCCGTCAGTCACCGTCTTCTTCGAAACCTAAAAATTAGATTTAAAGAATGAAAAAACAAAACAAAACAAAACAACAAATATAGCTGATAAAAATTTAAAGGTTATAAAGGCAGAAAAATTTTTTGCATCGAAAAAAACCAACTCACTATTATTCTTAATTATTCTAATTTTTGAAATTGAAAAAAAAAATTGTAATATGATTTTAGTGCAAAATAATGGTGGAAAAATAAAAAAAAAAATTATAAATAAAATAATTATTGAAAAAAAATTCAATGTTTTTTGATTTTTGTTTCAGAACAAAAAAAAAATTCTGATTTTTATTTTTCCATTCTTAACACAAATGATTAAGCGAAAAAAAACGATTCGTACATTTTTTTTATATATATAAATAATCATGAATTGTACGATGAAGAAAAAAAATGTTGTTGTGATGCTCGTTGCCATTATAAAATACGGCAAAAAAAAAAAAAAATTTGAACAGGAATATAAAATTTTTTTTGACGAATTTGACAATTTTCAATCATGAAAAAAAATGGAAAAAAATGTATGATCACAATTACTAAAGAGGAAAAAAATTCTTTCAGAAAAAAAAGATAAAATCCATGCAAAATAGATAATGTGTTGTGTAAAATGTCGAATGTGTATGTATATATAAGATGAGACGAAAATTCATTCAAAAAAAAAAAAAAAAAAAATATCATCATGCATAAAAGTATTTGACAATTGTGTGTTGAGAGAGTTACAACGAAAATATATGATAAACGCGTTCCTGGTACAATCTATAAATCGAAATAAAAAGGCCATTTGGTTATTAGAATTGATCAATTTAAATTCTTAAAAAAATTTCTTGCAATACATACCATTCAAAACATCAGATATTAGATATTGCACTTGTAAAAGAAACGAACGTTGCATAAAAGTTGATTCAATTTTGAACTAAATGTAGGAAAATCAATCTGTATTTGTTGATGATGATGATGATGATGTTCCATTTTAAAATCTGTCATCAATTCCAATCGTTGTTGATCATTCAATAGTGATAGATTTGAAATATATTTCGGCATAAATGATTCATAAAATTGTGGAAAATCAACTTGAGCTAAATGATAGATGATTGTGAATAGAGATTCTTGTAATAAATCCAACGAATGATCAAGTAATGTTTGCATGAATAGAAAAAGGTATCGTTCACGAAATTTTTCTCTAAAATTCAAACGTTCATATAGTTTTAATTTTTGATTCATCGATTCTAATGCATCAACATTTTGTCGAAATAAATGTATGTTTTCCGGTTGCAAAAATGATTCGCCAATAATTTCCATGATTGAATCAAAATGTCTTTGCTGTTGACTATCAATTACATGATTATGATGATGACCGTTTTGTGTTTTAATCGGCGACGATGACGTTGTTGGCACAACACACTGTTGTTGTATTGAATTGAGTCGTTGTGGAAAAAAATAACGACAATTATTGAGCAAAAGCTCATATAAAAAACCATAATAAACTTTTAACATTTTATGATAGATATCATAATGAAATCCGGTTGAATTTTTAAAATAAATAGTCATCGGTGATTTAACATTGATCATGGTGGTTTGAATTCGAATCACAGCAAAATCAATAATATCCGGCAATATTGTCCGTATAAATGAATTCAATGATTGTTGTCCAATGACAAGAATTAATAATTTTAAAAATTTAATTATCACCCGTAAACCGGGCCATGCTTCACTATTGTTATTATTCGAATTCGATAAACTTGTATCTCTGGAAATGGGTACCATAAAATTATGGCGATTTATTATCTGCAACAGTGACTGTATGGTTCGTTCGACAAAATCCATATGAATACGTGCAAATAAAACTTTGAATACGACAATGAATAATGAAAGGATATGTTCGGTTATCTGACAACCGACAATTGTTGAATTTAATAGTTGATTATGTGTCAACAGCTGTATGAATGCTTCCAAGGATGAATTTAAACTGATCAATAACATTTGTTTACTTTTTAATGGAGAATCTGAATGTGATTTAATCACTTGTTTCAATATGTACAATGATCGACAATAAACATTTGGACATTTTTTTGTTGCTTCAATGTTTTCATCTTGCATAGCAGTAGCTATAATACGATTCGAATCACTAAGATCAAGATCATTAAATAAATGCAAAAAATTTCCGATAAACATATTTAAACAGATTGATCGACGTTCCCAATTTTGTTGTTCATTTGATAGCTGAAACCATGGTAGAATCAAAAAATTTGAAATTGATTGTGAAATTAAAATCTTATCAACAAGCGATGGCAAAATCGATTCGTATTTTCCTTTGTCTGTCACGTTTAATTTCAACAGATTGGATTGAAAATTTTGATCAAAAAGTCTTTGCACCGATTGCAAATTGAATACAAACGATGGTCGAACATTAGCTGAAAATGTATTCAATGTTAATGCTGCACTATGGAACATTTTCTTTTTTGAATCCAAACATTTTGAAATACGCGGCGATTGACAATCGACATTGGCCGTAATCGAATGATGATGATCGATAGTCGATAAATGAGTACAGTTATTATTATCACAGATAATCGAACAACATGTATTGATTATAATGGTAATATGATCAATTGCTTGAGCTATTTGAATCGAATGTTTATCACTGGCACAACAAACTTGTTGATACCATACGATATAAGCTTTGAATGTGGCTATAATTTGTGCTTTGAGCATAAGGAATTCGCTCAAAAATGGATTCGTTGCTGTTGTTTGTCCATACATATCATTATCAAATTTATGCATTTCAATAAAATGTAGAATCTCACATAATTTATCAAATTTCATTTTGATACGAAGAAAATATTTTTCAAATTGTATATCGATGAAATAATTTGCAAAACGTGAAATCACTTGAAGTGTAATGATAAAATCTTCTAAACGTAATTTCAATTGTTCGGTTGGAACATGATTATGATGATCATTCGTTGGTGATGAACAATGATATGATTTTCCATCACCATTTATCATCATTGATGATGGTGTTGGTTTATTATTATTATTATTATTCACTAGAAATTCTAAACCATAATATAGATTCTGTAGTTTTTCATTGTAATAATTATCAATATAATTAATTGTTTCTTCTGGATATATATCGGCGATTTTAGCCACAATTTCTATTGATTGATAAATATAGTTTTCCAATTCTGTTCGACAATCATCTTCAGGTGTTTGATCATCTAAATGTTTAAGATAATCTTGATTACAACTATATTGTATGGAACGTAAAATGAACAATAAAAACGATAATATAGGCTCTTTGATTGATTCGAATTTTTCATCCCTAACGTTTCTTTTATCTTTATGTTGTTTACTGGCTGCAATCTGGTTGATATAATTTTCTAGATAATCAAAATAAACTGACCAGGTATCCAATAACATTAGATAACATTCATATGAATGGCACATTTTTGTCGTAAATTCGAATAATAATTGGAGAAAATCTTTTGTTGGAAACGATATAAATTTTTCAAAACGACCCAAATGATTACCAATGAATAATTTAAGAAAATCAATAAATTTTTTCAGATAATCTTCATCAATCTCATCGAATCTTGTTTCGCCATCATTAGGTGATTTCAAAGATGATGAAACAATCAATTGTAGTATTAGAAATGTATTATGAAATACATTGTAGATGAATTCATTTGCTTCCGAATCGAATGTCGATACTTTTGATATCAATTCATTGATACAGTTCATCGAGATCAGACCTAATTTCGATGAATTATATGATGAATTTATCGAACCGAATGTAGCCAATACATAGAGGGCGGATAATAATGTAGAATTGATGGATTGGAAATAGCTGACGGGCATAAAATCAATGATTTGTGATAAACAAACAAAAATTTGTGATGTAAGGTGAACAAATTCCTGGTCCATTTCTGGTATGGAATGTAATAATCCCTTTTTTAGGCTCATTTGAAAGACATTACCTAATGTATCATTAGCTAGAAATCGAAACGAATCATCAATAATTTGTCGGAAAAATTAAAACAATTCTTCAATATTTACTTACATTTAATGATGTGTGAAAGAATATTCGGTGGACTACCGGCATTACTACGGCTACTACTACTACTGCTATTACTATTCTGATTATGTATCGATGTTGGCGATGGTGGAGGTGTGGCCGAATAATAATTAACATGTTTCGAAATGATTGATTCCAACAATAGGGTTAAAGCTTGTAACATGTTTGGTAATTGCGATTGTAAAATTCGTACCAATTCAATTGTGCCCGCGAAATGATTATGATAAGATTTATTCGATGATAATTCTTCAACCGCAGTTCCTAGTAGATTTAATCCCAATAAAATTAACGTAGCTGAATGTAGTATATTCTGACCAGGATCCGGTGTAAGTAATTCCAGAATATTTGACATAAAATCTGGATATTGATAAGGCCAATCATAACGAGCTATTGTGACTAATATCTTGCAGAATTTATTTCGAATTGCCGGAGTAATGTTAGCATGATTTTCAAACAAATGTTTCCATAATGATGTACGAAATGATTGACGAACATCATTGGATAATGTATGCCATCGTTGATTGATAAATGATTCGATCACAGTTAGGCAGTACATTTTCGTATATTCATTCGATGTACGTTCGAAATAAATGAATGAAATTTGCCATGAATTTGATGTGTTAGAAAATTCGGCAAGTGATTGTTCAATTTGTCGTTTTCGTTCATTACCGGTGATGGGAAGAAAAAATTCATTAATCAAACTTTCTAAACGTAACAATGATTCGGTATCGATGTTTTGAAATGTTTGAATATTGTTCCATTGACATGAACTGTCTTTGAGGATAAAATTATCACTAATTTGATGTTGAGATAAAAGTTGAGACTGTTGCTGTTGTTGTTGTCCATTGATAAGCAGCGAGGATTTATTATTAATTTCGGCCATGGTTTAATGATTGAAAATGGGGTGTGTAGACGAAAGCCGAATAAAATATTTAAAATGTGGAAAAAAATTCAAATTAAAATATCGTTTCTGATCATAATGACCAGAAAAAAATCTGGTTAAATAAGATTCGTAAAATCAAATGAGAATAAAAATTCTGTGTCCGTATCGATTGTTCTATTGTTGATCATTAGTCGATTTCTATGATTAGATTGTGTATTAATTGCAATGTAGTCGATGATAACGTCGTGTTGAAAGGACATTGTATTGTATAGGATGATCTAGTGATGTTTTGATTGATAAACTGTTGACGTTTTTTCCTTCTTTCAATGCGCTAATATCACTATCAATATCGGATGATTCGTTTTTAATAATTAATAATCTTATTCCGAATAATGGTCAGGAATCGAAAATAAAACTTTGAGGATAACAAAAAACAGCAAACAAAAAAAATCATCTGAAAACGTCAATCATTCGATTGATCATAACTATACAAAAAAGGAAAAAAATCGATTGACTATGTTATGATGTTGAACTTTCCTAAGGAAATGTCCTCGATGATAATTTGTTGTCGACAATGGAAATGGTGTGCTGTATGATCGTTGTGTGTTAACGACGAAATAGTTATTTTTTATTTTTGGGGTTGTGCCACCATTCGAAATGGTGGTAATGATGTCAAAATCAGTCAGCAGAAAAAAAAGATCAGCTAAATGGCCAAACAAATGAAGGATAATTTATCTTTGTATTATCTTCTTGTTAATTGACGTTTTTTTTCTGTTCTGTATTGCATATACTACACCGACACACACACACACAAATTAATATACAGAGGTCTTTGTTCGAGGTTAGAGAATTTTTTTTTTAAATTCTTGAATCATTATTGTAAAAAAATCTTGTTGAATACAATTTTCAACGTTGAAATGAATATGATGAGAATATATTGGGTCAAAAATTTCATCATTTGGGCGTGTATGAATTGTTCTTATATAGGAAATATACTGTCCATATATAGGATCCATAATTCATTTGATGATGAATTAGTGTGAAACAGAAATGACCAAAAAAAAAAAAAAAAAAAAAATTCATTCACTCTGCAGTCACAGATATTGGTGGTCGTCAACGTCGTTATTGTCGTCTTGTTGAAAATATATGAAAAATTCATTGCAAAAAAAAAATCTATTAAACTGACTACTATGAGTATAACTGATTTGAGTATGTGTGAGTTTTGCAGACGCGTTTCATGCATCCATATGGATACACTATCCACTTTGTTCAACATTATTCTTCTTCTTCCTCTTTTGGATCCAATAAATACTAACGTCACTGTTATGTGAACCGCTACTTATTAAAAGGTCTTAAATGTGATGGCCACAATGTTGTGATATTAAATTTCTTCTTTTGCCATTGTGGTAGAAGCATTAACCAAAACAAAAATGGATACATGGATACAAATGATACATAGTATCATCATTGTGACTACACTCACACATAGATCTATTGATTGAAACGTACAGATTCTTGCACACACGTGATTTTAAGTTTATCACACGTTGTTCTCTTGTGTTGAAATTCTAGTTTCTTATTAAATAACTTGAATTTATTGATCAATGATGACACAGAAAAAAGTTCAACATCTTGTTACCGATTCTGGTGCCTTTATACTTAATTGTCCATTACAGGTAAATTATAATCTTTTGAATTTTTAAATTATAAAAATTTTATTTTATTCCATAATTTACAATTTAGGATTATGGTGAAACAATTTATACAATAGGTGATGTTATCAATGAAATCAAAGATGAAAAAACACGTCAATCATTACAGATTCTTCCATATGAACTAAAATATCGTGAACCAACGGATGAAGATGTTAAATTTGTTGCATATTTTGCCAAAAAGACTGGTGATTTTAATCAGCTATCCACAACGGATATCCGTCTAATTGCTTTGACTGTTCGTCTGGAAAAAGAAATAAATCAAGGTGTTAATTTGAAGGAAAATCCAGATATCAAAATATTACCCACAAAATCATCAAATTCCAATTCGTTAACTGTAAAAGATTTGGAAATGTTTGGTTATGATATTAAAAATGCTGCCATTGATTCCATTCAAAATTTTGGTGACAATGAAATGCAAGAAATTGATAAAGTTATGCCAGAAAATGATGAAGAAACGACGACAAAATCGGATAGTTTACCAGTTGGTGATCAGGATGGCTGGATTACTGAAGAAAACTTTGAGGAAATTCGTGATAAATTGATGGGCATCAAATTCGATGAAGATGAAGACGACGATGATGAATTGAATATAGCCTGTATAACGGGTGATTTTGCCATGCAAAATGTTCTTATGCAAATGGGTTTGAATGTTGTATCACCAAAAGATGGCCTACATATTCGACAAACACGACAATACATACTTCGATGTCATGCATGTGGCCGAATTAATCCATCAACAGCTACGAAATTTTGCAAATATTGTGGCAATTGTCGAACATTAAAACGTGTAGCGATTACAATCAACAATGATGGTACGGTTAAAATGCACATTAATTTTAAACGTCCGATTCGAATACGTGGAACAAAATATTCATTACCAATGCCACGTGGTGGTAAACATGCGAATAATCCAATTCTTTGTGAAGATCAACGAATACCACAACAACGTAAATCAAAAGCAGCTGTTGAAGAGAAAAAATTATTAAATATGGAAACCATTTTGACGGATCCCGATTATCTTGTACGATCAAATCCATTCGCCATCAATGATGTCTATAGTCGTGCATCAAGAATGACACCACGGCAACGGAAACAAATCAATCCAAATGAAACAAGAAAACCTACTGGTAATAAAAAGAAATCGAATAATAAGAATTTTTAATTGGGAAAAAAACAAATTGTATATAATAATAATATAATTGATTGATGATAAAGAGAAAACATTTATTTTATTGGAAAAAGAACATTTTTTGAAAACGTCTTGATTGTATTTCCATCTATCGGTTGAATTCGGAAAAATGAAGGGTTTTTCATCATCAATCTTTATGTTTGTTTGTGTTGCTCGATTGTGGTCGCCGTTGTCGTTGTCGTTGTGGTTATTCATGTTGGTGTTGATGTTGTTGATGATGATGGTCGGTTGAATACTCGAGCGCCGTCTATGCACCACGCACAATCTCAGATTGAGCCCCTTTCTCTCTTAACTGCCTCTTTATCCATTCATTCATCCATCCATCCATCCATCCAACCAACTATCTCCCACAATATATTCCAACAGCAATATCCTCACTGTGTGTTTTTGTTTTGTTGATTTTTTTTTCTCTCTTAATTCACTGCTGTGTGTGTTTAGAGTGTTTGTCTGAATTATTATTCTTGAATTCAGTATTTTTGGATCTTGATAATAATCAACGAATATAAATCAATCAATTAATCTGATGATTTATTCAAATGAATACATTTGTTGTTAATTCAACAATTGTTGTTGTTGTTGCTGCTGATCATTATTCTCGAAATTTTCATGTCCATATTCTTAATATGATGTAATGTGATTCTTCAGTGGATTGAAACAAAAACACAAACATATTGTATATGATCGCTTCAGATTAACGATTTCATTAAACGATAATCTAATCGATTCGATTTTTGGAATGTTTAATATTTCAATTGAATCAATTGAAAGTGAATGTTTAGAACCATTATTCACTTTCACATGCAGAAATTTTTTCCCCATCGATTAATCAAGGTAAATTTGTAGTATTTAGTTGAAAATCTAATCATTCAATTTGAATCTTTTTTCCCTTTATTTTCAATACAATAGGTCATTCTGGTCAATCATTTTTGGATGATTTCTTGCTGCTAGTTGTCATCAATTTTGTTCGTTTTTTCTCATCATTTGTATTTTATTTTTTATCAGTTTGAATGAAAGATTATCAATTTTTCGATTATAATAATATCATTACCAACAAAAGTAATCATATAGGCAACGAAGACGACCAAAATTGTTATAAGCCTCAACTACCGTTAACAACATCACCTATAATAATAATGAAACCACTACAGCAAGAGGAGATATTTGCATATTTTAAAAGCCTATCTGGAGCTAAACGTATTGAATTGGTTTGTGGATTAATTTCAATGTGTATACCACTGGAAATACGTTTTTTCGATAATGTCATACAAGATATGGTCAAACGTGATTATAATTCATTCAGAGATGCAGAAATCAAGGCAAACACTTATCAAGAATTAGATATGGTCTGTAAATGTGATCTTTTATTGGAAAAAGTTTCAACAACAACCGCTACTACCACCGATAACCAATCATATTATGATGATGGTATTATTAATAGTACGATACCGTCTGTTTTAACAAATAGCACTGAAATGCAAAATGGTAATATAACAGCAACATCATCATCGTCGTCGGCCATATCAATAACATCAACATCATCACAATCGAATAACCGTGATTCGAATACGACGACACCGACAACTAATAATAATAATAATGATAATAAAAATAATGATAATGGCCAATTGACAAATTCAAACAATACAATTGTCAAAAGTGGTGATCAATCACAAACAACAACACTAACGACAACGAATCAAAATATATCATCAAACATTGCCAGCTTTCCATCACGATCTAAATTGATAATATCATTGTGTCTGATGCAACCAAGTAATAGTCATTGTTCAACAATTGTATTCAATGCTATAAGAAAACAATTGGCACATGAAATCATTTGCCAGGCAGTTGATCAAATCTATCTACCTAAAAACCAGAATATTGATGAATTATTCTCTGAGATATTATTATTATTAACAATGGCAATGTATCATCCTGCGTTTACTTATGAACAACGTGATCTATTGGCAAGTCAAAAGAAAGATATTGAACAGCTTTATTATAATTTCATACACTATATACGTGCACAACAATTTTTGGCTTGTCAAGCCGCTGTAGCGGCCGTTGCTAATCAACAAGCGGTACCAGTTCCGGCACAACCAATGGGTGTTACTGTAACTGGTTCAAATGTAACGATACCAGTACCGATTGTTGCAACATCGGCTACTGTAATTCCATCTGGTCAACAACAATCAAATTATCATCCACCGGCAACGACACCAACGAATCCATCGATCGGTTCTGGTGGTAGTGGGAGTGGTGGCACTAATACTAATGCTCAGCATCAGTCATCTACACAAGCGAATGCTTCATCTGCTCATATTGCACATCAATATCATCATAATTATCATCAATCAGGCACTTCCGGTGGTCACAAATCTCATCAACATCATCATCATCATCATAATGCTGGTGGTGGTCCAACATCAGCAAGTGCTGTAACGCATTTAGGTCCACAAGTTGCACCTGTAGCAGCAGCTGCTCAACAATATATTCCATTCATGCCGAGTCCATTGGGTGCCAATATTACCTATACAGCAACGGGGCCACCACCAATACCAACAAATGCAACGAATGCTGTTATACAGAATATTGCAATGCTAAAGATGAGCTCACCACAACCGGCACCACAATCATCAACACAATCACAACAACAATCATCATCCCCATCACCGTCTTCAATATCGCCTGCATCATCGGTGTCAAGTAATAAATTACCACCACAACCAGCCGTTGTACAGGTTATGCCACAAACGGCAACAACAACTCAGATTGGACAATTCATCAAATTGGATTCAATGTATACGACAGCCAATCTAGCTGGTGGTCCATTGATTGCTGCTGGACCATCACCCCCAACGTCATTGATTGTTGTCGATCCAAATGCTACAACCGGTACCGGTGTTGTTCCAACAGGTCCAACAATGTGTCTCCATCATGCACAATTAATAGTTGATGATAAATCATCAATAACATCATCAGCATCATGTTATAATTGTGGTAATATGGGACATCGTGGAACGGAATGTACAACTGGTACTGGTGATAGTAGTGGCGATCATTGAAAAAAATTATAATATGAAGATCATGATGTAGATATAAGCAAAGGAAATCTGGCAACCCTTGGATCTATCCAGCATCATTTTTTGTTTTTTTTTCTTTGGTTCTTCCTAAAACCATCAGCAATTTTTTCATGGATGAAATCCATTTTTTAATTCAAACGTTATCAAAAATTTCATCATAGTTCAATCATTATACGGATCTAAAAACAAAAATCCTAATATCATTACTAAACCAAGAAAAAATGAGAAAAAAAAATTGAAAATGAGTGCCAGAAATTTTCCGTAAGCGGGAATAAAAACATGAAAAATTCATTCATGACATTTTTGTATAATCGATGCCATCAAATCTAATCGGTCTCATCATTCATCAAAAAAATTATCATTGTTATTGCATCTCACATTCATTCATTCATTTTTTTTTCTATTTTTTACACTCACAGCCCACAATTATGTGTTTGATTATTATGATTTTATTTTCATTCATTGATTTATGATGGTGAATAGAAAAATAATGAATTTTTTTTTTGAAATTTATTTTTTCTAACAAACAAACAAAAATCCATCACCATATAACAACAACAAAAATAGCGAATTGATTTGACTTGACGATTCTGCAACAACAACAACAACAACAATTCATACCTATAAACACATTGACAGATAAACATTTTATAAATTTTAATGAAACGGAAACGGATTTCATGTGGATATTAAAAAAAATACCATATAAATTATTAATTGTCATCATCATCATCATCATCATCATTATCAATTATATTCATATTATAATTATATTATTCACTGAATCACTATTTTCACATTTATTCATCAATTTGGAATCATATTTTTTTCTGTAATTTGTTGTGATTTATTATTATTATTATTATTATTATTATTGATTATTGATTCATTCAATTTATTCATTAATTTCGAAGAATTTTTTTTTGAAAACTTGAAACAATAAAACATTTGTATGTGTCATGTAAAAAATTTTTTTCACATTTTGTTTTATATTTATATTATCAATTAAGATCAATTGTGTGAGATGATTCGATAGGTGATCGATGTTGTGTTGGACCAATAAGATGATGATAGTGAAGAAAAAAAATGGATTCAGACATAGACATCACACACATACGAAATTAAGGCTTTTTTTCTTGGATAAAAATGATGTATTCCATTCGAATTGTTTTATTTTTTTCTTACGAATGTTTTTTACTTGGAAATTGTGATTTGGAAATTTTTTTTTGTGTATGGAACTTGTGAATTATAATAGTAACAATATTTGTCATGATATGAATTTTTTAAAAATAAATAAAGATCATCTGGATATCAAATAAGTAGACGTAGAACAAGTGTCTTGTTTTTTTTCGCGATAATTTTCGACTAGCTTGATAATGAAACACTAAGAATTTGGAATATTCATCATATATTATGACTTGGAATTATAAGAACAAACATGTAGAATAAAGTGCGACGAATAACCACCACCAATATAGGAAGAATAACATCCACAGTTCACAGGTTTTCAAAACGATCCTTTTCCGATCAGTAATCAACAAATTCTGGTGGCGGGTAAGTTCAATCTCAATTTTATGTTCAGAAACATTTGACAAAAAAAACCCAAGGATGACCTGCAAATTTTTAGCAATAAAAATGAGGTATTTATCGCGAAGTTTTTTTTTGATGACAAACCGGAAATCATTTTTTGAATATCACATTGAGTTTTAAGAGAATTTTTCATGTAAAACAAGATTTCTACGACTAGTAATGGATTTTGTTTTTTTTTCCATTTTAAATTTTTATGAAGACCCAGAAGATGTTGATGAGGATGATGATGAGAAAAGAAATCCCGAAGATTTTTTCTTCTGTGAGTGCGATTGATCAAAAAATTCTTCCGGTATATCATCATCATTCATAACTAGATCATATCTCCCAGGAACATTGTTTGTTTGTTGATCTTCACCATCTTCAAATTGATATTCAAACATAATATCATCATCTTCATTATCATCTTGACTATTTTGCTTTTCAATTGGCATTGGCCTATTAAATGGCCAAAAAAAACGCTGTGATAAACGTGCTGAATATGGTGTGGATGAAAAATTGAATGCAATACCTAGAACGACATTCAATGCGGACATATCATAATGATGGCAACCACTATAACGATAATGTGGTTTCTTATCCAATCGACATGTAGATCGCCATTGGCTACCCAATGGTGCGATACAATCACTGGTCAAGGCACAACGAACCCAAGGTAACATGATACCCCATTCGAATGGTTTCCATGTTTTGTCATTTATGGTGATCATCAAATGATCAGGACGAATCATACGATGAAAATAAAAATTCTCCTTGGTCGTATGAAAATATTCAAACATTCGTGGATGTGTCAATGCTGATGTTGGTTGCTCGATTGGCCATGACAGTATAGCTGATTGATGGAGAATTTTAGATTGTAATTGTCCAATGATCGAATGTTTGGAATCAATAAAATGATATTGTGGATCCATCCAAATTATGGTCGTCGTCGATGTTTTATTGAAATTTCGTTTGGATATCTTTTCGTTCTTATTTCGGATATAATTTTTATTGTTTTGAATCGAATGTTTTTGACGATATTGTCGTGTTAATTTGATATCACGTAACATTTCTTGTATAATAATCGAACGATATGCAGCCATTCGCAAATCGGATATATGTGATGGATAGATATCATATTGGAATGTACGAATTGTACACAATATTCGTTTTCTATTTCTTTTTTCCCGTTGACATAGCCGTTCAATCTATATGAAGTGAGAAGGCGATAAAAAAAATTAAATTTTATGATGATGATTAATTATGGAAAATTTTTGCACTTACCTGACTCAATTGATCGGGATATAAACCAAGATCATAAATCATTAGCTCAAAATTAGAAGAATTTTGTTGCTGTACTCGGCTACCATTTTGCCGATATGACGAAAATGTTCAAAAGAATTTATGAAACTTTTGGCCAATTGAAATTGATTCGAATCAATTGCCGTTATAAATATGATGGATCCAAGAAATTCATCAGATAATAATCCGGAAAGATTTTGTGGTTTTGATTTTATTTGAGCATGACGTTGGTGATGATAACGATTTGATTTCATCCCTGTCGCTGAGGATGATGATGATGATGATGATGAATCAGGATTGATTGATGTTAACATCGATGACATTGTTATATTTTCTGGATGATTACGAGCATATAGATAAACGATATGCTTAAGATTGAAACCTAATTGCCGTAATTGATATTCAATACTATTCGAATCGTTGTCATCATCGTTATCATAATCGGATACAGAGTCAGCATAATCATTATTATCACGTTCTTGAAGATATTTATTATTGTTGTTATTATTATCGATTGAATTTTGTAATAATTTTAAATTGTAATCATTATTATTTTCCATCTGTGTTAGATTATCAATCATATAGGCCAATTTATATAATTCAATTGATCGTTCATTATTATTATTATTATTAGTATTAGGCACTGATTTTTGCATTTGTTTTTTTGACATGTCGATCATATCATCATCATCATTATTAAGTATCATTAGATGAAAATAATCCAAATAATATTGATTTACCATATGTATTACATTATCCATAATGGCCTGTTTAGATGATGATAATAATAATAATGAATTGGATACCTGATCCTGGAGATTAATTCGATTATGATGAACATCATGATTATCATTATTATTGTCATTATCAAGATTATTATTTATGACAATGAATGGTGTTTGATGATGAAGATGAAGATGATGATCATAATAATATGGTGAACGATATGAAACAAGGCAATATAATGATGTTGTTATGACAAATATACAAAAAAAATATAATGATAATCGAAGTTTGCCAATCGAAAACATTGACATATGATGATGATGATTATAATGGTGATATGATGATGATGATGATGATGTAGATGATGGTATTGATCCGGTCGTTGATGATAATAATGGTCCAATATTATGATTATGATGAGATGAGTAAAGATTATTCGTACGTTGAAATGAAAATAATGAATTGAAAAACTTGTTTGCAGATGGTTTCATTATTATTATTATGGAAATTCGGAATTTTTTTCAGATCGAAAAATTCATATCAAAAACAATCATGAAAGACAAAGGCAATGGAAAATATTAATCGTTTTGTTTCATTTGTTTTGGAGTAATTATTCGAATCAAAATTTTCGATTGATATGTTCTCTGCTGTCCGGATTGTAATCGTTGAATGTTATTTATTCACGTTGGCGATAAATAATAACAACTGTCAATCAAAATGGTGAAAACAAAAAAAAAAAATAAGAAATCAACATCATTTCATAGTCATTTATAATTGGTGTAATCATTAAATAAAAACAGGTGTGTTTTATCAACAACAACAAACAACAACAACATAAAAAAATCGAAGGTTAAGTCGAGTTGATATTTATCATTCATTTTTTGTCTGGATTTGTTTTTTTTTATTTTGTGCACCCGTTCATCTTCTTTTGTTTAAAAAAAAACTTAGGATCCGTATGGTTTTGAAACAAGATTTTCACATGATGAATCTGGAAATTCTGTCAAGTACATGTAAATATATCTAGGACCAGAATTTTTGGATCCAATATTATGGTAGACTGCACTGAAAGAAAAACTGGCACCCGGTTGATGATGATGACAACTAATGAAAAAAAAACAATCATGCACAGAAACTTTCGCTATCAATAAAAAACTTTTACTATATCGTTTTCAAAAACCGAATAAAGATAGCAGTCAACACACAGAAAACTACATTTAAAACAAAAATTGTTGTTATATATTTACCGAACAAAAAATCCACCACATTTCGAGGGTGAGAATTGTATACAGTAAAAGTTGGACGATAGGAGGAGGAGATTCGATGATGATGACGGCAATGCATTTAAAATTCGACTGATTCATACATTGAAAGTAAAAAAAAACATAACTAAAAAATTTATTGATAATAAAATCAATGCAACTCTTTTTATTTCATAAATCATAAATTATTATGAATCATAATCAACCAAATAAACTTATTGATAGAACCATTCACTGGTTCTTTGAATAATTATTCAAAAATTGTTCAATCTTTTCGCATGCTTTCACTTTTGAATCATCTATACGAATACGTTCGGCTGCTTTTCGACACCGTTCGCGTATCCGCTCGTCATTGATGATCGTATCAATCATTTGAATCAGTTCATCATCTTTGAATCGATAGGCTTCGATACGATCACCAAAACCTTTCTCACGAATACGTTGTGCATTGTCAAATTGATCGGCAAATAATGGCATGACGAGTATTGGTTTTCCAACTGAAAACGTTTCGGTAACCGTATTATTACCACCATGTGTGATGACCATATCGACCAAAGGAAGTATACGGATTTGTGGTAAAAATGCTTCACCCCACATGTTATCGGCTAAATCGTATTCTTCATGCAACGTTCCTTTCGATACAATATATTTGTACGGTGTTTTCGATAATGCTTGCACGATTCGTTTCATTAGATCGACATCAATTGATCCCATTGAACCCAACGATAAATAGATCAATTTATCCTTTGGGTCAAGTTTTGATTTGAATTGTTCAGGCAATTCAAATGGTTCGGGTGTTTCACGGCAATATGCATCTAATCGAATAAAATTATCAGGCAACGGAACAATGTCACTATAATCCAATTCTTTTGGATAGCCGTAAAAGTTTAGATGCGGTGAAAGGGGTAGAAATTGATTCTCATCCACTTCCGGGTAACCAAAATGTTTGTTCAATTTGTTCTGAAAGAAACGAACATCTTTCTTGAATGTTTTGTTGAATTTTTCACGAAATTCATCCCAACCGCTACGATCATTTGATGGAAGGCCTAGAATGGAAATTAATGAATAGAAAAAATTCATTGAAATTCGCTCATACCTGAACATGATGGTGGAATATCAGGATGATCGACAAACATAAATGCTGGATTACCACTCCAGGAGAATGCCCAGGGAATTTTGCCGAATGAAATGAATGGATCGACAATAAAATTGTCGATAATTATTAAATCCGGTTGTTCACGTTGAATAGCATCGACAATCTGTTGATGGATTTCGACAGTCGCTCCATACATATGAAATCCCATCGAATCTTCACGAGTCGAATCAAAGCATTCCAATTTCTCGATTGGTCGACTATCGGACAATAGACCAGTCTCTCGGAATTTATCCAACATCATTTTTACCGATGTAATCGGATGAATTTTTTTGTCCTCGTCATTGATATTCAAATCTTCATGCTGTTTTGTGGTCAGAATAATTTCGTGGAAACCATATTTTTTCAACGTACCAGCAAACATTAATGAACATAAAAAATACACTTCATGACCACGATTGACCATAGCTTGACCAAGGCCAACACAGGCGTTAATATGGCCAACTCCATCAGCACTATAGATGAATATTTTCAACGATTTTTTGCCACTCATTTTCGTTCATGATTCAGAAAATCAGGCTGTATAGAAAATGTTTGCTTGAATTTATTTGTTCAATAGCAATGTCAATCGTATAGGTTTAATTAATCAAAACACATCATAAATTGTAATCTTATCTCATATAATTTGATAAAATTATGCTTTTATGATTTTCCGATCTGAATGTTAATCCTTATTTTAAAATTTTATCTTGTCATTTGAAGTGCATTATGAAAAATGATTAAAATAATCAAATCAATAATCAATTGATTAATAAAAATAGATAGCGGCAACATTGTCATTTGAGAAATTTCAAAATGAAATCATCAAACACATAATCGTTAAATCGAATGGAATCGGAATGGTTTTTTATTTATAAATGTTTCAATTTTTCTTTTTTTCTCCAAACACAATATCATATATATGAATGAGTGAATGTTACATAAAGAGAGAGAGAGAAAAAAAGAGAAATGAGATAGAATAATGATTGCAATATGAGTGATAAATTGATTGATTGATTGTTGGATGATTGTGTCCACAATACGAAAGATATGTTTGCGTATGAGGAAACTGTGTGTGTGTGTGTGTAATGTATGATGCCATATACGACTACACGTTATTATTTAGATAATTTCTTGTGGAACAACAACACAACTAGAATGTGAACAAAATTACAGATATCTTATTCGATCGAATAGAATAGAATATAGAATGTAAATGGAATTATATCAAATTATAAAAATAATAAGAATCGTAATGGTGAACAAAAAAAAAAAGGATCAACGAATAACGAATATCATCAAGTTGACAGATTTTCCGATACGAATTCTGCTAATTATTATTATTATTATTATTCTCTTTACGAATTTCGATTGTTTGTGTGTGTGGGTGGATGTGTTGGGAAGTTGATATCATAATGATGATTGATTCAAGAGGAGAAAAAAAATAGACAATGAATAACAATAATAAACAAGAACAACAATATATGAAGAAGAAAGACGGTTGTCATTTCAAAATCATTGGCTATGTTCGATTGTGGCCTGTGTGTTTTTTGTAGAAAAATAATCAATCTCTTCTTCTTACGATCAACGATAATAATGGCAATGATACAAATATGGGTGAGATGGACACAAGAATGATTGTGATTGTTTCTATTTATGATGATGAATGATGCGATGATCATGATGATAATAATAATAATAACAGCAACAACAACAAAAAATCAATCTGTCAAAATGTAAAATTCTTTCTCTTCATTTCACTATTAAATTGTAGTAGTAATTGTTACGAATGATTATTTTATGCGGACAAATTTCCAAGGTTCATATTTATAGGTGTGTGTGTTTTTTTTTGTTTGAATTTTCAATCACCATTATTTCCAAATTAGCCAAATTTATCGATAACGAATCAATAACTCATGTTCATAGAAAAATAATTTCTTTCTCTTGTGTTGGCGGCAATAATTCTTGATGATCACATTAGCAAAATGATATATCGATTAGCCAATTCGTTTCTTTATTAATTTTTTTCTGATTTGAGATGTATAAAAATATTGCTCAATATGGCTCATTTACTAACAACAACGAATAACAATGTAAAGAATGTCAAATGTCATCATCCATTCTTTCCAATTGTCAAGTCAAAAAAGTAATCGTAATAACAACAATGATGAAATGAGTGTCTAAACGAAACCCCAACATTCAATCGATTTGACGACAAAATCTTCTTCTGAAGACAATGTTCGATTGCCAAATGTTTTACATGGATGTGAACTGCCATGATAGAGATCACCATCAAGCCATAGACCAAAATTTCCCCTTGGAAAAAAAATGAAAAATGTTAAATTCAAATAAAACATGCATGCATGCACTAAATCAACATACTCTCCGGCACCAATCGAAATACTATCAATATTTCCTTTGATGAAGAATATATTCTCACCAGTCCATGGAAAACATTCGAATGTTGGATAGAATGTGAAAAGAAATGTTTCGCCTGTGCCATAAAAATGATCGCTTATCTTCAATGAATGTGACAATAATGCACCGAATTTCTGAACAAAGATCAAAATCAATATACCAGATAACAACAACAAAAACAAACAAACTTACGGCACCGTTGGTATCCTCAATGATCAACAGAACGGGTGAATCAAAGTGTTTCATATCACGATATAATGTATTCAAACTGAAACCATGTTGCGATGTGGAATAGATCAATGTCCATGCATAACCTTCAGCACGGGCCGGTAAGTGTTTCATCAGCTAAATAACAAAAAATACACAATCAAAAAGACGTTCAGAACAAACGAAACTTACATTTTGTATTATGTCAACATCTAACATTTCTGTCGTGCCAATCAATTCGGGCAATATTGGTTCATTGGACAATTCAAGATGATAACGTTCGGCAAAACTATGTTCTTCTGATGAATTCGAAACCTTTAACAAACAGCAAACAGTTAATCAATAATGAATTCAAATAGAAAAATACTCACATTCCATTCAGTAGAGAAATGATCTTCGACAAGTTTAAGAAAATGTAATGGACTTCGACGCCAGAAACGTTGTCGATTTGTGGATGCCATATCCAATGATTTGGTTGGATCATCCAATGATGATTTACTATCGCCAATCAATTCAGTCGAATTCGATGATATCCGCTGATAGGATCGTCGTCGTGAATTACTCAATGCTGAAGCAGTATCGGGCATTTGTTGGCCATCATCATCATCGTCAATATCATATTCATCATCGGTGTTGATGGGCTCAAGGCCACGATGTTCACAACCACTGATATCATCCACATCACCATAGATTTCTGGAGCCCATTTCTTGAAAAAATGATATAAATTGCTTGCTTTATCTTTCGGTACACTGAACCAATATTCGCGTTCATATCTATTTTTACCTATTATCAATAAATCAATCACAATTAATCATAGAGAAAATTTCGATAATTCAATCAAAACTCTTACCGAATGATGAAGTGGGTGAAAATCGTTGCATACTACGTTTTGCATTATTCTTTTTATATTTTCCCATACGAATACACAGATATAATGGGGCATCCTTATTCACCCTTGCCGGCCTTGGTATCAATTCTAAAAACAAATGTCATCATCAACTGTACATAACACAATACACAGAAATGCAAAGACTTACTGTCGAAATTTTCAAACGCATCAATCTTTGTAGTGACCATATTGCAATAGCCAACTGGTTTGATCGATGTATCCGATGGCTGATCACTAGCATTAGTTTCCATAAGATGTTCATGAAGATTAATATCACTTTTCGAACCAGTCGTTGCCAATGCTCCTTTTGCATCACGCACCAGACCGCTGGAGAAATCCATTAAATTTTTCGGTGTAGACAACACCTTGTTGAATCCTGTTTTTGTCACATTCATTGTCGTTGTCAGGCCAGATTTGGTTGCATTCAAACCGGTACTGATACCGGATTGAGTGGCATTGATTCCTTTACTGATTCCCGTTTTGGTCGCATTGAAACCGGATTTAGTTGCATTGATCCCTGAGCTAATACCGGATTTGGTAAAATTTCCAATAGCATCCACAGGATTTGATAATCGTTTTAGCATTTGGCCACGACGATTCTCACCTGCAGCTGACAGCCGATTTGGATGTCTCAATACCACTGGATCGGAACATGTCTCTTCAGCCGATATAGCCGTCTGTAATGCTTTGTGTTCGATTGTGTCGACAGAATTCTGATGATTATTATTTGATGGCTGCAGTGGTGCTGAATGTCGCTCTGCTAATGTCATTTTAGCCATTTGTGTGGCCAATGGTTTTCTGGCCAATTTTGACTGATTTTCGGTTCCACTAGATGATTGTGATCCACTACCGACACCAACAACAAGATCTGCATCATCCATAGATGTCATCATCAAATCAAGGCTGGAATTTACATCGATCGACGTATTCAGATTGGTCGTCGTCTCAGTCGATTGTTGGTCATCATCATGGAAATCGACACTATTTTCAATCTCAATTGAAACTCGATTCATACTGCTCACATCTTCATCACCAATCTGCACATCAGTTGATAATGATGATTGTTTTGCTGATTGTTCATTCGCGTCGACAGACGAGCATGTTGATGGTGGTTGTTGCGGTTGTCGATCGGGATCATTGTCAACAATTTCACCATTACTTTTTTGTAAATGTTCGACGGCATCTTTGAATTCTTCTTCATCTTTTGATTGTTGTTGTTGTTGTTCTGAATCCGATTTCTCTTCACTCACCTTACCGATGGTATCGAAACCAGTTTTAGCATTTTTAGCATAAACATTTTTGAGATTTTCTTCAACAATACCACTGTTATCTTCATCGCTGGCATAATACACCGATGGTTTCGGCACGGATGGCACTGCTTCAGGTGCATGTTTGACACGCATATGAGCAATATCCGAATACAGTGCAGTTTTCAATACCAACTCAATCGGTACGGTCACATTATACACTTCTGAGCCATGTTCCACGACTAATGGATCGGAAACGTTGGAATCAAACATTAATGCATTAGGAGTGACGAGCAACACACCACCTACAACACCTTGTCCATCGGTTATATAGCGGACATTTATTTTCAGGAAACGTTCCAAACATTCACGATCAGCCGGATCGATTGTCGCCGTTGCAGTTGGTTGTTGCTGTGATTTGGACGATAATAACATTGATTCTAATTGTTGTGAAACACCAAACACTGGCTGATTGGTTGATTGATTACCAGTAATGACAACTGGTTCAGAACTTGTATGCATCAAAGGGTAATGTATGATTATTGATGAATTATTCGGTTTATTTGATTCATTGTTGTCGCCAGTAAAAACACAATCCGTTGAACCAGTATTATCGTTTTGCTGTGATGATGATGATGATGATAGCGTACACCTTTCAGCATGGCCAGGTAATGCAGAAGCAATTGAATGTTGGTGCTGTTGATTATCACTTAATGCTGTTTTGTTACTCAATTGTTGTCGGGATGGCGATTGTGATTTCGGATCATTCGGTGTGTTTGGTGGAACACCAATTTCCGAGCTTTGTCGTACCAATAAACTACTACCATCGGTGACAATATCAGCTGATAAGCTTGATACATGATTAGATTTTGGAACATATAATACCTACACACACATACACACACGATAGTGATTAGATTAATATCAATGATTTTCAGATATAATGAATGAGACATACCTGTCCAGGAAAAATAAAGTGTCCTGAACGGCGATTGATACGGGCCAACTCTGATGGTGTTGTTTGAAAACGTGCGGCTACCGATGTAATTGTATCATTGGCTGCAACCTAATAGTGATCGATTGATTGATTGAATTAATGTTGAAATGTGTTAATAAAAACAAATGTACAAACTCACCACATATTCAATCGTGCCTTGTGGTTGTGTCAATGAACGAGATAGTGGCATTTTCTGCTTATTTTGTTGTTGACTATTATTGCTGCTATTCTCTTCAATGATGGTTTCAATACATTCGTTCTGTTGATTCGTCTTCGCCGTCGTCGTCGATGATGTTGATGATGATTGTTTATTATTATTATTGGTGGTGGTTGTTGTTGTTGTTGTTGATATAACAGAATCACACTGTTTGTTGTCATTGCTCATTTGGTCTTCATATATAATTATCATTCAACTGTATTGGCCAAAATATTTGTTGTTGACACACACAATCTTTTCAATTCACTACTATCAAAACCAATTCTTATTTCATTATTCAAAAACAAAACAAACAAACATAGATGGATGGATAGATAGCTGGATTCAGATTGGCTAATGAATGATGATCTGAATGAAACGATGAAAGAGAAAAAAAAAGAAAAACAATCTAGTTTAGTATAATGATATTATTAATGACTCTGTGTGTGTTTGATCATCACAAACAAACTAATAACAGCAGCAGCAACAACAACAATAGTAATGATAATAAATGATTAAAAACATTGAAAAAAATAACAACAACAACAACAACAACAAAAAGCGAAACCAAACAGAGCAGAACTCAGATGGTGAAGACAAAAACAAAACAAAATAAAACCAAAAAAAAAAAATTTTTTGCTTCAAAATCCAAAAGAATCAAAAAAAACTGTCTTGAATCAATGAATAGATATTGCTATGGACAGAATAATCACTGATATAGATATTGTTGTGTTATTGCTCACATTAGTTGCAACAGAAACGCAAAGAGAGAATGGAATATAGAAATTAATGACAATCATCATTTCTCAATGAATGAATTAATGAATATAGGAACCAAACTAAATATGAAAACGACAATGATTGATTATATATCTCATCACCACAAACAAACAGAATCATAGAGTTTTCTACAATATAACACACACACACACAGAGTAAGCAATGAATGACCAACAAAGTTCTCATCATCATCATCATATCGATCCATACAATTATCAAAATAAAAATTCAGTTAGTCATCAATATTTTCAATCAAACACTAACGTTCATTGATCAGAATACAACAACAAAAAATCACAATAGCAGCCAAAATTTAAATTTTGACAGTGAAGCCAACAGTCAGGCAGCAAAAAAAACTAAATGATGAAATTCAAAAAAAAAAAAACCAAATAATAAAACTTAACCAACAATTAGCTCGAATATGAATCGATCAACACCAAAAAAAAACGATGATCCGGATCGAATAAAATAGATGAGATATATATATATTGATGATGGCATTATTCGTTTCATTTTATTTATGGTCCAAATCATTCCAAAAAAAACACAATGACAAAAAAAACGGACAATGCAACATTCAGTGCTTTAGGGCGTAAAAATTTTATTGTTGTCTAATATAAATCGATAAAAAAAAGCAAAAAAAAAACCGAGAAAACAAAACCACCATTACCATCCGGGCATTTATTATAAACACAACAACAAATCCGCCGATGAATCAATTTTCGCTTCTCTCTCTTTCTCTGTCTTTCTATTACGGATGAGAAATTTTTCAGCCAGAAATGATTAAAATTGATTGTCAGATTCAATGACACGACACGTTCCACACAAACACAGAATAGCAGAATAACAGAAAAAGTTGAAAATAAATATATTTTGTAGGCGTCACACAATCACATGGATTCCACATTCAAACAGGAAATGAGAATGTCCATCATGACAATATAATCACAGCAACACCCACTTAATGGCTTATAAAAAATTATTTTCTCACAAGACAAATTGATAAAATAATTCACAATAAAAACAGAATAGAAACAAGAATCGAATGAATAATACGAACCGATTAACAATGGAAAAAAAACAATAACCTCTAGGTCTTGGTCGTTCACAACAAAAAAAAATTTTATTTTTCTGTAGTTTTTGATCGTTTTGAACCCGAAAAAAAATTCAAGAATTTAACTCATCATCATCACAACAACAAAAAAGTTTCTGTTGTGTTCTGCACGTTTGTCATCTCTATATGTGAAACAAGAATATAATAATGTTTCGTTGTGGTGTAAGGTTGAATCCAATATTTGAATCACACAATATTATTCAAGCCGACGCTCATGATCAATCGAGAGAGAGAGTATATGATATTATCACATTCTACAATGAATTCAGCAAGGCGTTACATTTTAAATGTTACCAAAAAAAAAAAATAAAATAAAAACACTATTTGGTTTGCTGCTACTCTCCACTACATTTTGTTCCAATGAATTCATTGGATCAATTTCTCAAAGAATGTTACCATTTCATATCTATATATAGAAAACGACAACAACAACAACAAGAACAAACATTGAACATGAAACATAAACATGTTATATAAGGAATAAGCATAAGCAGCGCAGAGATTGAATAAAAATACTCAATAGGTCGATTCTAGAGACAATGTCAATGTCGAATTGAGGATCCTTTTCCAAAAAAAAAAAAAATAAAAATAAAAATCGGATAAAACGTACAGTTACTGACCCCCAAAGATCGAATGATCTAATCCAAAAAAAAATCTCTATTACAAGACAAAATATTGATTCAATTTTTTTTTCAAAACCAAAATGAAAATAAAGAATTTCATCATTATTATTTTATTTTTCTAACCAATCTATACACAATTAAACTGTTTAGATTTTAGATTTCTATTCATCATATCATATATATTATTATCATTATGATGATTGTTACACATTGAGCTGCAAAATATTTTTATATAACATAAACATTTATCTAGCCTTCCATGTGTTTGTGTGTGTGTGTGTGTGTGTGTGTGTGTATCAAAGAGTGTTCAGTTATATATCTATATATATTGTTATTATTGTTCATTCATTCGATAAGACGACAAAAAAAAATTGAACCAATGTGAAATTTGCAAGGTTGAACATATATATATATAATGGTCCAGTAAACTATTCTTTGACTATATATTGAACACACACAAACACAGTGGTGTGCACAAACATCTTGGATCAAATACAGGTAGTAGATGTGTAGATTGCAATGAAAAAGATTGTAATTTTATATAATTCTATATAGACACACACACACACACACATCTTCAATAGCATCCAAAACAAAAACAAAAAAAAATTGATCGACTATACACACATTCTTCTATTCACAATGGTTGCATTGTTTATCAATAAAGTGAAAGATATTCAATAAATGATTGTCTCAGTCTTTACATACAAAATATAAAACACTGATAGAAATAGAAAGAATATATTATAATATGAAAATAACAAACAAAATTGTCTAACATGGATTTTTCAACTCGATTAGGAATTCAAATTGAAACATGTAACATCAATCGATAGATGTTATCATATCTGCCAAAAAAAAATGATCAATTAGTGATTGCCAGAATAATAGTAACAAAATAGTAATTGAGAGAAATAGGCAATGTTCACATGACAAAAAAAACAAACAAACAAACACACAATTTCCACAACAATGAGAATGAAAAAGAAAAAAATGACAGTTTACAGCCGGACAGAAAAAAAAATAATGGTGAAAAATTGAGATCGGGCCATTTTGAGGTTTTCTTTCTCACTACTTTCATTCATTCATTCGTTCATTCATCAGTTTCTATAATCATGAATAATATGGCTGCTGTCTAATCTAATTGAATGTGAACAATGGCCATTACATTAAATGTTGTTATACAATGTGTACATACTATTACGGGTAAAAAAAAACCTCAAATTTGGTGTAAAGAAAAATTGGCCAAATAATTTTTGTTGACTTTATGTGATAACGAGAAAAAAAACAACAACAACAACAACACAAACCATTCAAATACAAATGAATCGGATGAATGCACAAACAACAAAAACAAAAACAACAAAACAACAACAACAACATTACAGAATCTAAATCATACCTTTAATCAGCCACTTGAAAAAATTGGATCTAAATTTGTCATCATTTATTTTTTTTTCTCATAGTCAACACTTATCATCAATAACCGATTCATGTGAATTAAGGTCATCAATCAAACAAATAAAAAAAAGTAAGAAAAGAAAAGGAGAAAAAAAATCGATATTGAAAACATTTATTCATTCATTCATTCATCGATTTTCTCATCAATTTTCAGTTTAAATACAGTATCAATAAAGATTGGAAATAATACTATTGAAGATATATATATCTATTTATAGAATGTGGCCATGGCCATTCTATTCACTTGGATTCTTCAGATGTGTACCATCCATCCAACACAACACACATACTCAGTATTTATATTTATATTTCATTGGATAATTATTGTTTGATTCTATTATTAAAAAAGTAACGTTTAATGTGAATATTATTAAATACTTGTTATATTATATACACATTTATTCCATCATCTTAGAAAAAGGGTAACTCATAATTCAAGAACAAACAAAACAAAACAAAATAAGAAAAAAATCCGATATAAGCCATGGATAGATTGCATATTTTTTTTTTTTTATTTTTTGCTAGCCTAGGGTATGATTTTTCTTTTACACTGTACGCAAGTATTACTGCTACACTTTATACTATTAGAAACACTTGTCAAATTGTCAACATCATTCAAGAACATTTATAGTATAAATGCCTGTATAGTTTTCATTCAATACACACACACACACACACACACTTGACACTTTTCAGGATCATCACTCTTTTCATTCAGGTACTAGGATCGGTTTTTATTTCGTTTTATATTATTAAAATTATGATTATTATTTGACAAATGTTAGTGTTCTATGTACCTTTTTCATATTTTTCAATTTATGATGAAAATTTCAGGTTCAAATATAGAATTGAACGAAAAAAAAAATGAAGAAAGAGAGTGATAATAATGACAAATGCATGTTGTGTGGAAGAAAAAAAAAAGTAAAACATCTTTCTTTCTACACCACCAATAATACACCATTGAACAGTTATTTTTAGCACTGTGTATATATGACATACATTTGACGATTCTATCATACAAATGGTGTTGGCGCGTATGCGTCACCAAGTTTAGCAAAGTCAACATACACACACAAACACACACACACATTGATTCTATGAATATCGGTATATACTCTAATACAACAGAATCATCATCGGTTTCCATATTCAAAATACAAAAAAGTAAAACGAAAATTGAGGCAAAAATCAAACAACGACAATTCTTTTATTTGTTTACTTTGACAGTAATCATCATCAGATATATAATAATATTGAATTGCAAAGTTTTTCATTTCCAGTCTTAAATCTATAGATCTATAGATAGACACAAACACAGTACCACAGGTCAATCAAATCATGACAATTTTCAAAGTCAAAGTTGATCACCAAAATTTGCAATGAAAATGACT